GGGTATCCTTGATTGAATCGACATACTGTTTACCATAATTTGTTTACGTGCACTGTCTACTGAGGGTATATTGTTTGTATACCTGCAGTGTCTGTGTAGGCAATATTGTATACCTGTATTGTTTATATACATGCTGAATCAATGTCACTAAACTTGTATGAAAACTTTACATAATATTCATCTCTCATCATCATCATCTCCCATACTACATAGTGCCTGTCTCACGTTCAGTACCATATATATAAGGACCAAGAACTCACCCCCTCCCCCTCTCCTCCGCCATGATAAAGTAGATCCAAGTTTTAAGACGAGACTCCAAACCATTCATCTGGCTTCTAACTGAATCTAACCAAATCTCTCCAAAGCTGACATAATCTAATCAAGCCTGTTGTATAGAGACTTTACGGAGTAGAATGACCATTACACCTACTTCCCAGCCTTAATAGGTGACTGGGTGGGTGGAAGAGTAGGATACTGAGTGGGTGGGATACTGGGTGGGTGGAAGAGTGGGTGGGTGGGCGGGAGAGCCTTACAGAGGGCTTGGTTGGGGTTTTATCTGATCTGTCGTCGACCTGTCAGACCATCCGATCACCCTCCCTTCTCCACCCCTCTCTCCAGCCATCCCTCACCTCTCTCCTCTCCATCCCTCACCTCTCCCCTCTCCTCTCCATCCCTCACCTCTCTCCTCTCCTCTCCATCCCTCACCTCTCTCTTCTCCATCCCTCACCTCTCTCCTCTCCATCCCTCACCTCTCTCCTCTCCATCCCTCACCTCTCTCCTCTCCATCCCTTACCACTCCTATCCATCCCTTACCCCTCTCCTCTCCATCCCTTACCCCTCTCCTCTCCATCCTTTTCCCCTCTCTTTATCATCCCTCACCACACCAGCCACAACCACACCAGCCACAACCACACTTACTACAATCACAACATCTACACTTAAATTTTCTATCTAACTGAGGTAATAAGAACGTCGTAATATCACTGAGACAAAACCACGACTTGGTGCGTTCCCGTGATGCCAAAGACTTGAGATATGGGAAAGTTGTATTACGCAGCAGTAGGCGCAGACGAAGAGGGTTTGGTGAACCTCTGGTACTCATAGCTGCCGCATTTGTATTTGTACGGAGATAAATCAGGCTGAGCGAATCCTTTGGGCTTTCATCTACTGAGTGAATCAAGACGAAACAGCAGCTAGAGCTTCATTTAGTGTTCCTCGTTACGTAAAGAAAATGTTTGTTTACACTTTTAGTTCATAGACTTTGGTTTAACAATCTGAGTACGGTAACTTTATCCTTCTTGTACCCTGTCTGAACGGGACACTGTCGGGGTCTTTTTATGCTGTATTTGTTAATTAACTTCTCTGGCAAATATTAAGTAGTTGTTTATCATGAAAAATGGCTAGGGATTAAGGTTTAAAGTTGTAGGCATATATCAGCTACGTGTTTGACAAGTTTGGAATATCATCTAAAATCTTGTGTATTTGTAATTGCTACTCAGCATTTACTTCAAGCAGGACGTCACTCTCTTAGTGGTAAAAATTAATTAGAATTTTTTTTAAGTCTTCCATCAGCTCTATGTAAGACGAGAAGGGAACATCTAAATCGTTAACAAACCTCACATTTTTCGATCACATCCGCGGATCTTTTAACGAGGTCATGATACATGTCTTCATCAGTACGTTCTAGGGGGTGTCAGGTGAATCCCGACGATTTTTCATTCTTATTTAGACTCTGTCGACTCGTGTAACGATAATCAGATAAGGACTGTCGACACCTGCGGGAGTTATGGTGCAGTGTTTATTGTTTAATCCACCAGCAGCACGGTGCGCCTCCTCGGGAGTTCACAGCCTTCCTAATTTTAACTTCTTGAGACTTTGTTGATCAGTCGTCGTGAAACCGATGCTCATGATATTTTAACTGCTATTTAGTCACTTATAACCAATAATATTATAGATTGTTTTACGCTTTTATCATAGGGAAATTATTAATAATTCATGAAAATTTATATGATTTAATCCCATACCCAGTGTCTCGCCTGGCTGGTGCCGGGAGTATAGATGTTTAGTAATGTAAAGATGGGACGGGAAGTGTTAGGGGCGGGAATGAACATATAAGGGAAGTTTAAATGGGTGGGAAGGAGCTGAGGAGGGAATATAGACTTACAGGATAGAAGAGACTGGGTGAGGAGGAGCTGGGGAGTTTATAGACATAGGGTGCAGGAGGCGGGGTGGGGAGGAATTGAGAGATTTTAGACATATTGGGTAAAACTCGGTGAAATAGGTGGTGGTCGAGGGGGAGAAATTTAGGCAGGAGAGTGTTAAGACATGGTGGGGCAGGGTGATGGGGTGGGGACCTTAAGGGGCGTGGTGGTAGGCGTGTGTCGTCGCGGAAGATAACGGGACGGGCTGCTGTAAACGCCTAGTCCGTCGAGATAACAGCGAGTGTCAGAGTATGTGTTGATGCACATCTTTCTTATTAATGACCTCGCTAAAGCTGCCTGTTGACACATACCTCAACACCTGTCATGATCGCTGAACACACGTATACTGTATCGCATATTCATTACTGTTTACTATTGTTTGTATACCCGCCCTGTTTATAAAGTACTGTACATTACTTGTATATCTGGACTACTGAATTTTATGTACATAGAATACCTGCATTGTCTATATACACAGATTCAATGTATGGTGATGTTAATGAATAAATTCTTTCCACACACACAATTAGATTCCGGTTCAGTTTTCTCTATTAAATCTTAATATGGGCATGACTGGAGCATCCGATAAAATACCTTTCTGCCTCAAGCTGATGGTTGTCAATAACCGAGAAAAAAAATAACACTACCGATTTTTGCTGGTTTTTTCTTCAAAGTACCGCTTCAGCTGTGGTCTTTTAATAATAGGCACAAGAGAGAGTGAGAGGTGTACAGCTAGTTTGGGGAATTAGACAAACAGATAGTGAAATATTATCCCTAATCTCTCTCTCTCTCTCTCTCTCTCATTAGAAGGGTTGTAACCTGTTTAAAAATAATCTATTCTGAGTGTAAGAAAAACAGGAGGGAAGGATGGAGAAATGGAGGAAGAGCAAAGAAAAAAGGAAGAGAAGATATGAATATGGTAGGAAGAGGAGATAGAGAGGAAGGGAAAAAGTAAGGGGGTGGAGTCATGATGGGAAAGAGGGAGACAATGGGTCGGAGGAAGGAATAGGAAAGAGATAGATAGGGAGATTAAAGGTGAGGCACGAAAGTGAAATGAGAAACAGAGTTAGAGAGATAGAGGGGGAGACAAAAGGTACGACAATGAGGGAGAAGTGAGAAACAGAGAGAGAGACAAAGTGGGACGTATGAGAGTGGGAGAAAAAGGAGAGAGAAAGAGGATGACAAAGGGTGAGGGTACTCGAGGTTTGTGGTACTGTATATGATAGATGTAATACATATATGTAAAGAAGGTTCCACTATGATTCTGATGTTGCCACATGTTCGGTAAGGCCACTGAAGGGTGGAACACTATACCTGGGGGCAACTATCTGTATTACATTACTACAGGGTGTCTCAAAATATGTATACACACTTCTTTACAGATTTTCGTGAAGATCACTTGAATGCTTTTATTACAACAGGGATATTGTCCTCGCATCAACAAGTGAGGACAATGATGCTGTTGTAATATAATCTCCACAAAAATCTGTAAGGCAGTGTATATATTTTTCTGAGACACCATAAACCACAAGATGTAATTTTCTTATAGAATTGTGTGTATGTATCATAAAGTCACTAGCTCACACAATTTAATACCTGTGAGCACAATGTAAGCAGATGATTTGGATACACAGGAATAAAACTTTCATACAGAATGAACATATGCATTTTAAATGAGATATACTTTATATGAGCGGGATGGAGAAAAACTTGGGAGGAAGGATGAGAAATAAAGAGGGAAGTAGAGAGGGGAGTAAGAGAGGGGTGTGGTTAAAAAGAAAAAGGGGAAAAAAAAAGAGAGGAAGGGGGAAGAGGCAGAAGTGGCTGTCAACACCACAGATAAGACGCCATCCGTTGTGTACCTACGAATCATTAGTGAGGACTAAGGCTCCCTTCCTGAACTCTACACCTCACTTCACATCCCACTACCTCATCTCACATCCCAGTACCGGTTAAGGACTACACTACTTCACATCCCACACCTCATAACTCACTGCCTCTCCACACATCCCACACCCCCACCTCACAACTCACTGCCTCTCCAGTCTCCACACAACCCACACTCCTCCCAAAAACCCACACCTCCCCCTCCAATTCCTTAAACCTCATGATACAAATATGATTGTCTTAAAGATACATACAGATATCACTTGAAATTTACAGAATAGATGTAGGCATGAAATAAAAGTGGGCCAAACTAACTTTTGGGGTGTTAGGATGAGAATTATGCATACCTGTATATGGAAGGAGATCTACTATAAATATAGAATTTAGGTAATTCTCTCTCTGTTGTGGGAAAAGATATAAGACAAATAAGTTTGATGATGTTAATGTACACTAATGGACATTAAGACCAATCCATTTTACTGAACATTAAATTTATTGGTGAAATATTTCCAACAGAGTTTATTCTGATGATAAAAGTACACAAACTTATTTGATGAATTGGGTTGAAAAACACAACACATTAGAATAAAGAAGAGCATACTGTACATTACTTAACTACATGCAATATACGGTTTGCAGTGTAGATGCATCACTAATGTTACACATAGTATGAAACTTTTATTTCATGTATGCTGGGGTTTCATAGTTTGTTGTAACACACACCTAAAAGCACTGTACTCCCATCCTATCCAAATGCAATGTTACACTACAGTACCTCAGGGAGTTAACCATATGAAAGTTATTAGTTAGGTCTTTGATAGCAAATTTTCACACCAAAAACACATCTATAGATTTAGCTTTATATAACATTACATTTTTCTTTTATAAACAAGGATATATTGAAAATCAATCCAATTTACAGAATACTGTATATTTTTACAACTAGATGATGCCCCTCCTTTTATACAGTACAAGTATATACATTACATACAGAAAAAGTCATTACACTACATTACCAGTAGATTCAATGACTAGAAAAGGCAATATTCCACTTCACCTGGGCAACAAACATATTTACACATATATACAGTACTGCATAAATTTACAATATAAGCAATTTTTATCATACACTCACTCTACTGTCACATCTTCCTTAACACCTCACTTCACTGGTCATGTTTCCACACACTATATAAAGTTAATAATGTGATCCCAGGGAATAAAAACTAAAATTATCCTTTGTATAGTAAATCCATTTCATCATTACTATCTGTATATTGCTATTTAGTTTCCTAATTTTTAGCTATTTCCAACTACACATTCCACCCTTAAAGCCCTCATCACGTACAGATTATCTTCCATAGTTCTGGTCTAAATTCTCAAAAGACTGTGTACATTCTTCTTCTTAATATTGATGCCATTTGAGAGAATATTTCTGATGAACTGGCTGGCAAGTGAGCTACATGAGTTTGCCAATCTTTTAAATAAGTGTTACCTACCATTCTTCGAGTGTGTTTTAATTAAGAATTTTGTAAGTGTGTTATAAGTAATCAAAAGTTTGTGAGTGTGGTTTAATTAATAATTTTTATATGACTTTGTGAGTGTATTTTAAGTAAGAATTTTGGTGCATAATTTTGGTTACATCACTGGATCTGGAAAGGTATTTTCATATTATTAGAAGCCAGGAGTGATGCGAGTGTAGTGAGGAAGGTCTGTGATGGGGACAAGTCCTCCTCTTGCATCATGGTCCACAGAGACATACCTTTGGCACCCGCACTCTGGACATCTGTGAAAGAGAAGTGGTGCTGTTAACAATACAGTGCACTTTAGCGTATATTCTATTCCCTACAGCTGTTTAGTGACATGCCGGAATAGGAAAGTTTGTTTGTCAAGGTCTGAGATGACAACTTTTTAGAAACTCTCGCACTGAAATGTTTAGCTTTTTTAATGTCCAAAATGTTTCTCTTCCTTTTGTTAATTTTCTTCTTCTCTTTATTCCTTTGTCCCTTTCCTTCTCCTTAATTTCTTGTTTTTATCCACTTTTTTTAATACCCTCTCCTTGCTATCTCTTTCTTCCGTCCTCTCTCTCAAGCTTTATCTTCCTATGCTGGTGTCTAGATTTGACTACAGCACATTTCTAGCATCCCTGGTGCTAGAATACTTAACTGCTGGATGTAATATGGATAGAGAGTCTAGTTTTAGGAATATCAAAAGTAAATGCAATTAAAACTAACAGTATATGTTGAGAAGGGATGAAAATACCCGATGCCGATCAATGGTGTTATTTCCTCGAGAAGCAGTCAGGAAGTGCAGTAAAACTTCATCCTGTTCTAGCTTTGAGTATCTATCAAACTGGCGATTCAGTAGATTCCTATCCAGTTCTTCACCCAAGCTCTGCAAACAAAAAAAATGCAAGTGACAATTACTAATCAGAGAGAAAATTGCAAACAAAAATTAACAAATAATTTAAATTATATCAATTATAATGTCAAAGGAAACTTGCAAGCTTTTGCCCCTTTCCTTGACCATAAAGTTCACCAAACTAGGTGCACACACACGCTCAGTTTTATCGTATCCCTCAACTAAATTTCAAAGCATCCTGTCATTTGAATGTGCTTTTAGTACCATGCACTTCAACTGTTTGTTTTGGGACAATTTAAAGGCCTGATCAATAGTGGAGAATGTTCCCATAACCAGATTACCAGCTGAATCCACTAATTATACCAGATAAAAAGGAGTCCCTTATTGGGAATACTGTACCATTTATTGAGAGGTCCCTTATTGAGAGGGTATACTGTATTAAGAATTGGAATCAGTACCTGCCTGGCCAACTAGCACCCATACCAAGAAAAAGGTTATTAAACCTTCTTGTATCTTCACTGTCTTTTGCTGCTACAAACCCTCTACATTAACAATAAGAATCAACGTTACTAACCTGTAACACTTTTCTTGCATCATTGGGTTGCTTGGCTTCCAAACAAGCAAACAACAAGTCATGTTTTGCTTGTTTAGAGCCAAGAAATTGAGCAATGATATTCAGCATTTGCTCCAGAAGATCAACAGCTGTGCTAGAGGGCGACAAAAAAAGTTACACATAAAAGGTGATATGTACAATTACATAGCTCACAATACAGAATTTCTAGTAATGCAACTAGCATCAATTATTTAAAAAATCAGATGAAGATCTGTGTAAGTAAGCATGGAATGCTTTAAAAACAGCCACTTACTGGATATACATAGTTCCTCTTACAAAATATTTATTTAAAGGAAAGAGGTCTATGTACAATGTATCCAAAATATCTGGGTAATCAATGACCTCCAGTCACAAAACAAGTACACAACAAAAAAAAAGTAACCATGTTTTTGTATGTTCCACTCACGAAATTTAAATTAACAAAAGGTAAAGTTCACTACAGGTGTGTATGTGAAGGCTCCGGATGATGATGATGATGATGGATTTAGAATGGTGGAAAAAGAAACATGAGAGTCACCCATGCATCAATAAAATTTTAGCTCTCGTAAAAGAATTAAATAACACCACGCAATATATTCAATAAAATATATTTCAAAATGACAAAAAACACAGAAAATGGAAGAGTCTCAACAGATGTACCTCAGTGAAACAGACGGTGTTTAGACTGATGCGCAAACTAGCATTTACCTTATTTCAATAATTAAATCAAAAATTAATATAAACTTAAAATTATTGAAAGTATAAACCTTGATATTACTAAATAGTAAATTTACCAGAACATTAATGTATTGCGGACTGATACTAAAGTGGTTGCGTCAGTCAACAAAACATTGAGGTGGTTAGAATGTACAATTTTTGTTGTTAACTGAAGATCCTAAGCAGTTAACAAATTTCGTTAGCAAGTTAAGTTAAGCGGTCACTGTACCTGTGCTCCCTGGACTAATTGCCAAAAACTATTTGTCAAAGCCTCACCTGGACACAGTAGATGTATTCACTGTCTCATTCAGACATTTCGACTGGTGAATGAGGTGAATAAGAATTTCAATCCTCATGGGGAGACTTTTGTAACTTTTATAGATAATTTCTGCTTCTTTAACTGCTGCTGGTAGGTCACCACTGTAATTAAAAAAAAAAGCTGTTAAGCAGAATCTTTCATAAAATATAAACATATTACCTGTACAGTACTTCATAATCCTATTCATCTATCATTTGATATATACTTGACTCTTTGGAGCATGAAGAGCATCAATAATGTAAGTACAGGTGCAATGACAAGGTAATGGTTATTGGATATCAGTCCAGTACTGTGTTTCAAGATATAGAAAAACCTGGGAACAGGAATGAAAAATATTAAATCTAAATGTCTATGTCCAATACTCCATTTCTAACTACTGTACTGTATTCCAAATTGCCTGGATGACAGAGAATGAGGATTGGAAGGAGAAATTGAAAGATACCATAATAATCACTACCATTGTCGGCATGTACTTGAAGATCATTAGGTGAGGAGGTTTGAAATTTTAATGTATTTTCTTAGAATTTTCTTTGTATTAAGGAGTTATCTTTTCCATTTTGTTGTTCTGACTTAATATGTGATGAAAGCAGCGTTATTACATACAAACCAACCATATACAAGATCCAGAAGCAGATGCCAGATATATTACTGTCCAGTGTTCAAGTAATTTTGTCCACAACCGTACATCAGTATTAATAATGGTCATGAATAAGTATTAAAAGCTAACCTATTTAGTCTGCACTTCACCAGGGTTCCAAGAACAAGATTATCTGGCTCCATCAGGCCCCCAGAAACAAGTGTGTCAAATATTTCCTTAGTCAGTTCGTAGTTGCAAGTTGAAGCAGCAGCCATTAACAGATTTCGACAATTTCTTCTAATCTGTCTGGTAAATACAGTCTTCTTATTCTCCGTCTCTAAGTACCGTCTGAGCATTGCCACTGCCTCTGCAAGTAAAGTTATCAAGTATAAAATACTGTGTCTTGACACACCTTGGTTACTTACTGTGCCATGAAAACTTGAAGTTCTTTATGCTAAAATATTATACTGTACAGGTACATGTATTTCAAAATCCTCACCTTGACTTCTCCCATTTTCCACTAAAAGTGTACAAAGGTCAATAACTTTGTAAGAGTCTAAGGAAAATGATGGATGTTCCACTTGGATTGTGGAGTACAAGTTCATAGCTGCTTCAACATTTTTGTTAGTGACATAAGCCATGAGAATACTTGCCATCATCCCCGCACTTAGCTTAATCCCATCCTCCTTTGCCTTCTGTAAATGGTAAAATATAAGAGGAAAATCAAACACTGCACAATTCATAAGTTTTTCCTTAACAGCAAATTAAAACTAAAAAATTAGCAAACACGTCCTGAAAATTGAAATAAATTATTTATTGATTACTGTAAGAGAAACACTACTGGCTATCAATACTATTTTCCACTGGGCAGTTTTAACTCAAATTAATAAGAGCAAGGAACACTACTTTGACTGCTACTCCAATTTACAACTCGAAGACCCCAATTCAATAATGATACCATAGGTAAGCCAGTTACTTTATCTAATAATAATAAAATTAAGTACCACACTGTACAGTAATCCCTAATGGAGTGTGGCGGTCAAGTGGGTACAGTGCTCGCCTCCTTTTCCATGGATCAGTGGTTTGATTCCTGGGCACTTAAGGAAGTGAATATGGTTGAGTGCAGTACCAGTCTTGTGCACTAAAGGCTAAGTATAAAGTGTGCTATATCCACACTGTCCCTAACGAGCAGTCATGCCTATGGAACCCACTTTCACTCTCACAGTAATCCCTCACCATTTGCTGATTTAAGTAACCATAGTTTCAAGTTTTAAGTATCCGCAAGTTTCCATGGCCACCATAGGAGGTTTTTAACCCAGAGCAGAAAGAATGCGACAGAAACTCTTGGCCTGCAAATATCACTGACACTGTTCTCAACAAGCTCATTATATGGGGTTGGAAAGTAATGTACCATAATGTCATTAGAACAGAGAATGGAACTGCTTGGTCAACCTGCACGTGGTGAAAGTGTAGCGTCTGTTGGCAGTCCTTTTCATGCTAATGAGTCAACAGAGAGAACTACTGTATAAAGAAAAGTGAAAGTACATTATGGCTACAGTGTGGTAAGAAGTACACCAGGAGTACAAAAGTAGCTTATGTGACCTGTAATCCTTGCCTAGAAAAGGCAGAAGAAGTGCTCTCTCTATGCACTGAAGATGTGACACAAAGAAAAGTGACTGAATAGCAACATGATCTGCCAGAAAATTAGATGTATTTACATCCATCTTGTGGAGACATTAAGCAGTGCAGCTGGTACTGTACTTCACAAATGACCACCAGCCTCCAAGCCAACAAAGGTTGGTTTGAAAGCTTAACACCAGGATGCATAACAAGAAAATTGTAGGTAAAAGGGCATCGTCAGACATTATGACTGGGCAGGTACGCAGCAGTATTGTTAGGGGTAGTGCTGAGGTCGGGCACACACCATTTGCGGGGTAGGGGAGTCTTCTCCATTACATTGTTTTTCAATAACTGTACAGTATACTATATAGTACTGTACAGTAAGATCTCATATTTCGCTCGATTTCATTTCACGTTTTTAATTTCGCGAGCATTACCTAATGTAACCAAGTCTTATAATTGGCGTAAAATATAGTGAGTTTCGCGAGATCCAGCCAGCTGAATGCTGGCCACCGTCTTGAATGACATCACAGCTCTCATACCAGTTACAGTCATTTGTATGAAAAGGTTTAATACAAAGGAGAATCACTGGCAGCCTTCTTACACAGTTTAACTGTGAAAAAAAATATATCCCAGTGGAAGTCAGTTCTAATAACAACTAGCGGAGCTGAGGCATATAAAATGTGTAAAGAAATATGAAAGAAGGAAAAGAATTAAAAGGTACATTTTTATATAAGATCATATTTGGTTGTAAACACAAGCAAAACAGTAAAAAATACACTTTCTATAAGTTGCTATACTGTACTTGAAGACTGAATAATTTTTCACCCTTCCAAACCTTTTCCCTGTATGAATGTAAGGTGGCTGAAACATGTCTAACAAAGCAGTAAGAATTATATTCCATTATCACTTAGGCTGAATGAAGTAAAATAAACCCCCATTTGCCCTACCTCCATGAGGCTCAAAACATTCTCAGTTTCATTTTTGGTAGCTTGCTGGAGAAGCAGCTTACGGAGAGTTCCTCGCACATTCAGACTTTTTGCTTGAAGTTCAACCATGTGACCATCCAGTTCCTCTGTACTCATACTCTTCTACATGAGGAATATTAATTACAAAATATTAGTTTTGATTTGGCCACAAAATCATCAACAGAAAAATGTAGTATTATAGAGACTTCCAAATAGAGTAAGGCTAAAACCATCTCAGTGTCACATTCACTTGATTATTTTTTTTTCTGAATAACATAAAACTTATACAATGTATGAATAAAACAAAGTGGCAGATGCTCCAGGCTGTAAGAGAGAGATAAGTACACTACAATACAGTGCTGTATTTCGTTCTTGTCCACTTACCGGATGAGGCAGAATGTTGTATTCCTGTTCCTTAGGAGGTTGACCCATTTTAGGATTAAGAATAATACTGATATTATTCCTGATGGCCTGCTGTATAGACCTGTTGGACCGAGTCATCAATAGGTCAGCAGAATTTTCTGAGATTCCAATGTTGTTTTTCCGTAGTTCCTGAAGAGTCGGAGGAATCAAGTATATGTACACTATAGCACTTAAGCTACGAGATTTATTTTTATTTCAGCTGATAATGTATAATTTCCATATCAAAACAAAGAGTAAAAGTTGTTACAATGCGTGGTATACTAAACAACTGTGAACTTGAATATGGGTCACTTTTAAATTATACTGCCCTTCAGAGGAAACACTGGTATGTGTACTTTCCCTAGTCCACCATGCAGTTATAAAAAAGGAGAGAGGGAGAGAGGACCTTCTTCCTGAGCCTAAAGAAAAAATCATTTCTGGCATCCAAAATTTTAATGAAGACTAAACTTCATGGGAAAAGTTGCCCAAATCATGTCATATGCCTTTTTTCATTCCCCTTTTCTCCTTTCTTTTTACTCTTTAACACCTTTTGTACAGGGGCATCTCTCTGGTGAATAAAATTGTCTGGCATTAGCCAAATAAAATAGTAAAAGTGGTGACCCTGTGTTGAAGTTAAGCATCCCTCCATTGAAGGAAGTAAGCCTATCCTCCTGTTCTGGGTATATATCTCTGGTCACTTGGATACCAGAAATTTTCAGGTCTTGCTTTCCTTATGATATGCCAGACTCCAAATTCTTAAGACTCTAGACTAAGTTTCTTCTAGGTACTGAACTAGAGTCTGTAACAAAGGGAGGAAGCAAAAACCCAACTACTAACCTCAAACAGAGGACAAATTTGCTCATCATTAAGACCAGTTCTTGAAGTGGCTAAATCAAGTAGAAACTGTCCTCCCCAATCTTCTTCAGCAAACTCATTCTTAGTCGAATTCTGAAGTTATACATAATATAAAGTTTAACAAAAAGAGGTTGTACAGGTTATGAACATACGAACATCCACTAATATGAACGAGGTTAAACTTTAAATTTACAGTACAGTACAATACTGTATTTTATTTACCTGACTTATTTCTTTCTTTAATTTACTATATTTTTCTTAAATGAAGTGGTTATAGATGTATACAGTATAAGGACTTAGGCTATGATACAGTGGGTTTTTAAACTCATTCATAACCCGGGGACTGTCTGTATTCATTCTTTTCATCTGATTTGTAGTCACTTCAGTAAGCTTGATCAATTATGTGCATATAAATATCTACTCTTTTTGGAGTACTGTACTGTACTATTAATTTAAAAGGTAACTGTCACATACTTTCCATATTTGTTGTATAACCTAAAATTAATCCCTTCAACCACTTTACCTCTTTGTTCTTGTTAATGAGGAGAGCCAACAAGGTGATGATGGCCCGGGGGCTGGTCGACCAAGACCTAGCTAAAGTGGCAGTTAGATCACGGAGAGAGAAGGGAACTTTTGTCTCCTTTACTGAAACAGAAATTACAAACTCAATGAATTCAAATAAAGTGACTCATTTTCAACAAGAAATAGCAGTTACACTATAGCCTCTACTGCACAACATCCTAATGCACCCACTAATAATGTGCCACAGAACCAGAGCTGGAGTTTCATTTCTCTGATATCTTCTAACTCATTTTTAAGTTCATCTATTAGAAACCACCAGCATGCAAGCAAGTGTAAGCCATCTTAATTATTGGTACAGAATACTTCAGTATATTGTCTAGATGATGTTTACATAAGAGTTGACTTATCTACTAGGTGCAAAATATGGAGTCTTAGTATATCAGCTATCCTGCCATCAGAAAATGCCTGGACCTCTAACTAAAAGGTTCTATTTTCATACAGTTTAATACTGTACATGGTACATGAAGTGTTCATATGTGCCATACATGGTGTGGTTCTGTTCACATTCTGTTTAACTGAGCCTCCAGTGATGCAATGTTGTTCTGATCACTTATCCCATTATTTAGACATTAATAAACGGGCAACATGACTGGAAACACGCCTCTGAGTGGAACTGACAAGAAAAGTTCCAAAAGATAACATATAACAATAACACTGAATGTGAAGTTGATGTAATAAGGAGAAAGGCATGCAAAAGTCATGCAAAAAGCCAGGGCAGTCTAGTTTAATCTACAGTGGCAACTACACTGTATATTAAAATATGTTCTTCAGTACCAACCAACCAGATCTGATATTAAGATATACTGTATAAACATAAATCTATACAGTTAACAGGATGAGCTGAGAGGAGTTATGTTATGGCTATTTTTCAGGTCATAATTTTAGGTAGATAAATAAAACGTTCTTCATATTTTTTTTATTAGTTCAATGCACACATGCAAAAATAGTAAAAGAAATTCCTACCCTAAAGCCAAATAAAAAAGAGATTAAACATTCTTTGTGTGCTAGAGTAGGAGGGGGAGCACTGCTAATGGATTGGGAGGGGAATCATCCCCAACAGGACATAGTACAGTAGTAATAAAATTATAACGAGAGAGACTGATGCAGTATTACTTATCTTCAATAAATAGAGTAAATCAGTGTTACAGAAAACAATACTTACCAAATTCAAATGCTTGTTTATACATGTTGTTTTTTATGAGTACAATCAGTAATGGAGTTGCTGCCACGGTTACCGTCAGTCCTGCACGGTTGAGCATCTTCATGGTTAAATTTGGGTGGTTGACAGTGAGACCAGGAATAACATGATCCTTCAGTGTTTCCAAGCTGGGGCTCTCACCCATCTCTAACATCTCATGCACACACTCTATTAGTTCTGTAAGCACAATAAGCTTTCAGAATATATTTTTATTAATAATCCTTAATATCAATGTGTTAGTTTAGTATGATGATGAAGATGGAGGAGGGCCCGGGAAAAGCAGAGACTGGGTCCTCGGTGAGATGCAATATCTTGAGGGATTGGTGAAAACAGCCCAACAATGTTTAGAGTGGAGGACTGTGGTTGCCAACCCTCTGACATAAGGATGACACTTTTGACTGATTAATCGATTGATTAATTGGACTCAAAAATATCTTTACCATTGAGGAGGCACACACTATGCTACAACCTTGGGTAAAATGTTTAGTAAGAATGAAACATGTACTGAAATTAGAAAGAAAATTTGCAGAGGTATCATGATAGGAAAACAAAATTCTTTACATAAAAAATACAAGCACTGCAATCAAATACAGAGCTAAGACAGCAAGTAGAAGTATACGCACATACAGTAGTACTTTCTCATATCCTCAACTAGCACACACAGTATAAAAGTGAACCTCTGACATCCACATTGATTCACAACTTTTTACATCAATTCCTGTACCTATTACTGTAGTAAATTCTTTTGACTTAATCTTCATTATAATTTCTTAATAACTAGATATATAGAACCGGAAAAGCATGCACAAGGATTTAAATACTGTTTGTACTTTAATACGAAATAGCATCTGCTGGTGAGTACAGCATAATGTATACTGTACAGTAGTATATTTTGTGTACTTACAATATATTATACTGTACTACATGTATAGTAGTGTTTGCATAAATAAATACAGCCGTGTCTGTCCAACTGCAGTTAAATCTCTCCATGCAAGATATATAGTTTAGACTCTTGGAAAACTTTAACCAGTACCCAGAAAAATTCCAGGAATGAGAAAAATTTGTCTCCATACCCGGAAATCTCTCAAACCCGGAACTGCTCTGCGCCAATTATTCTGGCTAATGGGGGAAACTACTGTATGAGTAACAATTTTAGTGATTAACACAAGTCTACATATCTTAACTCATGCTGCATGTAATATTGTAAATCCCAAAACTGTCACAAAAAGTGAATGTTCTTTGTCTATCCAATTCATTTTCATCACAAATTTGAAATGTCATGAAGGTTCCAATCACCATGCAATGTTCAGATTTATTCCCATTTTCATTTACTCTCAAAGTCTCCCACCATCTTTCACTCCCAAAAGATTCCATGTTCATTCTCTCAAAAATCCTCATCTGCAATCAATCTAAAACAGGGGTCACCAAACTACGGCCCGCGGGCCTGATCCCAAGTCCTTCCCCGGCTCGTGGTAGCTCCGCCTACGCTCTGACGTTACCAGAGCTTTTGTTCTGGCTTGCAAGTATTGAACAGAATGATTATGCGGCCCGCGCTCGTCATTCTTTCAGTTATCCGGCCCACTGTGAAAAAAGTTTGGTGACCCCTGATCTAAAACATTCCAATTTTCATTCAGTGTAACATTTGTTTATCTTTTTCAAATCAATTGATCACACACCAGGTACAGAAAATTCCAAGATTAAGTACAAACTTTACTACTGTAATTACATCAAGTTATCTGAAGCTTACTTGAGGGTTCACTGGCCACAGCGTTCATGTGAAATAAAGGCCAAAAATAGTGTTGCCGGATAGGGCTGCCACTCTCCTTAACTGCTTTCAGAAGAGCCCATGCCAATTTCTCCCTCTTCTCTCTTAAGGTATACTCGAGAGCGACTTGTAGTGCAAACAGGTTTATTTCTTTGTGCTGAAGCTCCTTACACATTTCAACTAGCAGACAGGGTTCCTGTTACAAAAAGTATCAGTTACAATACTGTATTGTATTCATAGTGAAATAAAATAAATACCAAATGATGGTAAATTACAAAATAATATAAATTCTAAGTAGATTCCATGCCAGGTACGGTATATTAATTAAAGAAGGGTGACATTGACAGAACTTTTTATAAAAATTCTGACTGCCACAAGTATCACTTTTGTAAGCCTATTTCTCTGATAGTGCAGGCTGGCAGGAATCAAGAACAACATAGGTTATACATGAGGAACCCATTACTTAACAAATATAAAATTTTTAATGTTTCTTACAGTTATTACAATGTGGAAAGCTTCTCCACAAAGTTATTACAGTATACTGGTGGAAATATTATGCATGATAAAATTGAAATAATTATTGAAATATCTCTGGATAAATTTGTTAAAATTTATGGCAAAATATATGTTTTATTTTCTGGCAGCGGCTCACTATATTACTGTATTTATCTGAACATAAACCTCAAATACAGGGTTTCCCATTTACTGCATATATAACACAATGATTTCTTTAATGTTTTAATGTAAAAGCTTTAAACACAAACATGGCAGTTTACTCCAATTATGCAGTATGTTCTTTTCTAGTGATGCAGCCCTATCTCTTAAAAAAATTGGCTCCAATGAAAATCCATTTGTTTTAATACTCTCTCCACAACTAACCAAAACATTATTGCTCTCAATCTATCTACACCTATGGGAGCAATTTTCTCTCCGAGTCTGTTTTGATCTCATTTGTACAGTATTACACACTTCACTCTGCAGGTTACCCCAAAGAAAAGAGTCCTGTGCAGACATGATAAACAAATGCATCATCAGAAAAGTACATTTAAATGTTGTGATTTACAAGTGAATTAAACTGCCATCTATTTTGTTTATAGCTATTTTATTAAAAACTTCACTTACCACATGAGCATAGACCATCTCACGAATATAGACCAGGGCATTGGAATAGAGGTGATTGTTACTACGTATCAGTGGGAATGTGGGCAGAAGATGAACAGCTTCCCGCACATGGCCACAGTGTATCATCTGTAGGACCACTCGGGACAAGTCCAACTTGTTGCTACATTCTGTCATCAGCTCAACAATCTTGATAAAAAAGAGTGAGGATATGAACAAAATATTTCTATGTGCTGTCTTCATTCTTTCCTAATACAGTATTGTACTATACAGTACTGTACACATTCATCTTGCACCACTCCCTCTAATAATTCTCCCCTTCTCTAAAGTTTCTGTACCCCATGATGCACCTCACACAAAAGTGGCAAGAAAGTAATGAAGATAACACATAGTTTCTCAAAAATTTCACAATTTAAATTTTTCTCAAAGTTAGTTTTTAAAGGTTAAAAACTGTGTTTGTGTGCGCATGCATACCTGTATCCATGTGGTGTTATTTTTTCACTACATATAACTTAAAAGTAATGAAATAACACTTTCTCAACAAAGTTAAAGCGACAGGCATCAACAGTTAGGGGTGTACAATACAAACCTGAGAATCCCATAGCTAAACTTACTAAACCCAAAACACAATCAAGGCACAAAAGAATGATTATTATTTAAATGCACTATACTCTCGGGAGTATATAAGAATGCACTACCAGAGAGAACGTGTAAAATAATAATAAAAAACATCTTCAGAATATAGTGTTACCAGCAAATGCTGTAACGTACAGGCCCCCCCCCCCCCAAAGTATCATTAGCCATATGAATGTTGGCAGCCCCATACTTAACAATCAACAAAATAAAATCTTGTCTCAAATAATGTGTATGCAATTATTTAGAGAATGAATTCATCATCTTAATTCTATATAAACTAAAATAGTCTTATTTTGTATTTCATACATACAGTATATAACCCACGTGCAAATATCCAACTGGAAGCTAAAAAAAATTATAAAGGCTAGATGCTGACAAACTCACATTGTGGAACAGTACAGCATCCAATAGAGACAAGAAGTGGATGCAACATAAAACTTACATAATCCATATTCTCAAATTCCACTCCAGCTTGACTGCTCTTGACTAGGTTAAGTAGTAGTGATGCCAACTGACTATGAGTTAAGGCAACCCTGGCTTGTTTCATCTGAGCAACCACTTGCTTCATCTGCAATATCTGACCAGCAATTCCGTATGCATTTACCAAGGCTTCATAAGTAATGCTGGTGGGGGTTATTTGTACACTTCTCATGGCATCATACACTGATTCTATTCCTTTACAATCCCTGTAATAATGAAACTTCAATTACGGTTCTACATAAATTGGGTGCATTTACCTTTGCTGCAATAAAAAGAAAATAATTCATTTATTACTGATCTTAATACTGTAATCATTTACCTCACATAGTACTTCTGAAATTATTTTATCATACAAAAACAGGTGGTGATGACAACAACCATTTAACTTGCTCAAAAATATGCAGGATAAATGTGCACCACTTATACTAGAATTGCTGATAACTGTACTGTACTGTACTTTACTGCACAGCACTGCACAGCACTGCACTGTACTGTACTTCAATGTACTGTACAAAGTATACATTTTAAGACAAATTTTGTAAGTGGTTAAGAGAAATGAGATGGGGTTTTAACCTGTTAATGGTCAATGACGTAAATTACATCATCCCTTGCCATACACTAATTGGTCACTGACGTAGTTTACATCATGTTAAGCTAGGGTTCTTTGGGCTTTGTTAAGTGCTCCTATGGGTCTAGATCTGTAGAATAACTCATTTTATAAGACCTGGCAACTTGTGGCTATAAATAGATGAATGTGTGAATGCCACAAAAACAGAGACAAGGGTGTGTGTGCGTGTGGTGAAGGGAAGAGCGTCATATTCCCGCCTTCCACACTGCAGCATTGCCATATCTCCCAGTGAAAAATTTCAGGGTGCTGACATGCAACTTTGTGCTTCCAGTATACATGGTGTATATACATGTATAGAACTAATTTTATAGGTATACAATATTGATAATTATATAACATAATGAAGTAAAAGTGGTAGCAGACATGCTGGTATCTCTGAATGACACTGCATGCATGGCAACGTTCAACTACCTGGGACTTTTAAACCATGCAAGGAGCTTACAGGTGTGCTTTTTACTGTTACCATGTGATTTTGAGGGTCCTTTAGGATTGTTTTAGCCAACAAAAAGAATGTGGAAAATCTTTTACCATCTCGGCACAACTTAGGTTAAATTAATTGACCATCTATGGGTTAAGAGAGAGAGAGAGATGGTATTCACAAGTCACTGAAACATATTATGAGGGGCAAGTGTGATGAACATCTGGAGAGAATGGATGAGCAGAATGTGTGAAAGATCATCTCAGTGTGGTAAAATGTAGCACAGTACAGTATGTATAAAACTTTGCAATAAGTATGAAAGTGACACCTGTTAGAGACTTGTATAAATTTATGCAGAGACAAGGAGTCTATAGTGGGTTAAAAAAGATCAACAAAACAATACTGTAGAATATTTCTTTAAAGGAAGTTACCAGTAACCAATAGGTATACTGTATCACCTACAAGAGCAGACATGTATACGTACTGTGATTAAAATCATCCCTTCTTTCTTGCACACCACAATCATGGTACAGTCGGGGTCAAAAGTCTTGAACATTTTTAACAGTAATTGGCATGTAGTACCCGAAGGTCTTGGGTATTAAGGAGAGTTTTATCCCATTTTGTGATTCAAGCATAATATGTGATAACAAGTAGTGTTATTAGTATACAGTATCCCAATCATATATATATAACTCAGAAGTTGATGCCAGATATTGCTAAGTGTTCAAGACTTTTTACCCTGATTGTACATTATTCCCACATCCAACATTGAATATATACCAATTTCATTTCATGATAAAAGAGGGAATTCCAGACTTATTTGTAAAATGAAAGATTATGCTGAAATACTGTACAGTACTACAGTATTTTACATTATTAAGACTGTGTTTAGAAATGACACTTGGTGAATTAATACAAAATTTTGAGTTCAGGTATGCACAGAATGACTTGTCAGAGAACATACAAGGATTAAATATGTAAAACTCACTTGTTAACACCATGTGCCATGATAAGGGCACTAAATATAGTCTCTGTGATTGGTAAATTTTTTTGCTTCATTAAGGTGAGAATACTGGTAGCCCCTGCCAGGTCTCCAAGGTCACCCATCATTAATATCAATAACTCCAGGGTTTCAAAACTTGGTTCGAGGTGGTATTTCTCCAACAGGCTGAGTATATCCTGTTTAAAATAAAGATTAAAAGAATACATGAAATCAATTCCTGACCAACTACTGAATTGCAATAAGACTGACATTAGTCAAATAAAATACTGTACAAGTATTAAAATTGGCATCCCCGTAGTGAAGGGGTTAACCAACATTACATTATCTAGAATACCCAAAACAATATCCTATCTACAGGTATATTATTTCTTTGTCATTCTTGTATGTGGTAGCTGAAGAAGCATAGAAATCATAAGTAAAAGGGAAGAGTGGAGCATAACTTATATAGAAAGCAGTGATGTAGTCAAGACCATGACCATTCGCAATTTTAGCATTTATGGACCACCTGAAGATTAGCCCCCAGGTAGTGTCGGTGTTAGTAAACTTCAGGTGGGATATGCTGGGAGGGGGACAATCCTCATGGGTGACTATAGGTATCCCTGCAATCTTAAAATTTGCTTATCCAAGTTTTATATTCTTGCTCCTCATTTTTTTGCTATCCAAAGATAATGCAGTACTGTATTCACTTAACCAAATGTTGGTCTGATCAAAATTTCAAATCATATGCCAGGCATGGCTTGCGAGTCAGCTGGGGTGGCCATTTTTGCCCCCCCAAATACATAAGATATTGCATTGTACCAACTGTATACAGTATATGTATTGTAATTAGTTTGCCTTATTTTTTTAGGTATCATATTGTGGGTTTCTTATTGTTCGTGAGTACTTTATGAATGAGATACATTTTTACTTCTACTTGAGCTCATTGAATTTGGGATACTTTTACTTCTACTGAGTAACATTTTGCCGATCTCACACCTACATCTAAATTTGTTTAATTTAAAACCATTGCTACGAGTTCACTCCTGGTTGAATAGTTTAAGTACCTTTGTTATATCACCCTTGTTTAACTCTGACTTCCATTTTTGCACCTCAATCATATCGGCCCTCTCTCTACATCTCTCGAGGGAGTGCAAATTCAGATGCTTTAATCTGTCTCAATACTCAAGGTTATTAATACCCAAGATTAGTCTTGTCATCCTCCTCTGAATGCCTTCTAGGGATTTGATATCCATTCTGTAGTACAGTGACCAGAACTGAATTGCATAATCCAAGTGAGATCTCACACGTGCAAGATATTGTATGAACCCAAGTACTTTGTTAGCCTTGTTTCGAGAAAATACACATTGGTGTTTTGGTTTAAGATTCCTACTTATCATTACACCTAAATCTTTCTCAGTCAGATTTCTCTATATCAACATTGTTCATCTGATATCTGGTTTATGTTTAAAACTCCGAGACTTTACATTTGTCCACATTAAATTTCATCAGCCACTTTTCAGATCATGCAAAAAATTTGTTAAGGTCTTCCTGTAGTTTTGTGGAGTCCTCATCAGATTTAATTTCATGCCCTATTTTACTGTCATCAGCAAATTTACTTATGCTGCTGTCTATTTCATTTAAGAATATAATGAATAGTAATGATTCAAGTAGTGAGCCTTGGGGTACTCCACCAGTGACACTACCCCAATCGGATTTAGTACCATTAATGCTGACTCTGTTTCCTCTCCTTTAACCATGCCCTAATCCAGTTTAAAATATCTCCTCCAATTCCATGAGCCTCCACTTTACATATTAGTCTTTCATGGGGGACCCTGTCGAAGGCTTTGCTAAAGTCAAGGTAAACCACATCATAATCATGTCTGTCATCCACTGCTTCAAAAACAGGTGAAATGAATGATAATAGATTTGTCAGACATGAACACCCACTTGTGAAGCCATGCTGGGAATCATTGATCAACTTGTGTTTCTCGAGATGATTTTAAATTGAGTTTGAAATTATTGCTCCCAGTAATTTGCCTATTATTGATGTTAAACTGATTGGATGGTAATTAGAGTATAGTGATCTATCTCCCTTCTTGAAAATCGGTATCACATTCACTCTCCTCCAGGATTCTGGTACTACACCCATTTTTAATGACATGTTAAACAAGTATGCTAAAGGCATACTAAAGTCTTCCTTGCATTATTTTAATACTCTCGCAAATATCTCATTGGGACCTACATCACTTGTAGACAGTAACAGAAAAGTGCTAACAGAACATGTAGAAACAGTCACACATACCTCTTCATACCTTCAACTTTTAAACTTTCATACATAATATAAGAAGTGAACTTTCAGTGTCCTCAATGACTGTAATTAATTCTTTGTTCAATCCATTCTCATAACTCTACATTCATCCATTATCTCAGAAAGCATTTTTTGCCTACTCAGGTAGCAGTGTTTGAATCATTCCTCAAAGCAAACCTTACTACATTCAGCATTCTTTTGTACAAGTTTAACATTAACTTTCTTTGAGCCCCAACAATATACTACAGGTACATAAATTTCTACAGGTATACATAAATTTCATAGATACATCTAATATTTTAGTCTCTATTTAAATATCTTTATAAAATAATGTAAAAAAAATACAAGTACTACTGTACAGTACAGTACTTAAATTCTATATTACCTGAAATCTGTTCTGCAAATATGGTATCAATAACAAACTTTAATCTCTTAAACATTTTTTACCTCAGATGTACAGGTAGACTCAGCAAGTCGACTTGTACGTAGGTACAGCTCAAAGTGTTCCACTGTAAGACTTGCACCTGAAATGATTTAAATGTTGCACAAATTCTATTAACAAATTTTACACATGCATCACAGTATGGTACAGTATACTGTACTGTATCCATATATCTGTTGTAATTCTAATACACTTAAATTTTCTTAAAATATTAATGTAATGAATTAAAAAAATAACTGCCTGAGGAAGAAGTTTAATTATGGGAAAAGATTTCTCACAAATAATATTGTGGAAACAAACAGAAAAAAGCTTCTGTAAATAATAATGCTAATCAATTTTAAATAATCACTACAGCATACCATTAGTTCTCCTTTACCACATACCCTGTACATACTGTACAGGTGTATTCACATTTTACAGTTTCGATTTATTACAGTTTCTTTTTAAGAGCAAAATACTGTACAGTATTTATGAGTATGCAACATGTTTCATTTTATCACAATGCTACGGTAAGAAAAATAAAAAAAAAACACGAGAAAGAATCAATAGAGAACCTTCTATATGTGCAGAGAAGCTTACAGTAAGAGTTGTTTACACATGTAGCTATGCAATTACGTCTTTACAAATTGCCCCAAATCATGTATAAGTGAAAAAAGGCCCAACAGTGCTTCACAAGGAACACTTTGTATGAAGAAACAGGGAGATGGTTTTCTTTTTTTTTAGTTGAATTGAGATATTATATGACATAAGTGTGGTGAAGAAAGATAATTTGACAAATGGCCAAGAGAGGGAGAACAAACATGTGCCTCTCAATTGTACAGTAGTATACAGTATATAGAACACCACTGCTCACAGACATCCAGGTTATGACATTTAGTTCCAAACAAGGCTCCCTAAACCTGTATACTGCATGTACAAACAGATTAACAGACAATATTATGCTACTCTTATTTTCATGGAAACAACCCTCAATGAAACACAAAAGGAAAATGCTTCTATGAATACCAGTACAGTGTAGAGTGATTACCCAGTGAATTTTTTTTCTCCATATTTGGGTGCTTAGTAGACTGGCAATTGAGTGGTAAATTAGATGATCAACTTTGTTTATATCAGCTGAAATGGAACACTTGCAATAAAGTTGAACTACCTGAACTTTATAAGGAAAATATAAAAGATAAGGAATAATATGTGTGAACCGAAAAAAAATCTACAGTATATAGTGTACAGAATATGAACTAACTTGATCTGTTAGTGCACAGCATCCAAACACATGACACAACATTTGCACAGGGTCGATAATCGTCTTCCGCCATCCTTAGGGTGAATTGCAGAAGCTTTAGACAATCATCATCCGTTAGTTCCTCCAAGTGGTTCTTCAAACTTCTCACACATCGCTCAATGTCACTAACATTCAAACGTCCAAGTCTTTCTAGTTTCATTTTCAAAATTTTAAGTGTTTCTTCCACTTCTTTTTTCTCTTTCTTGTCAGGGTTAATCTGAGATGAAGCTTCATTATTTCTGTCTAAATCTTGCTTCAGAAGTCTACCTCCAATACGTTTGTCTATCGAAGGTAATGGGGTTTCAGGTACGGTTGCCCTGAAAGAGAAAAAGAAAAGAAATTACTGTATATTTTGTACAATAAAGCACTTGACCAGTTAGAATAACAGAAGTTAACAAGTTATCAGTAAGCAACCTGTACAATGAGCTCCACTCTCAGGTTCATTCATGCCTTGTTTGGTGGTCAAGTTGAATGATTGGGTTAAGTTTGGCTATGACAACTAAGACTCAAATGTATTTGAGTATTGAAGTATCTGAGAAGAGCTCACAAAAAAGGCAGCTACTGTGCAGACATGGCTAAAGGTTCACTTTATCTTCACAATCTTTATATTTTATCAACTGATTCAGCGAGAACGGGATAAATTATATTTGCAGTGAGAAAATGAGCAAAACAGCCAAGGCGATAAGGTAGTGATGAAGGATTGTGCTATGGTCTTAGTGAATGTGGCTGCTTGTTTTTCTTATTAATTATTTTTTGTTACACTGGAACAAATTACTCGCTGGTCGTAAAGCACAAGGGTTCCCGCAGTCTGGACAGTCTCTTTTGGAAGGAAGGATGTTGTAGTCTATGAAAAACTGGAGGTAACTATAGTTACGGTGAAAAAGAAAACTATCACCAATAATTTTACAGCAAATTTACGTCTGCTGCTGGGCTGTATAACTTGAGTTGTTCTGTTCTTGAATAACTTTAAAAGGCGTTTAAACAATGTACAGTCAGCTGTCTCCACTACCGTACATTACACTACATTATCACACTTAATATTCCATTCACGATACTTACCTATAAAATACTCTTGATGTCGTGTTATTTTGGTATCCATTAACTACAGCAAGTTGTAGCGGTGCTCGCCTGATGCCATAATGTCTTACAACACACTGCAGGAGGGACACTCTCAGGCGGCTGGCCATGGTCAACAAAAACAAACGGCCGTGTTGTTGTCAGTAAAGACCTTCGTGGATCATCGTTCTTTAAGGTTTAAATGTAAGAATACAACATACTAAATCTTTAAATAACAAACTTCAATAAAGCCTTATTATCTGCGAATATCAACGGTAAACTTAGAAAATTTTATATAAGTTCAGGATTATGGGTGTGAGCCGTTCAGTGGTGGAGGATAAAGTTACTAGTCTTGCTTTCTTGTGGGGGAACCTGTGGACGCCAATGGTTGCCAACAGTGCTTAACAACCTGACCAGCAGCGAATAGGATGAAATAAAATTAAGAAGAAAAAATTGCTATATCTTAAGACCATAATAATAATAATAAAGTCCACCCATTTCAAATTTCAGTTTTCTTTTACCGCGACACAGAAAATGGAGGTAAATAAACAGTTTGGTGAATGAGTTTAAATACGGGAATTAAAGTACAGACATTGAATGAGTTTAAAGGGGTTACCGTAGTACTACTGAGTGTCACTTTAATCAAATAACAATAATATAGGTCATATGAGAGGGAAACGTCATAGAAGAACAATATCTTAGAATTGTATAAATTATTGATGGTAATATTAACCAATAATAATATTAATGATAATAATAATAATAATAATAATAATAATAATAATAATAATAATACAACGGCAGCAACAACAACAATGTATAGAATAATTAACATGTAATTAATTCAGGACAGTTATATAAATTAAATTAATCTATTTTATACAAAATTTGTTAACAAAAAGATCACTTAATGGAACGTTATTCAATTTTCGCAAAATGAATATTTAGTTACAGATTAAGAGCAAAAATGTATTAGAATAAATGGATTACAGGATCATTAGGACCCCCTAGTATATATTGATTTGGTAAGGGTAGAATAGGATATGCTAGGTTAGGTTAGGTTAGGGTTAGGTAATGTTTGGATAGGTTCAGGTCTGGTTAGGTTAGGTTAGGTTAGGTGAGGTTTGGCCAATATGTTAATTTAGATTTGGTTAGGTTAGGTAAGTTAAAGGTTTGTTAGGCTGTGGTCGATTCCACTACTATTTCACAATACAAGCGATGTACTTCTATTCCATTATAATGACATACCTAATTTATGTATATTTCTCATTATTTTTTTTAATAACTGTACTAAATGAGGATAGAATGTTAGCAAACTTGTACTAACTAATTTTAGACACCACCTAACATCAAGGGTCTTTAAAATATATGAATTGCTTACATTATCATGATGTTCCCATCGACCTCAGTGACCAGTGTGGCTGGCGGGGTGATAATGTAAACTTCTGTAATGCATACCTTTATTCTGAACAAAATTCACTTCGCTAATGAGATGAATTTACGTATTGTCACAACCTTTTAATAAATATAATTTCAATATGTACTTAGATCTGGGGAGTCTTTGTGCCCTAGCTATCCTGCTGTTGCTTGACGGGCAAGGGGGGACCTAGTTGAGGTTTATAAGCATCTCAGGGGGCACTACTCAGTTGAGTGTCCTTACTTGGAGCTGGCGGACGCTCGCCCCACAAGGGGTCACAGCTCAAGATTGAAGAAGCCGCAAGTCCGGAAAACCGTGAGGGCAAACTTTTTCGGAGTGAGGGTTGTAAACTCTTGGAACAATCTACCAGAAAGTGTTGTGACGGCACCGAGTGTGAGCTCTTTCAAGAGAAGACTTGACCAACACTGGAGCGGGTTCAGGTACATTCAGGAGCCGGTGCATGCCCAGTATTTGCCAACAGTGCGTGACAGAGACGTGACCGATCGCCCGGGCGGCTAGCGAGCCGACCTTTTGGTGAAGAATATAAAGGAAAAGAGTCGTGACCGATAAACCAAGCGGCTAACAAGCTGATCAGTGGCGAAGAGGATAAAAGTAAAAGTAAAAGTTGACCTCAGTGGCACCCTCGCTACTCCAGTGTTACATCCTAGAAATACACTTTTTTTTTATTCTACCTTTTTTTTTACAGTTTTTCTGGTCCATTGTGCTGCCTTACAGCATTCCTCACCACACTTCTTCCTATGAATGGAGGATATTATACACAATCACCGTCATTAAAAATCTTTCCTTATACCTATGTGACACAAATTCTGTTTTACCATTATACCCAAGCGTGCCTTATGCCCGTATTGTTTCCTCCATGGGTTAACTATTATTCCACTCAATTTATTTTCAAGTTTCCTCAGTAGCCACTAGTGTCACAACAGACTGCCTTAGAGATTTTCACCACACTCTCTCATTGCCTTATGGGTGGTGAATCGCTGTCCTGGACACCAATAATTTAAATCTTCTATACTGTACTGTATATATTGTGACATGTTGGTTGTATACCCACACCTCGTCTCCACTCCCACAAAAATAATTTATCATCATTCGCAATTGACAACAAATTTTACACTGATCGACACATTCACTTCACCAGATTAACCTTGACGACTTTATGAATTTGCTGCCCAAATTGTAAAAAAATTTTGTTATAGACACAACACATTTTGCAACAAACACAACTATTTTTTAATAATGTAGAAAATGCCTACTACAACAACAACAACAAAAAATGTTGCTTGGATTTGGGTCAGTATAAGCAGAGTTGCATGGGTTTCAGATCAGCATAAAGTTGTGATGCTTTACTTTATCCTCTTCACATTCATAGTTTTTTCTGATACTGTAATGATTTACTGCCCAGCATGTCAGGCTAATCTTTTTAGAGATAGTAATGTATAGAATTGTGGAAAAGGGTGAAAATACTGTAATACTGTTTTGTATATCATAGTGGATGGCTATTTTACATTTTAAAACTTTGATGAACACTTCTGAAACGCAAATTTCACATACTTTTTGCTGCCACACACAACACCTCAAATCATTATCATCATCATCAAAGGGAAGTAAAAAAAATAACATCACTTTTTATAGATTATTATTATTTACAGGGACAGTGTTTATTGCAGTCATTGTTGTACCATGAACCTAACCCCTTTTTTCCCACTTGATTGAGGTTTTTAAATTCAAGGTTTCTGTATTCACAAAGTTTTCAAGAAGACATGAAGACAATCTTTGCAAATCCAACAGTCTTACGCCCTTATTATTAAACAACATCTTTCATTGAAGAGGGTCGTCGTGTTTCAACCCGAGTTGTAGACTAAATGAGTCCTGGACACCGCAGTACAGTACTTAACGGGGTGGTGTGGCAGTAAGATTAACTAATTCCAATATTATAAATTAATTTTATTGGAATTAGTTAATTTTACCACCACACCGCCCCGTTAAGTACTGTACTGCGGTGTCCCTCAGGACTCACTTAGTTTACAACTCGGGTTGAAACACGACGACCCTCTTCAATGAAAGATGTTGTTTAATAATACGGGCATTATTATTTTACTCTTCAATCCTCTACAAAATTTTCTTGCACAATAATGCTTTTACTGCATCTCCTATTACCTGTTTACACTGTCTCTTAGTATTGTAGTAAAGCATCCATCTACATGAGAAGGGTTAGGTTTTGCAGTCTGATGCCAGATTTACAACGATTCTGTAAAGTGTACTTGTCTCCTAAATGGAGTTATGTGAACATAGAATGTTAATGTAAACTTTATGCTACTTTGGAAGTTCTTGTTGTGTCAGCTAGTGAGGCACATTCTTTCTTCACATCTATAACTATGAGGTAAATTTAAAGCACAATCCTTTAAGAATCCCAGCACTGGGCTTTAACATACAGTATAGGTATAAATGCCCACCTCCTATGCATTCCAAATGAACATTACTTGAACCTTTTTATAGTTGTTATTGGTGGTGTTCCTGTTGTTCTTTGTATAAATATCTGCAAAACATAACCCTGACATATATTTTACATAAAAAAAAAATTGCCAATGATAGTCTCATAGACAAGATAATCTTTGCCAGGTCATTGAACTTTGAATGGTATCATGATGTTATTGGTCCTGAGAAGTGTTGCAAGGCTTGAGAGGAAAGGGTCTGATGGAGACACATTCTCCTCCTGCATCAACGTCCAAAGTGATAGTCCTTTTTTACCATCATTCTGTGCATCTGAAGAAGAAGTAATAATTTAGCTGAATATTCCATTTCAAAAGGAAGCAATGTGATATCTTTATATAAAAAGATGCAAATTGCAATCCATAAACCTAATTAAAAGAATATCTACTGCAGCAGCATACAAACACACCACAAGGTACAGATACAGTATACTGTACTGTATATTCAATATAATCAGAGGTGAATAGAATTCGTGGAACCAGAAGTAAAACTTTACTAAGTAAAATTTTCAATCTTTTCCACAAGAATACTGAAATATGGTAGCTATTTTATGTTATGCTGATTTGCATTCATTTGCTTTCGTTTAGTGATTTCTGAACATTTATTCAAATTACCAGTCTTCTCTTTCCTTCCTCAATCTTTTCATGCAATTTAATTCAACATCTATTCTCACTCTTTTGATATATCAAAATATAAGTTCAACAGAAAATTGGTTACTTGTCCTTACATGCACTAAGGTATTTCATGTGTTTAACCTTTCAAATATAGGTGTACTGTAGTAATCTCCCTGTTAGCCGGAATCCCTGATCCCCGGAACTCTCAAGAGACTGAAAGAAATCAGGCTGGAAAAATTCTGGGAAAACTTTCTCCATTCCGGGTGCATTTTCCAGAAAAACTCCAAGAAGGTTCCAAGAAAATATCTCCAAACCTCTCAATTCTGGGCCTGGGAATAAATTGTCCCAGAGTTCCGTGAAATTGCATCATGCTCCAACAAATCCCCATGTGCCAGGTGTGTGGGTGGTCTAGCTGCTTGAATCTCTTAGCTCATATTCTGCTGCAATTGTATAAGGTTGTTCCCTCGCTAGCTGCTGTTTTTGCTTACAATTTGTGTTGTTCAGTACTGTACATTACTGTGTCAGGACACAATCAGCCAAGATTACAGTGTTAAAACAGTGTTAAGATGTAAAAAATTATTAGTTATGTATACTGTACTGTACATTCAGTAAGTGGGAAACACTGGAGCACCTTAGTGTTTGTCTATATTCAAGACATCTTCAGGTCATAAGACCCACTAATCCCCCACCCTGACACTGGGTGACCTGACATTGTATCAGGTCAGGTAAGTAGCATGAGACCTACTAATTCCCTACCCCACCTCCATCACAAGTGGTAAAATGTAAAAAGTAATTACAGTTACGTATTACATTAGGCAGAGCATGTGCCTACTATAGGCTCAAGATGACAGCATCTGCTGGTGAGTACAGTATATACAGTACAGTTGTAGTATACATTATTTTTTTATTTACAATATATTTTAGGTGTACAAAGGTGTTTGCATAAATAAACACATGTACAGCTCTGTGCTAGGTGCGTAGTTTAGACATGGGAAAGTTTTCCCCAGTGCAGCGTAGAAAATTTCACTGTCTTGGCTGTGACACACAGCTCCATTCACACCCATATCATATAGATTTATTTTTTAATATACCCTGTACTTACTTAACCAAACTTACGATAAACTATTCAGGATAATTTTGGGAAAAGGTAAAGTTTTCTAACTTAATTAGAACTGATTTTAAGGGCTCCAGTATCAAAATTTTTTTAATTTTTTCATAAAAGGATTGAGTCCCCATTATTATATTGTGCTGAAATATTTTGTTAAAGGATCTTTTATTAGAATAGTCTTATAGAGAATTTATCTGGATCATCTCTCTAACAGTATTAGAACAGATACTGTGAATAACAGTTTATACACTTTTTGGCAAGACATAAATATTTTTGTTCGTGCCCGTAGTCCAAATGTAATGGGAAAGTGTTTGTCCTTGGGAGATGAAATGAGGAGATGCGTAGTTTAGAGTCGAGGTGAGATGCTTGGTTTAGACTCTCTTAGACTCTTGGAAAACTTTCCACCAATTGTTCCGGCTAACAGGGTATGTCAATTTCTCTAAGGTTGTATAAACAAAGAGAAAAGGGATTTTATAATTTTTCTCATCATGTTCTCCTTTAACATCTACTTAAGAAAAGACTAACTGTATATATCAAGTAGAGAACAAAAGATTATTTGGCGGTTAATGACACTATTTCCTCTGGAGGCACTGAGGAGATGTAGTAAAGCATCTTCTCGCTCCATCTTGGAATACAATTTACACATTTTAGTCAGCTGGTGTACATCAACTTCTTCATCTAAATTCTGCAAAAAAGAGAAAAAAGAGAGTAACAGAACAAGCTAATAATGTGTTTCTGTACATAATTATAACCACCAAAAATATATGAAAGACTTGCTGAAAGTATACTGTGTGCAGTAATATTTACACACTGCAAACAACCAATTCTGACATATGAGGTGAATAGAAGAGCAAGGGCCTATGTCTGAATCACTCAACTCAGTTCAATGTTTTCTGCCCTTGTTTTCTTTTAGGGATTGCACCATGCTGGAGGCATATCCACATTGCCTGACACCATTATCTTAAAAGAGGAATGTTGGGGCTATGAGGTGACATAGAAAATTGGAAATTGAGCAATCCAGTGATATGCCCTTGCTGTTGTAAATCCTCATATAATGGACTAATAATGAATTATTTTCATATAACAAGAATATTCATATGTTAACTTATAAAGGGTATTCCCACAACTTTCCTGTTTCACATGTTACAATGCTACTGGAGAAGCACTTTAGGTGGAAGCACGTGCATTAACATTACTGCCATCAAGTTCAATCAAATATTAAACTATCTGTTCCAATACTTATTTTATCTGGTAAATGAAAGAATGCTTACAAAAAAAAAAGAAGAGAAAATTCACTCTTGCAACACACAGGTCTAACTCATTTGGGAACCCCACTGATGAGAAAATCTGTATTATTCATGACAAACACTTGGCCTAGCCATTTCATCTGTTCTGAAAAAAATACAACTTTATGACATGAATACCACTGAGGGTAAAACTACAGTACAGTGATATCTCCATTAGCCGAAACAATTGGTGCAGAGCACTTTCTTGATGAAGCTGTGAAGCCAACCTTGGCTAGCTGTGAATTTACATTCACTTGCTGGCTGTCCTTCTCGCTGAAGCAGACGTGTCTGTATTTCCATTTCCTCATTCTTTATCATTGGACCAGATATCGCAGCTTTACGCCATTGCATATTTTCAAGAGGTGAATCAGAAAGACTGTACGGGCGAGCATGAATGTGTGAGTGAGCAGCCACGGTGGCGCCTCTGGTGAGCAAATAACGCATTTGTTTGCCATGGCAGTACATTTTAAATATTTCCTGCCCGATTCCCTCGCAAAATAAATAGATTTATAGCTATATATTGAAAAATGTCGATAATTTTGGTAGTTGCGATATAAAAAAAATCTTTATAAAAAATTGCTATATATCCCGACCCTACTGTACTGGGAAAAATTTCTTGGAATTTTTCAGAAAATGTGCCCCTCGGAAAATCGTTCCCAAAGCTGTAATTTCCTGGCTTTGAGAACGATTTTCCGAGAAAATTTCAATTCCGGCTATCGGAGAGTTTCGGGTTTGAGGGATTCCGGCGAACAGATATTACTTGCTCCGTAAAGGTAAAACACTCTTTTTTTCTTGTTACGAGAGGTTTAGTAAGAAATTAATGATGGGCAACTAAATTTCTGGTCCAATTGTCAAGTGCCATACAGATAGCAAAATTAAGAATATTAGTGGGCTTCACTAAATAGTGGAGCTTGTTCCAGTTATAAAACTAACAATTCTCTGGTGTCCCTTAAACTAACCTGTAAAACATTTCTAGCCACATCAGGACACCCTGTTTCCAAGCAGGCAAACATCAAATCATGCTGAGCTTGTAAAGACCCATATTGATGAACAATGAGGCTAAACATCTGCTCCAAAAGCCCATTGGCTGTGTCAGACTGCTCATCACCACTGTTGATAAATAAGAGGAGAATTTGTTTTACAGTACACTCTCAATTACCCACGGTGGTTATGAACCCTCATTGCTTCACACAACCCAGTGCCACATGCTTTCCCAAAAATCACTCGATACCACACTTTTTTTTTTTCCAATTTATGGTTTTGTCAACTGCTGGAACAGATTTGCTCAGTCATAGTGTACCAATTTCAGAATCTGGCCTACTCCTGATAATTCACACAACAAATCACACATCACAAGCACACCTCATCCCCTTGGGTCATTCAAAACCTTGCTTTATAATCGAACATAATTATTATTTAATAATTCAATAATAAAATGTCATAATTCTTCTATAATTCTTATTTATAAAACTTTTAACAAAACTCAACAGCACAGACACTGACTTTATCCAACTAGGCAAAAAAATCGAGGACTCACCATTTGACAGAACTCGGTAAAGTTATTTTCATGCTTAATTCTTTATAGTGATGAAGGAGTAGAAGTAGCATTTCCATCCTCTTGGGGAGAAGTTTGTAAGTTTTGTAAATAACTTTGGCAACTTCTACTGCTCCTGGTATATCACCACTGTAAATAAATGTAAAGTATTAACAAGGTTTTTAGACATCAGAACAAGTCATCAGCAGCATTTTATGGCCATTTTCTAGACTTGTGTGGGTTATCTGGTGGCAGCTCTCCATGCCGAACCATCAAGAGAATTATAAAACAATTTCACTTAAGTTTTCCCTTGATGCATAATGACAAAGTAATATTGAAAGTGGGTCCCATCGTCCTGACAGCCTGTAAATACAGTATACAAGCATTCTTCAATTTATGAAAGGGTTCCCTGCCTGAAAAACTTTAAATGCGCTGTATACTGTACAATGATCATAAGCCAATAATATTCATAATAAGTGAAACTTTCCATACAATAATGATTTCATACCTGTGTTGTACTTATGAGAATCCAGACAAGATTTGAAACAAAGTGAACAGTATGAAATGCTCACCAAAATCTATAATATTTCTATAGTAGTACACCTACAGTACTAATTGGAAATAGAATCTCTACAAAAAAAAATCTCACACTCGACCCCTGATGAGTTATTACATCATCCTAAATACATGTTGCTTTGGTTATATGGTGCAAACACTGTTGTCAGTTAACTGACACTACACTCACACTCTCTCGTGCATTGCTGGTAATATCCACACCACCAAAATTTTATTCAGTTCCAAATTCCACACTTTCTCTTATAATATTGTACATAATTAGCAATGAAATTTAAGAATACCAAATATTGTAAGTTCCTTTTATTTAATTTATCATACATTACAGTAGTACATGAGAGTAAATGAGGAGAAACTGGACAAACAAGCAACTGGCTGAGTGACTGTGCTGGTGGAGATGAGTCTACTTGTCCCCAGTGAGTTTGAGGAGAAAATTATGGAACCTGTAGGAGATTGAGGACACACTGAAAGTTTGTTTGTAGACTTTAAGTGTTAAAGAATATTGAAGAAAGTTAGTGAAATAAGCAAGAATATTGGTAGCAAAAAAATATATACGTACTGTATTATTTAGCATACTTTTACCATGACAAGAAAATTTATGAAAAGGGTAAAAAATAAATTTCAGAGCAATAGAATTTTTGTTTGTAAATCTAATCATAGGACAAATTAAATTTTTTTGTAACTTTGGATTTCCAGTGTCTTGTGAGGTACAGTAGTGAAATGGGCAATGGGAAAGTTAGGGGTCGAGAAGTTTTCTTGTACAAATGGTTATAGCATTATTTGAGGCTCAAGAGTCTCTGTAAGAGTAAATGGTGAGGAAAGTGAAGAATCTGGGGTGAAAGTTGAGGTCAATCAAGGATCTGTTTTGAACCCCTTTTGGTTTGTCAGTGTGTTAGATACACTACGGTACACTGTATTGTGAAATGTTGGAACTTGTCTGCCCTGGGACTTGCTGTGTATTGATGTCTTAATGCTGATAGCTGATAATATTAAAGATATAGTGGAGAAAAATAAAAAGGAAGGACGGAATGGATTCTAAGGGTGTGAGGGCAGCTGGGTGTTGAAAATAATGTACAGTAGTGACATGGTTTAGCACAGAAGTAGGTTAATGTAGTTTGGGCATGTGGAGAGAATGGTAAAGGCTAATTGGGTCAAAAGATTCATGAATCTGAATGTGAAAAGGAAGAGAGGTAGGGGTAGGCCAAGAATGATAAGGGAAGAAGGTTAAAAGAAACAACCACAGGGATAAGAACCTGATGAGAGGCTGCAAGAGACCATGTACCATGGATAGCTACCATCGGGAAATCACAGCTAACCCACACAAGCATGGAAAATTACGATAAAATGGCAATACTAATGATGATGACGCTTGCAAGATTTTCCCATTAGGATGAACATTGGCTAGACAGTGGTTGATTCACTAATGTGGGTCACCCACTCTCTTACTGTGTTGGTAGTCCACTAAAGAGTGCTGCACCATCAGCTAATGGGCTTTATTCTATTGCTGAGCATGTAAGGGCTAGTGTGCAAGGAGAGAACCCAGTCTCTTTTGCCAGCTGAGAATAAAACCTGGGACCTTTCACTTGTGAGGTGAATACAGTACTCTATTTACTAAAATACACATTACATTTATTACAGGTCGAGGATCCTTTATCCAAAAACCTTGGGGCCAACTGCATTTTAGTTTTCAGATACTGTATTTTCAGTTTCCAGATGGCTAGACTTACTTGCACTACAATAGCCAAAGCTTAGGCTACCCTACACAGGCCTGAATCCAGACCTCAAATTTAATTAATTAAATTTTTCTACTTACAGCACCACTTCCCACCTCTTGCATTTAAGATATTTTTATAGTACAGGTAGTGATAATTTTGCTTAGGTATTCTTCAATACTTTAGGCTTAAGCAATGTTTGGTTTAATCTACTGATGATGAACTGTACATAAAACATTGAGTAAACTTCACCAATGACATTCTCTCACTCACTAACGCTACTGCTTCAAGCCACATGCAATTATTGCTAGTTTGTTGTATTTATATACCAGTACTTTAAAATATTTTTACTGTAAATATGATTTTGTTTGGGTATTCTTTAACTTAGTAGTGATTTGTGTGAACACTGAAGTTTGTAGGTTACATGTTAAGATGGGTGGATACATTGGCAGCCAGGTCAGCTGATTGTTTTAACTACCTACTCTGTAGGCTTGGCCTACATTTATCTTTATTAATGCAGCTTGTTGTGTGTTTCATTGCAGTCTTTGTTATAGTTATGGGTTTAATAAACAGGGGGTCTGGCTCAAGCACATCACATGAATGGCTGATATAGCATAGTGGTGCAAATGCACAGTTTTCTCACATTCCTCATTTCTTTACAAATGGAATTTACACGTTGATCTTTTACTGCACGTACAGTTCTTCATAAACCAAAATTACGGACATAAAAATTATTAGAGTTCAATTATCCTTTCATCAAAGATACCCAGGCTTTCATACGCTCATACAATTGGCTCCGTTAATAACTTTCCATTTTTGGATTCTTTTCAGTTTTCAGAATTTTGTATAAAGGCTCCTCAAATTATAATATCCTCAGCAATATTACTGTACATTAAAAACAATACAGATAACAAACCTGTTTAATTTGCACTGCAATAAGGGTACCACAATATAATTTTCTGGCCTCACAAGCCCTGCAGAGAGAAGTGTATCAAGCAGCTGCTTTGTTAACTTGTAATCACAAGTTGTGGCTGCAGCAGTCAACAGATTTCCACAGTTTTCTTTAATTTGCTTGAAATCTATAGTCCTGGTTACATCTAAGTGTATATATTCTTTCAAAGTCTTAACTGCCTCTGTAAGTGAGAAAGATATCTTGTTTACAATGCAGTAAATAGAGAACAATCCATTACTGCTGCATTTCACCTTAAAACACCTGTTCAATCAACTTAGGTCCTGACTCTACAAACTTTAAATTAGTGAAAAATAACATTTGTTATGGCACTTTTCAGTAGCTCTTCATAATGTCATATATGAGCTCTTAAATTCTAGAATGTAACATTTAAAATCCTTGCCTTGTCTTCTCCCCTTTTCAACTAAGAGCGTACAAAGGTCAAGTACTTTGTTACAGTCCAGGGTGTATGATGGATGAGCCACTTGGATGCTGGTGTACATGTTAATAGCTGCATCAACATTTTTGTTCCTGATGTAGGCTACTAATATCCTGGCCATTGTTTCAACACTTGGTTTCACATGATTAATTTTTGCTTTCTGTAAAGAAAAACCGATGATGGGATATAAGAAGAGTGAGGGTTGATGTCAGAAGACTGCCAAAAAATTGGAAAACTATAGCTCAGTCAATGGTTTCAATTTATCATGTACCTGAAGCAAGGGAATTGGTTATGAACAATAAAATGATTCCCCTAGGCCTGTTGTTAGCCTTTAAATGACAAGATAGTAAATAGATGATGAGCACCTTTTGTCCCTCATGATGAACATCATCTATTTGACAAAGATTTTCCATGCCATAATTTTTAAGTTTGACGACAGATTGCTATTCAGCTGATTTATTGTGACAACACAATTTTTCCTTCCCTATACTGGTCCATCCCTCCATCAGTAGAGTTTTATTTGTTTGATGTTGTTGTAGCGGTGGAAGTACTGTATCTGGTAATTACAGTGACACGTCACACAGAAAAACCCCTCACTGCAGTAGTGATGCCTTGACACCCTATAAAAATAAGTAAATTAATATGGGAATCAGAGTGGGAATGAGACAAGAACTGGTAGAGTTGCTGAAAAAATTCAGAAATGATAGCTATTGTGTGAGCTAAGGCAATAATGCACTGATGAGCCAGCCATTAATGTAGAAGAAGTGCTTAGAAACCAAGAGGAAAGAAAGGTAAATGTGCTTCTCCTCGTGTTGCACATGTACCGGATAGATGTGCACCGACACATTCATGAGGTGTTTGTGGTGCAGAAAACTGAAGTACTGTAGTGACAATACTTTGGACCCCAAAATAATCGTGGAAAACCTATGAAATAATATCGCCTTTAAGGATTTATTTTTTCTTTTACCAAGTTGATGCCCAATGTCCATCAACTTGCTCTTTATGATTACCGAAAGAAATGAAACTACTGTATCTGAGAAGACGCCGGTGTTTGGAAAGTACATGGAGAGGTACTATCAACAGCATTATCACGACTCCAATCCACATTCCCATAAACCCAGCCCCATCAAATATCAGTCTCCATAATTACACTGTACCCTCATTAATTTGGATTGTTATAATTCAGATTTCGGCTTACAGTAATTCGTATGTTTTTAAAAAATGATCTGAACAATTTGCATTCGGAATGAATCTGAAATAACCGGGCAGTTCTGAAAAGTCGATTACAGTAATATCTCCGTTAGCCGGAATCCCTCAAACCCGAAACTCTCTGATAGCCGGAATTAAAATTTTCTCAAAATCGTTCCCAAAGCCGTAATTTTCCAGAAAATTCCAGCTTTGGGAACGATTTTCCGAGAGGCACATTTTCCGGAAAATTCAGAGAAAATTTTCCTGACACCTGGAAAATTCAGGAAAATTCCTGGGATGGGGAAGTTTTTTTCCGAGTTTGAGAGGTGAAAATCAGCAGCATTTTCTGGAACTTCCATTACCCGGAAAATTCCGGGGACGAGGGATTTTTCCAGCTTTGAGAGTCGTCTCGTTACACGGAAATATCTCATTCCCGGAAGTACTCTACACCAATTGTTCCGGCTAATGGGGATATTACTGTATTATTATAGGAATACTCTATACGTATTACGAAATGGATTAGGATGAATGAATTACACTATAGGAATAGAATATGATTTATAGTAAGATGCTGTACAACAGTATGTTTGGCAGCCCGTGATCCCTTGATTACAACAGTATGCAATTCACCATAATTCCCATGTTATTTAGGTTCATTTGGTGCTGGGTAAATAAAAAATTATCAAAAAATAAATAATTTTCCAAAAAAAATTCACACTCAATCCCAGATGAGCTATTGCACCATAGTATATTCTCAGTCACTTGTTTACAGAGCTGTAACAGCTGATCGGTCCTGCTGACCCGCTCTCCCTAATAATGTTGCCAGCACTCACCATCTCTCAAGCACCACTGTTGTCACTGCTGAAGAGGGTTGGTGCTTACCACAGGATCTGTCATGAGCACTTGGTATATAATATTGTAGCATATTTATCAAAACTCATTTAGTATTATTGAAGTGCATAATGTTTCTCCATATGCCCTGGTTAATTCACTGATCAGTTGTCTAAGGGCCAAAGTAGCCAAATCAAGTCATGTATCAATTAATTTAAAAAAAGAAATTAAAAATTAAAATGTTATAAGACAATGGTGCCTTATCAGCTCACCTTACAGTGTTACATTTATTTATTATCGTAATAAGTACTGTACTGTATTCTTTATTATTACTGTACGTACATTTTGAAAATATTTACGTTTCCACAGTAATTATAAATACAGTAGATTATTTTATGTGGAAGGCAAGGGGCAAAAAATTAATGAATAATCAAACAAAAAAAAATCAGAAATTGTCAAATGCCATCATGTCAAAATATTTCAAACTTCGTTAATTTTGATTTTTCGGTACCGTAATTTGAATGATCCAGACTTTTTGGTCGAGTTAATGAGGGTATAGTGTATAATGTAGAAATAATAAAAATATACAGTATATGATTATTTTAATCATCTTGATACATGGTTTCTGTCTTATTGAAATGTTTCTTTAGTCTGAAACATTGCAAAAGGGAGAGTCAAGAGAGTGATACCTTCTGATACAGCTTATCCTTTTATTCTCAGGTCAAATTACAAATTGTATACTGTACTGTACAATATTGTATATTTTCTATTATTGAAGATGTTTTATTATTTATGATGAATTGTACACCATAAGAGACCGATCATACGAGAATATACCAACTTTCAATTTGTTTATTATTTTTCCCCTATCAGAGCATACAGTTTACATAAAGAGCTCCTCTTGCTAAAGGGTTAAGAGCAGTGTCGATACAGCAATTTGAGGACTAAGCCTTTGATACACAGAGTCAGTATGGCAAGCACTGCACTCAACCACCTTCATATCCCTAACTGTAAATTTAAGTACAGTATGTACAGTACCCAGGCATGAACCAGTGACCTCTAGAGCAAGCAGTAAGGTCTATCTCCACTCAGCTGCTTAACCTCAGGGTTATGTAAAAGAAGTGCCTTTTCTCCCTCCAAAATCATTTTATTGCTGGATGTATAAGAGATTGAGTACAAGGAAGGAATTTAGTCTTCTACTCTGGCCAAGAATCAAACCCAGAACAAAAATTTTTCAAACATCACTTTGCAGTACTTACATTCAGAAGGTTCAAAACACTCTCAGTGTCGTCTTGAGTCGCATGCAAGAGAAGCAGAATGCGAAGGGTTCCCTGCATGCTCAACCCATTTGCTTCATGTTCAATAAGGTGGTCATCTAACACTTCTGCTTTACTCTCCTGCAGTTTGAAATTTTCTAATTAAAATAAAATTGAAAATATTTAGATACAGTACTGGATACAGTACAGTACACTATACTACATAATACAAAATTCTGTCAGATACTTTATCCCGTGAGACCCTCTATGTTACTCCACTGTACAGTATACTATGTTAAGCAGGGCATGCCTGTACTTAATTAAGACTCATCTCTTTGTATAATGCTGTACAGGTACTACTACTACTACTATACAGTATTATCTAATTTCAATAACATTGATAACAATACAAAGAGCTAATATGCCAAAAAACATATCATTTACACTTACAGTGTGAGGCAGGAAGCTGTGCTCCTTCTCCTCAAGTGGTTCACTTATTTTGGGGCTACTAACAATACTGGGATTACTTCTTATACCATACTGTATGCACCTGTTGGATCAAGTAAAAAAAATCAGAATGTGGTAGTGTATTGTAGTAACACATCAGGGGCGGTTCCAGGAATATCAAAAGGGGGGGAGGGGTCCAAGAAGCTGTGGGTGATTCAACATAACGAGCGCAGTGAGTCCACCCAGCTGGGGTTGGGGGGGGGGCCACTGTAAGCCCCCCCCCCACAGAATTTGTTTTTAAATCTGACCAATATCATGGGCATTTTGAGGCCACCTTGAAGCCATTTTGACCCCATGCACACTTGATATTTTGGAGAAATTCTGAAATCAATTGTACAGCAAATACTTTTTACTTTACAAAAATGCCTGAATACAATACTGCATTAAGAAAAAGTATTGGAATTTTCTGGTGAAAGGGGGGCTCCAGACCCCCAGGACCCTCTTGGATCCGCCCTTGCATATTGACATAAAACATTACACCTCTATATTCAACACCAAATTACAGTCCCACCCTACCTCAACTCAGGAGACAGATCATGTGACCTGATTCCTTTGTTCAATGTCTTTATCCCTTGCTTTATTCTATTATTTGTACAGTACGGTATTCCCTTAAAGCCTGATGGGGTTAGGTAAAATGGACCCCGTGAGAAAGCAAAATCCCAGAGCATCAACATCATCACTAAGCATGAACACTAAAATTTCGGTTATACTAACACTTGTACATTCGAGTGTGTACAGCCTATTATCTGCCTAGAGCACACACCCACACACACACACACAAATCACCATCACTCGTCTCCTGTGTTGCACCAATGGAAGTATTCACCTTGAAAAGTCCCTGGAGGAATGGTTGCCACTGGTCGATAAGGCGGAGAATGAATTCCTTATGATACAACAGCTAATAACACGTGTTAACTTGAGTGGCTGAATCAAGCATAGCCGGGAAGCCATTGTAAACAAACAAACTAGGATCCAAACAATGCGTTCTTGAGAAGTACTTTACTTTAACCGTTCTTTTAGGTATATATAACTGGCGGGTGTGAGCGTCCAATAGTGTTACGACCCTCTCATCTCACAGCTTACCCAGCTTCCACCACTGGCTAGAGTCGTATGTACAGAAGCAGTAGATATCTCACAAGTGTTGTCGAATTACCACTGGCTGTCGGTATCTCGGCTCCCACCTGTCCTCCACCTCCGACATCGGATCAGTGTATCTCAGGCCTTTGACAGACTTCGTACCTGTGTCTTCAGCTGTAGGAAGTTGAAATTATCTACAAAGTTGCACGTATATCGAGCAGTGGTCCTCCCTACCCTGCTATATGGCAGCGAGACATGGGTCACATACAGGAGGCACCTCGAGACACTTGAAAACTTTCACCAATGTAGTCTACGTTCCATCCTCTGAGTTCACTGGGAAGACAAGAGAACAAATGCCAGTATTCTCGCTGACACCAACTGTTGGAGCATCGAGGCTACCATTTTCCACTAACTACTATGCTGGACTGGCCATATTACTCGCATGGACGACAATAGACTGCCAAAGCAGATACTTTTCAGTCACCTAACGTAATGCTGGCGGACAACTGAAAAGGTATAAGGACAGTCTTAAGACTTACCCGAAAACGTGGCAAATTGACCCCCTCACCCGAGAGACGATTACTCCACACCTTAACGCTTGGAGGAGCACCACACGAGAAGGTGACAATACTTATTAACTCACATCATTGTATCATAGCTGGATGATCATCATAATCGATTCCTAGTGACAGCACAGCAGTAGTATAGGGGAAGAAATATAAATAAAGTAAATAGGTGAATAAGCAGTAGTTAATTTTGTGTGTGTGTGTGTGTGTGTGTGTGTGTGTGTGTGTGGTTCTGTTTATAATAGGGTAAGAGACACACACAGACTGATGGATAAATAGAGAGATAGGTACACGATTGGCCGAGCGGAGGTCATAAATACATTCACTGTTTCAGAGGCTCGGTTGCCTACCAGAGTTGATGGGGAGTCTTGGAGGAAGTAAAACACGACTAGGTTGAGGACGAAGCCTCACCGGGTTTCCTTCCATAATAGTCAGCAGTAACGAGATGACACGACAGCAACACCCTGACCTGACCATCCGAAGTTACTCTAACAGGTAATATTTATATTATGTTTATCTGTAATTTTTTAGTGTTTTGTCGTATGATTTGATGTTGGGTAAAACTAATCTCAGTTTTGTGACAACATTGGATAAGAAAGTGGCGCAGTTAGTGGAACCGTAGTCCTGTGAACAGAATACGAGTATTTACTACTGTATTGTGAGATTCCACAGCTGACTCTGGCTCTCTGGGGAACTCGTGTACACCTACTCCTGGCGTCATTGGTGTCCTTTACAAGACTGATGTCGTGACCCATTTGGTCTCCCTGGAGTATCCTGAACCCGTCGACCCAGCCTCCCACCACATGTAGCCTCCCTCCACCGCCACATGTACAGTAGTCTCCCTCGACCACCACATGTAGCCTCCCTCCACCGCCACATGTACAGTAGTCTCCCTCGACCACCACATGTAGCCTCCCTCCACCACTACATATCTCCACACAGTAGTCTCCTCGACCACCACATGTAGCCTCCTCCACCGCCACATGTACAGTAGTCTCCCACCACATGTAGCCTCCTCCACCACCACATCCTCCCTCCACCGCCACATGTACAGTAGTCTCCTCGACCACCACATGTAGCCTCCCTCCACCGCCACACGTACAGTAGTCTCCCTGACCGGTACATATAGCCTCCTTCCACCACTACATATAACCTCCACCGCCACATGTACAGTAGTCTCCCTCGACCACCACATGTAGCCTCCCTCCACCGCCACATGTACAGTAGTCTCCCTGACCACCACATGCCTCCTCCACCACCACATGTAGCCTCCTCCACCGCCACATGTACAGTAGTCTCCTCGACCACCACATGTAGCCCTCCACCGCCACATGTACAGTAGTCTCGACCACCACATGTAGCCTCCCTCCACCGCCACATGTACAGTAGTCTCCCTCGACCACCACATGTAGCCTCCCTCCACCGCCACACGTACAGTAGTCTCCCTCGACCACCACATGTAGCCTCCCTCCACCGCCACACGTACAGTAGTCTCCTTCGACCACCACATGTAGCCTCCCTCCACCGCCACATGTACAGTAGTCTCCCTCGACCACTACATATAGCCTCCTTCCACCACTACATATAACCTCCCTCCACCACCACATGTAGCCAGACACTCGACTGAGTAGTATCCTTTGAGATGTTTCTACACCTCCCTTAGGTCAGCCCTTGCCCACGTAAGCGTTCTAATATCTTTGGGCAGTTGAGGTACCTAAGTGTAAGCACCGCTCTGGATGTTTTCGATAACTCAGTCTCAAGCTGCTGGCATATCTCGGGGACTAGACAGGTTGACAGTACTACAGATGAGGAAGTACCTCACTTTAAAGAGCGCAAGTCACGGTATCTGTACACTCTTCTTATAAGACCCACAAGCTTAGTTGCTTGATTAACATTCTTTTCACAACGAAGTTAATATTCACTAACCTAACCTAATTTGCCCATAAGAAGTGTTTCTTCATTATAACCAGTTCACATATCATATTGAGGTTATTAGGGTTCCATTCTGGGCTCATGACGCACTGTGGGTGTTTGAAGGTTGGCAGTGTACAGTTCAGTATAAGCAGGACAATACATAGACCGTGGCCAGACCGTGCGTGTAAAAAAAATACATTATACAACTTAGGACTACTAATTAGTTCACCAAAGTGATCGGTTGTATATATTTTCATCATTAATAAGAAATGTTACAAAAATTAAGCAACAGAAACAACAGAATAATCATGGGGTTAGATACAAAGTTTATTAATTTATTGTTTACATACATGACCACTGTAATAACACAAAACAAAATACAATCTATTTGTTCATATAAAGATCATTTAGAGATATTTGTTACTATTATCACGTGTTCCTTGTTTCCCCAGATTACATTGCTTAATTTATTAGTTCAGAGGAATTCCCCCAGTCTGAATTAGTAACTGGAGAAAGAAAAGCTTAAAATACTTAAGGGAGACGAAAGATCCACCACAGTTAGTCAGTGGTAAAGACCAACACTGAAGATCTCACAAAAGATAGCCTACATTAATACTAAATGGTTGGTAGAGAAGGAACTCTTGTAGAAACAAAACTTTAATTATAACCAAATTTACTTAGCAAACATTTAATAAGATTATTTTCTTCAAACAAACTGTAATCGTAAAAAAATAAATAAATAAAATTATATACAAGATTAATGGTCAAACAGTATGTCCATAATGCATTACGATAAACTATTAAAGGAGAGTTTACCGGGGAAACTGTGAGGTGGGAGGGAGAGAGAAAGACAGGGGTCACACAGACGAGAAGAGAGGCAGACAGACGAAGAGAGAGACAGGATGTCTATTTAGGGAAATTAAGACCCAAACAGACTGTGAAGAGCTGCAGAAATATCTCTGTGAGCTTCAAGAATGGAGACTGGTGACGTAAATGGGACTGCCCAGTATGGGCCAATAGGCCCGCTGCAGTTTCCTGCATTTCTTATGTTCTTATGTTCTAGGGGTGCCCAGCGACCCGTGTTATGTTATGTTATGTTATGTTAGGTGTTCTTCACTCAAGTTGTTCTTCTGTCTTGATCGCTGACACAGTTGCTGTCTGCTCGTCAGCGCTGACGTAGAGGCTGTTGCGGCTGGTGTGGGATCGGGGACTGATGACGTCATCGTTCCAGTCTTCGTACAAGTGTTCGTCGTCGTCGTTGACTTCCCGCGAGGACCCATCACCTACTGCAGCAGGTAACGGAGCCGCTGGGATAGTGAATATATTAATGGAGCTGACTGACTGACTGACTGACTGAATTTTTTTACGGGGATTAGCCCATCACTGTGCAGGTCACAGACCCACATCGGGGCCTGGGGAGCGAAAAAAAATTACAAAATGGAGCAAAAAATCATGAATAAGAAACGATAAATATGCTGTGTTGTGAAGGTAAAAGAAACAATTGAAACTGCAATTGTGTGTAAATGAGGCAGAAAGTCAGATGAGCAACCTGGGACTTGGTCACAATTTCGTGATGCCATATAGCAGCAGGGTCTACCATTAGACATTTTTAAGTTTAGCAAATTTAATGACAAAGCTTGGAGTACAGTTTGCCTATTCTGAGGATGGTATCACTTCTCACTGCCACACAGGACAGAGGTTCATACACAAAGGAATAGATCTTATTCATTAACAGTACTTTATGCTTCCAATATCCCCCCAGGCGGTAGTACCTCCCTGTTTGGTAACTGTCTACTACCTACACTAGTGGTCCCAACCATTTGTCGGCTCTGGGCCACATTAATCATTGTTAACATAGTGGAGGACTACAAAACTTTGGATCTACGCCCAAGAAAAAAAATCTTATATATTGTAAAGTTATTTGCACGTTTACACGCCTAGTTGTTACCAGTTTCATACTTTTTAAATTTACCCTTGTACGGGACGTGTGTTTACCCCAGTGAGTCCGGTCTCGGGTAAATGCACGCGTCCTGTTCACGATAGACTCCGGACAAACACGCAGTCCCCCCCCCCCGCCCCTCTCTCTCTCAAACTATAAAGTTGTATCATGTTAATATTTTCATTAATTTCACTCTTACAAATAATCCCAAATAATTCAAAATTCTATATTAGATTCTTGCGGGCTCCATAATATGGTTCCGCGGTTGAGGACCACTGACCTAGAGTGGCTCACTGCCTGTTAAAGGTACTCACACTATCCAACCAGGAACGAACTCGTAGCAATGGTTTTAAATAAGACAAATTTAGATTTAGGCGCGAGATAGGTAAACATTAGTTTAGAAATAGAGAAGTGGATGAGTGGAACAAGTTACCAAGATAGCTTGAAACATCGGTTGGGTGGATATATGAGCGATAGGGGTTGGGTGTAAATGGGACTATTTAGTATGGGCCAATAGACCCGCTGCAGTTTCCTCCACTCTTATGATCTTACTGAATGACTGACACATTGACTGGGACTGACTCACTGATTGATTTCCTAAGTGACTGAGTGAGTGATGGTATGAAAGAAGTTTTAGACTTTTCGTTAATTTGGTCAAATTTGGACGTCTACTGCTTAGCTTGTTGTTTGTCTGTCTGTCCGTTGGTGTATCTGTCTCTTCCTTTATCTGTCTATCAATATGTATATCTATCTATCTATATATGTATCTATCTATCTATAACTGCTGCTATATACAACACTCACGTGGTCTGGTCCTCGAGGTGACGTCCAGGTTGACTTGGTTCAGAACATCTCTACCTATGGTGAAGTAAACATTGTGTTGAGTCCTTTCTGTCTTAAGGGCGACACACACACATATGCTCTCTCTCTCTCTCTCTCTCTCTCTCTCTCTCTCTCACCTTTAGTCTTGGTCCTCCAGAGGTAGCAAAAGTAAGCAGCAGTAACAAGTGCCAACAACAACAACACTGACAGCACCACCAGCAGTACAGTACTCTTGTTAAAGGCCGGACTGTCACCGGGATTGTAACTTGACAGACTGGCTGTAAACATAGACTCCAATTAACTTACATGATTTATTTGACTGTATTATAACTGGCACTACACATGAGTAACAAAACAACGGTAGAAAATACTACTCAGTCATTTCAACTTACAAGATTTATATGATATATGAATGAATAATAATATGAGATAAACCAACGATAAGTTACATGAAAAAGATATAAACTAGATTATGTTCAGTAATGTTTACCCTCTTGTGCTTGTCTCATATTTGTTCACCTCAAGTGTTTTGAACATTTGAGGAACCTTATGACAGCCCCTCGGCTCACCTGTGTCCACCACCTGATTATGTCCGTAAGTGTAAAGGTAAATGACCTTTGTGTTTATTGTGTACTCAACAATGATGGGGTTCCCCAAGGCTGTGTTTATACACCTATGCTAATGACCGCTCACTTCCTATAACTATACAATGTTTAGGTAAATAACTCCAGTCGTCTGGTCTCAGGTAAGCAGCTCAAAAATGTCATCTAAATCACCATAACATCGTGTCTCTTATGATTATATAGTAGATAGTTGAGGGGCGTGTTGGTGTGTCAAAGGCTGTAGCAAAGTGTGTTATTTAGGAGTATTTGGACACAGGAAACACAACGCGTGATGAAAGGTGTTAAAGGTATCAAGGCAGGTGTGTGACGTGCCAGGACAGGTGTTGACTCACGGAAGGAATAATGATTCAGACACTTGATCCACTCCACCGAGGCGTTGCTCTCCACCATCACCTTCGTTATCGTCGCTCGACCAGAAACATCCCATGCAAAGTTTTTTGACGTCACAAACGATCTTTCTCTGTCCTGAAATGTTGCAATAATTTACAGTTCATTAGGTAATGTGTTTCTATAGTCATGTTAAAAAGCAAACTTGTGTTGGTAAAACAAATATGTCTTCCACAAATACAATAATTAACTAAACACATTAAGAAGTTAATTAAGTAACACAAAGATGCGTATAAAGAAGGTGAGAAAGTTTGATCACACTCACTGGATGTTGTTTAAGGCCTGAACACCTACAACATGACCGGCTGGATGTTGTTTAATGCCGGAACACCTACAACATGACCGGCTGGATGTTGTTTAAGACCTGAACACCTACAACATGACCGGCTGGATGTTGTTTAAGACCTGAACACCTACAACATGACCGGCTGGATGTTGTTTAAGGCCTGAACACCTACAACATGACCGGCTGGATGTTGTTTAAGACCTGAACACCTACAACATGACCGGCTGGATGTTGTTTAAGACCTGAACACCTACAACATGACCGGCTGGATGTTGTTTAAGGCTTGAACACCGACAACATGACCGGCTGGATGTTGTTTAAGGCTTGAACACCTACAACATGACCGGCTGGATGTTGTTTAAGACCTGAACACCTACAACATGACCGGCTGGATGTTGTTTAAGGCCTGAACACCTACAACATAACCGGCCATCATTGTATATATACTGCAGCAGAAGTACACAGGCTTTATGGTACACGGCTTCTAGTGAACAGAATTTCAGTTTGTTAATGTTAACTTTACTTACAGGTTAATGTTTACTTTACTGTGAATCCTTCCAAGTAAAACGAATCTTACCATATCATAATACAGACGAATCCTTATGAAGTACTCTGTGTTTGATGATTTAAATGGACCTGTTTTTTGAGGTAGCAGCACAACTAAATTATCCTTTAAGTGGCGATACACCGTCATGTTGATCTGTGTGTCCTCTGCAGCCACCTTGTACCACAGATAAAAATCGTCGTCCTTAATCTGATTATAAATGGTGACCTCAGAGTGTTGGCCAAGCGACTCACAATAATCTGCAGGAGACAAAATAATACGAAGGATCCATTATTGCCTAATAGCGATAACTGTGGGTGTCTTATGATGATGAACGGTGTCTTAAAGGATACGGCAAATTTATTTTCATTAATTTGTAGCAACAAGCACAAAAAGTTATCTATATTTGGGAAAAACGACAACTGTATGGGTTTACAGCTTCATCGACGGTCATCCCTATATATTGTAACACATAAAGTATATACAATATACACACAGACTGAGAGAGAGACACACACAGACACGCAGATGTGTGTGTGTGTGTGTGTGTGTGTGTGTGTGTATGTGTGTGTGTGTGAGAGTACATAATTTCTTTCTTTTCCGTTTGTCTCTCTCTCTCTCTCTCTCTCACCATCACATCATCACCTTCACTGTCCATCGTAGATACCAGCAGGGACCGTGACATCACCATCAGCAGTAAAACAAACATTTGGGAGATCTTGCTCTCACTATCCCGACGTCCACCTCACTATCCCGACGTCCACTTCGCTATCCCGACGTCCACTTCACTATCCCGACGTCCACTTCACTATCCCGACGTCCACTTCACTATCCCGACGTCCACTTCACTATCCCGACGTCCACTTTATTATAATCGACGTACTCTTAACGTCCAGTTCAACAGCCTGAGGCCCACTTCTTCATCGTAAGCGTCCAGTACTGTACTACACTGCCGGAGCCTTGAGGTATCCTGTAACTCGTCATATCTTACAAGGATATGCTTCCTGTGTGTCCTGCAGCGGACCTCGTCACCACCAGTATCCTTCCCCCTCTTCCATCATATGTATCCCTCCTCCTCCTCTTCCACCATATGTATCCCTCCTGCTCTTCCACCATATGTATCCCTCCTCCTCCTCTTCCACCATATGTATCCCTCCTGCTCTTCCACCATATGTATCCCTCCTCCTCTTCCACCATATGTATCCCTCCTCCTCTTCCACCATATGTATCCCTCCTCCTCTTCCACATGCAGTATATATAATGTGATCTAAAAGTCCCTCTCACTGTCTCTCTTTACCACATTTAAAAAAGTAATTTATCGCGAGTGAACCAACATGTGGCACCAAAGATAACTATGTTGAACACATCATTAGGCTGTGGTGACGAGACTTCCTGCAGGACCCCCGGTTGGCCTCTGTTATCTCTACCGGATGGGTATGGCGTGAATATCCAGAGAAGTTTGTTACAGTGAGTCACCTGATGCCTCAAGACCAGTTGGAGCTACAGTGAGTTACTTGATGATTCAAGACCAGTGGGAGTTACAGTGAGTTACCTGATGATTCAAGTTCTGTTAAGACCTAATCTTTGAATTAGAGTCAGTCGAGCTCTTGGTCATGTGTCTCAAAGTAACCACTGCTTTTGTGGGGTCCATGCATGTATATTTACAACAGCATAACCTTACCACCTGTTGAGTAAAATATTAGCAGTGAGGTTCGTCATTTTCATAGTGATTATTCAGCAACATATGAAAAGTCTTCACTACTGCATGAACTGGGTTTCGTACTTGAGATATTTAGGTGTGTTTGGGGAGGGGGTAAGCGACAGTAGTTGCAGTACACACATTCGTTATCGTCTGCTCCTCTTCTGGTCCCTGCTCCTCACGTCAGCTGCAGTTCAACCTGTAAGCATAAAGATTAGTTTGTATCAAATCCGCGTTGCAGGAAGTGATATTATTGATATTGTTGAATCTTGTAGACGAGGGCATTCTAAAAGCCGTAGTCACCATTGTCTAGGAGTGACATGGAGTAATGAAAGATGTAAGGTGTGGCGCCAAATGTAGAAAGGTGGTTGCTGATGGGTCGCCTGGGGGAATTCGCCACTGACTACCAACACACTCAACCATCGATGACTACCAACACTCAACAAAAGGTCCCCAGTGATTGGAAAATGGCTCATGTGAGTCCCATCTTCAAGAAGGGCGATCGCCACTCCATGAATAACAATAGATTGGTGAGCCTAACCAGCACAGTATGTGAGAGTACTATCAGAGATGCCGCGATGGAACATCTACTATGAAACAACCTTGTAAAGGATTGCCAACACGGTTTTATGCCGGGGCGCTCCTGCCTAACACAATTGCTCAAAAGGATGCACCTGGGGCGTACCAACAGTAAGAGGTGTATTATGCGTCCCAACGGGATGAAGAAACTGCACCATTTGTGACAATGTGAGAAGGACCTAGGAGTGTATGTTGACAATGAGCTGAAGTTCTCGGGCCATTGTGAGAAGAAGGTAAATCTGGCAAATAAATTACTAAGCCTTATAAGGTCGTTCGGATATCTAGATTGTCCTTCCCTCGTAACGATCTTCAAGAGTGAAGTGCTTCCCTATCTGGAGTACTGTCATCCTGTCTGGTCCCTGAGATATGCTAGAGGCTGTCAGTTGGTTGAAAATGTTCAAAGGAGGGCCACCAGACTGGTGTCTGTACTTCGGCACCTCAACTACCCTGAGAGATTGGAGCACCTCAACTTGCCTAGCTTATACTACAGACGGGCAAGGGGCGACCTAATTGAGGTGTATAAGCATCTCAAGGGGCAGTACTCACTCGAGTGGCCTTACCTGGAGCTGGTGGACGCTCGCCCCACAAGGGGTCACAGCTCAAGATTGAAGAAGCCGCAGGTCCAGAAAACTGTGAGTGAGGGTAAACTTTTTCGGGGTGAAAGTTGTGAACTCTTGGAACAATCGGCCAGAAAGTGTTGTGACGGCACCGAGTGTGAGCTCTTTCAGGACTAGATTTGACCAACACTGGAGCATGTTCAGATACATTCAGGAGCCGGTGCATGCCCAGTACTTGCCAACAGTGCGGAACAGAGACGTGACTGATCGCCCAAGCGGCGAACGAGCCAATCAGTGGTGAAGAGGATAAAAGTAAAGGAAAAGTATGACTACCAACACTCAACCATCAATGACTACCAACACTCAACCATCAATGACAACCAACAACTCAACCATTGACGACTACCAACACTCAACCATCGATGACAGCCAACACTCAACCATAGATGACTACCAAAACACTCAGCTATCATTGTTATCAACAGTTTACTCATTTACATAGCTACAATACTGTAGTTCTTTCCATATCTTCTCACTTTATCAGTTTCTCTACAGCCATTATTCTATTTTATAAAATATAATTTACATTTTTACTTATATCCTTTTCACCACTGATCAGTTCATTAGCCACTTGGGCAGTTGGTCACGTCTCTGTTACTCACTGTTGGCATGCACAGGTTCCTGAATGTATCTGAACCTGCTACAGTGTTGGTCAAGTCTGGCCTTGAAGGAGCTAACACTCTGTCCCATCACAACACTTTCTGCAGGTTGTTCCAAGAGTTCACAATTCTTACTCCGAAAAAGTTTGCCCTCAGTTTTCTGGACTTGTGGCTTCTTCAACCTTGAGCTGTGACCCCTTGTGGGTCGGACGTCTGCCAGCTCCAGGTATGGACTGAGTGTCCATACCTGTGAGATGTTTATATACCTCAATTAGGTCACACCTTGCCCAGGTGCTCTAATCTCTCTGGATAACTGCAGTACCAATGAGCAAGCACCTTTGGACATTTTCAATCAACTGACAGTCCCTAGCTTATCTTGGAGACCAGACAGGGGTGACAGTACATTTGAAGATCATTACGAGGAACAGACTGTCTAGATATCTGAGCAACCTTCTTATAAGACCTACATAAAGCCTATTCTAAGATTATAAGATTGGTTTTGATAAAACTACTATAGAACCTATTGAATAGTGCTTCAAAACTGTGGGAGATGAAGCTCCGATCATCTAGTTAGCTGAAAAGTGGTGAAAAGCATAAAAAAGATAAATTACTTGCAAAACTCTCTCCCCACAATAAGGGTAAATCAGACTCAACTTATTTGTTTTGTATTATAATTCAATTCTGTAAAGCCATCAACAAGAAACATGTGCAAAATTATAAAATTGTGCTATGGCAAGGTGCCTAGGTCATGTAACAATTATGAAACAAGTATACCAAGTTATACAGAAGAGGCACTACCACTGAGGAGTTTACGTACGTAGGGTGTTGCTGCATCATAAAACTACGTTAGTCTGTGGAGGTCTTACGTGTTAATATCAAAATGTTTGCTTTAAAATGCCTGTTTTCTCCACTTCTGCAAACAATTTGAGTACAGTATAAGTACAGTAATATGTCATGATGTTGCACTTTGGCTCTACAGTACTGTACTCCAGAAAGTATACTAAATAATGATCATACTTTTATAAACACAAAACATGTACAGGTATTTCATTATAAGTTTTTTTTTTTTTTTACAGAAGACACTGATTATATTTTTCACTTGTGCATCTTCTTTCCCAATGTGGTGGCCCAAGTTTGGCACAACACAGACTTTCCTATCATTTGTTCTCATGTTTGCCTAAGCATCAATTTGTTGCAATAGATTTGGATCTATGTGCTCAAATAAACAAGTGATAGAGAATATACGTAGTTCACATTGCTGCCACTGTTTCAACAATACATATATACCCTACTTAATATAAGTTCACACCATCCATGTACAAGATTATATAAAATTGTCAAGAGTACAGTTAGTAAGAAAGGTTATAACAATCCTTACAAATGTTACAAACACATACACAAAAAATCAAGTCATGTATAAATCACTTTAGACAATCATATTTTTGTACTTATAAATTATTTCATGAAGAATATTCAACATTTTGAACTAGTACTGTATTCTTCTTTATCTGCCAAAATGAAACTGTTATAATATAAATACAATAATGACAACATTTGGTGCATAGGTGTGGTATAAATACCCAGGGTGATGGGCACACACACACTGAAAAGGCAGACACATCTAAGTATGACAGGTATATTAATGTAGGGGACATACATGGTTATGGTAGATATGGTGAAAATTTAGATACAGTTATACCATTATGTATGTACACTCGGTAAAAAACTATCTTTACAATTCTTGTGCGAAATAAGACTACACCACAAACGAAGGTTTTTGATAAAGGCCCGTGAGGCCTACCTCACATTGGTTCCCCTGCACGTGGATTGTTCAATTCGGAATTCATCAAAGCTCTCATGAAAGATACTTTTTTACCGAGTGTACCTGTAGTTATAATTATCTTATGAGTACTGTACAATGTTATGGATTTATTGTGAAACCATTCATTTACCAGTATGATACAGGTACTGTACTGTACCAGCACAAATGTTCAACACTGTGTTCATAGCCATTAAAAACAATGTGCGCTGTACAGTATTACCATTACTCTGTACGATATGTTACATAATTGGAACTTGAGGCTACTGTATTATAAACACCTGTGTTTTTCATGGTTGTAAACAATAAATCCATAAATAGCATGACAGTAAAATAACAATTACAAATACCTGTATGAGGGTCAAGGTTTTCCATAATACAACAACAACAATAACAACAGTCTAATAAATGCTCAGAATCATTCAATATTAGTTAATCTTATTAATAAGTATCCCGACCTGTCAATGCCACACTGTAGGCTTCTTTTAACTTTTACTTTTATCCTTACTTTTCCTTTTCATTTATCTTCCTCACCAAAAGATTGGCTCGCTAGCCGCCCGGGCAGTTTCTCTTATTAACCTCTCATTTTTCTTCACGTGTATGCTGTCTAAGGTCACCTTCAAAATTTTTGTGTTTGTTCTGATTTCACCGACAAAAAAGCCAAGCTAGTGCCATAATCCACTAATCTATATGCAGGATGTGCTGTATGCCAATCAACCAATTGATGATTTATTCAAGTGAGAACCATCATAACTGACAAGAAAAACTCCTCAACAAATACTCTTGGCATTGATGCATGGCACTTGAGGTTGTGTAGCTGGCCAACAGCTCAAATATTTAGGCAAGATTGTGCTTTGATTGTCTGGCACTATAACCGTGGAAAGTGGCCTACATCATACAGATAAATACAGAAATTAAACATTGACTAATGCGGATGTTTTCTTAATTTTTCTCATTACTGACAAGATAAATACAATATTAAAAGATCTATTCAGGGAATACTAGAATACACTACAGTTTGTGCATATACAGTACAGGTACAGGGTTCCCCGACTTACGAATGCCCGCTGATAAGAACGGGGTTAAACTTGAAATTTACAGACTTTTATTTATATGATGACTTATTTTTCACTTTCATTTACTGTATTTTGTCATTCTATGTCTTCTTTTGTCTTAAATTAAGTGATTTTAGATGTATATCAGGACTTAGACTATGATATACTGTACAGTGTAGTGGGATTTTAAACAGTGTTCCGAATTACGTACAAATCCAACTTAAGAATGTCCCCAGGCATGGAACCCGTTCTTAACCCGGAAACCCCTGTACTGTATACACACACTTTAGCTAACAGAACCTAACAGTCACAACGTTGTAACCAATGGAGGATATAAGTTTAATCAGAAGAATAGTTCACTCAAAAATTGAACAGCAAAAAAAAATTTGTTTACAAATGATATGTTGAAAGTCAGATTAACACAGAGACACATACTGTATTGTGAAAACTTGATTACTGTACTGTACTTGCTATGGGACTCATTATATTTTCTTCAGTCATTCAATTACAGTATTTGGTAAAGTTTACAGTCATGACTGATAGTCTCTCAATGTATAGTACTGTACACATTAACTTTTCCATAGCCATCCAATATATTTTGTAACTGAATTATATGCTGTGGGTTTTTTCATGAAGACAGCCTATTGCTCAATAATAGGGCCTTGTTCATTGTAAATGCAAATAAAATAAGGTAAAGTAATAACATCTCTGATAGAAGTTATTCAGTCAGTCATCTTTATGGAGCAACTGCTTGTTAAAAATTTAATTTTTAAGGTAAAGTATTACAACAAATACAGTATACGTATACAGGTTGGACCCCATTAATCCAGGACCTGATAGTCCGGTAGCTTCATTGGTTCGGACGGTGTCATAGCTCACTTCTAGTGGCTGTTGTCACTATTTAACCTTTAAATACTTATAATTTACCCCTAAATATGCCTCCTAAGAGACCAACAAGCTGTGGAAGTGGTTGTAATGTGGCAAAATGAAAGCATGTGACATTAACTATTTTATAAAAGATGTCTATGCTGAGGAAATTAGACAGTAATAGTACATTTTATGCATTATTCTGCCTATCTTAGCCTCAGCTTCAATGGTTCGGAATTTTCGCTAATCCAGAGCCGGTCTGATCCCAAGCTTCCCGGATTAGCAAGGTCCAACCTGTACTGTAATGTACAGCGCTGTAATTGTTTACTTACACAAGTACAGTATATGTGCCTCTACCAACAGATATTGGACTGCATCAAAATCTTAGTCAAGGAATGAATTATGAATTTTTGCCTCCTAACATAAGAAGTAGGAAAGTATGAAGTCCTGTATGCCTACAGTAGATGCAATATGTGGCTCACTACAGTATCTCCAGTTACTGTACACTATGGATGAGGTACGGACAACCTTTGTAAAAAAAAAAAGTAGTATATGTCCCCTCATCATGGCTAAGTAGCAAATAGGTAAAACAACAGCATGGTATATCCAGTCAGGCTACAAATCCACATAGTAAATTGTTACATAATTAATTCGTTATGAAGCTAAAACTACAACATACAGTACACTATAAATGGTTAACAATATTACAACACAATATATCAGACAATAAAAATTATGTCTACTTTAAGTAATTCTTGTATTGTAAAAGATAAATAGTTTAAGTAGTTTAAGTAAGTAAGTGTAATAAGAAGCACCTTTTTTAAAAACATATATATGTATATTCAAAGAACATCATCATTGAAAATAATGTAAGTCCACGATGGGTAATTAAAAGTACATTCTGATGTTTGGTTTTAACTCATCAAGAATAAAGAGCCTTGAATTCATTACATTTAACTTTGTGGAGAAAAAAAAAACTAAAAAAACTTATTAAATAATTAGGTCAGTTTAATTACATAAACTCTATAGGTGATTCAATGTTTTCTGCTCTGCAAAACATATTTCAATATTACAGGTATTCACTATGTATAAAATTGCATCACTAATCCAAGTTTTCTATCTGGTCATATAAATATTGGCACTGAAAACATTTCTTGTAACCTTTCAGTCACTGGATTTATTATTCATTTATTTTTAAAGCTCTTGGAAGTCATCATTAAAGTTATCATTAATGATGTAAAAATTGGAAGAGGAAATGTGTGAGCTTTCTTGTTGTACTCCAGAAGTGTTGAGTGTAGTTAGTGTATCTGGCAGTTAGACATACATGATAATGCATTATTTTTAGGATACTTGTTCTGTGACCTGCCATTCACTCAGCGTTTGACAAAGATCAGTTCCAATAGCATCATATACTGCAATGTATAGTAGTGTAGCAACCTGGTGATATTTTCCCCTGAAAGATTATATCAACTGAATTTTGGAGGTTATGGCAAGTTAAGACATTCCTTGCAAAACCTAATTTTCAACGTATGGCTGGACAGGAGCAGCATTAAAGCCCTCTTACGGTAAGGGGGGGGGGAGGGCCAAAAAAATTGGTGAAAGTATTGTATGTTACTACAGTATATACAATATACTACCTAGCTTGGATATAAGCCACTACTGTCAAGGATTGGAGGCTACATACCATTAAAGTAGCTCTTCACTATCAATCAGAATGTCTGAGTTTAACATTTAGGCATTGGCCAATTTTAGCCAGAATTAAAGCTAATTACAGTTATCATAAAGCCTTAGGTTCACCTTTCTTAATAGACCAGTTCTAAGATATGATATAGTCTTTGTGTCTCCATGAGTTTACATTATAATATTCCATGACTTGATCTGTTGATGAGTTACACCAGCAGTTTTCTGTGTTCAGGTCCATCACTATTTATCTCAATATAATTCAGTGCTGGAGATCAGTTTACAAACCCCTGCCCCTCAAAAATAAAAGAAGAAAAAAAGAAATGCTACTGCTGAACTGAAGAAAGGTCATTAGGAGTTTCAAATGTGATTAAACTGTGTCATGCCATGTATATTAATGGCTAACCATGGTCAGAAAATCCCTATACTATATATACAGTACTGTATTCAGAAGCTGAAGACACTCTTACTATTACTGTTTCGATGCTGTATTACCATTATCACTAGTCCTAAGCTTAAGGTTTAACATCATCTATGACAATTTCATATTATTCCATTCACTTTTTTTAAAATTCCAAACAGCTTTGTGCAAAGTTTTGTGTGTTTCAAGTGAAATAAAGACTATTTAGGTGGGGGGGGGGGGAAGTAAACATGTGGCTGACCCACCTGATAATATTAAACTTATGGAAATACAGTACGTACTGTAATGTATTGGCACAGTAGCAGTGTGACCGAGATACATTTCAGAACATATTATCCTAATTTTACCTGATTTATAACTAGCAAAGATGTCAGAGAGTTTGTGGAGGTGGACAGGTCCAGCATGGGTCCCATGTACTGTATGTAACCTATGGTACCATTATAAATGTACATTAAGCAGGTGTTGACTGTATGTTGATACCAAGGAATGAAACTGTAAGAAGATGCTTTATGTTAACAGTTGCTTATGGTTCAAAAGATAATTCTTCATATCTAATGAATTACAAAGCCAAGGAAGACCTCATTTAATCTATATTAAGGAACATGAATTGTTAATTTTAGTACAACACAAGTTAGTATTGTCATTTTTAAGGTCTGTTTTAAAGTGCATCATTCAAAGCACTTGCATTAAAACAATATTCCTAAATACAACTGTGAATTGGATAAAGGACAATGATTAGTATTAGAGTGCATGTTAAAAGCTACTAACCTGGCAACATAAAAGGGACTAGTTGGGCAGTACAGTACTGTACTACAGTATAACCTAACTTTTAGGATGCTGTATTTTTCTGTCACGTGAAGAAAAATATTAATATTTTCATGTTTACTTTTCAAATGTGTGGGAAAATATAAAGCACAGGTAGAAAGTAGGATGCACATTTACACTCGCTCCAAAAAGTATCTTTACAGATAGATCCACTCCTGTTGTCTAGGTAGGATTATCAAATCCTTTGTCCATTGTGTCATATTGTCTCGTAAAGATACTTTTTGGAGCAAGTGTACTTTAGAGGGGATCTAAATTTTCAGTGCAAAAGAAAAACTGTGTATATACCTGTAGTTGCACAGTATATAAAATATCAACAATTTGAAAAGGTTTACTATATACTGTATTACTTTTATTAAAGTAACCTAAAAACATTTAAAGTAATTCTTTATAACCTAAGATAATCATTACTCAAGTGAAGTATTTTGTTGTGTCATTAACTTCATGTGACATAATTATCATGTTACCTACAGCACCATTATTTTCATAATTTTTAAGTCATTCTAAATTTCTGTAACAGACCAATAATTAAAATATATATATATATAAAAAGGATAAAAATGGTTATGTACTTGTTAAAACCTGGTTATAGGTATTCTTGGCCAGGGGTAGACCATGAGCGCCACCTCCTCCAGGTCCCTGATGAACAGCCTGGCCCACACCTGTGCCAATGGGTCTGGGCTGAGGGGCACCTTTGTTGATGAGGGCCTGGGGTGGGCGAGGATGGCGTCAGGGTTGCCTCAGGGGCGTCGTTGTCGAGACATTCGTTGAAGGAAGCAACCTTTGAAGGATGCCAGACGCACATCAATTTCTCCCTCCTCCAACTGAAGCATGAAAATTTGCAAGTCATAAAGGCACCTAAATATTCAAATATAATCTAAAACAGCACTAATTCACATCACTCTGAAAGTTAATTTTGAAATTCTCAAATATAAGTATGGTATGCAATACTATATAACATCTGGCTAGTAATCTGACAAGTGACGAATATGATGAGAAACTAAAAGACATCACTCAAAATGTGGGCTATCTGATAAAAATAAAGACTCCTTTATTTGACTCATTCATTTTACACATATTTGATCCATCTCACTGACCATATCAGGATGCAAGTGCTCATCGAAACTACACAGGGATGGTAATGTTAGATTTACGAAAGTCCTTTGACACAGAGGATCATGATATCCATTACTATGTGAATAGCCGCAGACTCTTGGCATTGTATCTGTTGACAGACCAACCAAAACAGATATATTTTTATTGCAAATAATACTGAGTCAGCACCCTTGTTGATAGCTTGTGGAGTTCTACAAGGGAGTACAGTACCTTGGGATCTTTGCTTTTCCTTTATGTAAATAATATTTTTCTCCATATTAAATGTAAACTTGTGTTGTATGCTGATGACAGTGTCTGATAGAGATCCAAAGAGCATCACTATCATGTTAACATCTGAACTGGAGTCATGTAAACAGTGACTAATAAGCAACAAACTACCCCTACATCTTGGGAAGACTGAAGCAATACCTTTAGTGTATTATTTGATTAAAAGAATAAATTATTTAAATGTAAGGTGTTGCTGATAAACTTTGCTTGCTTGCTTATCCTCTTCACCACTTTTCAGCTTGCAGTATGTCAGGTCTGTTCTTTATTGGCAAGTAAGGATTGGCAAGTACTGGGCATGCACACTGCACAGGCTCTTGACTGTACCTGAACATGTGCCAGTGTTGGTCTACTTTGGACTCAATTGAGCTTATACTTTGTGCTGACACAACATTATCTGGCAGGTTAGTCCAAGAATTCACTACTATTACTCCAGAGAAGGTAATTCTAATAGTTTTCCATACTGATAGTTTCATTAACTCAAAGCTGTGATCTCTAGTGGGGTATCCATCTGCTAATTTCAGATATGAACTCTCGACTAATACATTTTAAGGTGCTTATAAACTTCTGTTAAATCACCCAATGCCCTTCTATGACATAAACTTGGCAACTGATGATGATTTCTCTTGTTACAGTACATGAGGTGTCTGAATTCTGGCACCACTTTAATGGCCTTCATCTTTGAACATTGTCAATCAGTCTTTAGCATATCTTGGAGTCCTATCTCAACTGTAACTGTTAACTCTATACTCATGCTTTATTCTTGCCTTAAGGTCCTAAGTTCAGATCTAAATAACTTAAGCTTTAGAAAGAAGATACAGTATCTGTAAAAATTATCAGAGAATTATACTGTAGATATATATACCTAATTGAAAATGCTATGACTATATTTGACATGAGCAAGGATAATCTAAATCGATCTGAATCTTTATAATACAGTAGTATTATAATCTAACCAGGTTGTGGGGAAGAAAAATAATACATGTACTGTACTGTAGTTTAATCTAACAGAGATATACTGTATTCCTATGTTTCTCTACTGTATTTTTATGATGACCAAACACATTATACATGAATTGTACTGTACAGTATTCTTATCAAAGAGCTAAATGCTTTTATAATCTATATACAGTAGTTTAAATTAACCTGATGTCAGTAACAGTGAGAGGCATCTTTATGGGATACAAAAATATAGTGTTTATCAGAAATACATTTCATAATTCTAGGGGTATATTCCTCGGATAGTTCTATGACACAATATCAATGACAAAATGTCAGAATCCACATAGTTTCCTAGTTACAACACTTGTGATACAGTTGCATTGTTGAAGTACTATAAATGTTAAAAACTCTCTCCCACTGCCTCTGTATCATATTATGTAGAGTTGTGTAAAAACTTTCACAAATATCTATGGCTATTTCACTCCAACCTCACTATCATTACCTTAACCTTTTTCAAGTGCTGTAGCTAGGAAACTATGTGGATTCTGACATTTTGTCATTGATATTGTGCCTTAGAACTGTCCTAGGAATACACCCCCCAGAATTATGAAATGTATTTCAAAACACCCTGTACTGTATAGTGTAGGAAGTCTTCTTTTGGTGAAGGTCATAAGGTATGGATATATTAAGGTGACAACATCCCTCACAAAGATTTTACTACCCCTAGGCTTAACTGAAACCAGCACGATAATTTTAATATTTATCAATTTTTTTTCCAAATTTACCATTTGCTTTTCATATACTGTACACACATTTTGCATAAAAAGCTCCTAAATCTAGACCTCACCTCATCATGAGTGTATATGTCCAGGTAACATGAAGGGGACACACACTGCCGAACACAACGGGTGTGATGGACACCCCGCAGCTCTAAGCACCTAGGTGACTGTGCACAGGCGACTTCATATTCAGACCACACCTTCTCCTGAAAAGGGAGGCACATATCATGCTACAAGAGATGATCTACTTTGGCAAGTTTTGTTATTTCAAAACTTGATCCTTGTGGGCAAAATTTCTGCATGCAATAGCAAAAGAGTTACCGTAATCATATGGGCGAAATAATTAGGTTGAAAGGTAAACTGCATACTGAAAACTAGTTGAGTGATGGATGATTTGAACTTAACTGGAAGGTTGAAGAAAGTACTACAAATTAGGTTGATATGAAGTGCCACTGGTAGTGTCGCAAAATGTATTGCGATGTAATTTACTTGTTATATCATAGAATTTATTTAGGTTATCAAACCTGACCGTGTTAACATAAGAACATAAGAATGGAGGAAACTGCAGTGGGCCTATTGGCCCATACTGGGCAGTCCCATTTACACCCAACCCCTATCGTTCATATATCCATCCAACCTATGTTTCAAGCTATCTTGGTAACTTGTTCCACTCATCCACTTCTCTATTTCCAAACCAATGTTTACCTATCTCATGCCTAAATCTAAATACCTCTAATTCAAAACCATTGTTAAGAGTTCGCTCCCGTTGATTCAGGTGCAAATATGCACGGACAATAGATCGGGACAGTGTTTTGCTCATTACATTCAAGATGGTTTACATAGTCCTAGATTATAACACTTAAGGTGGCAAGCGTTGATGACATCAGACTCTAAGACCAGTAAGTAACATGGTGATACTGTAATTTATAATCCCTTTGTGAAACACTTACACCAGAATACTATTCACAGTGCACCGACTACTCCATTTATTTTAAGTCAAATAGAGTAATTTTAAGATAATTCTTTCCAGAATTTGATACTGTAGCTGTGGTATCTATTAGCTGCAATGGAGAAGGGTCTTGTATTTTCATGTACTAAGAGTTATCCTTAGACTAGCAGGTCTACCACCAAAGTGAATACATAAATTACTACTATTCTAAATTCCTGACAGGTAGTAAGACCTTATTATGGATGAAAGTGAAACATACAGCACAGGTATTTGCAATACAAAGGCTACCCAGGACATACTTAAGGAAGTTGAGTGTATACAATACTTTATCGGCAATTTTCAACATTATCTAAGAGCTAATGTTAAACAACAGACTCCACCAACAACTTAACAGCATCATCCTTACTAGATTATCAACTTAAGAGAAAAGTGGTACAGATTCTGTGAAGGTACAGTACTGCACAGTATAATAATTATCACAAACGTATACCTGGAAATCACAATTAAAACTGTATGAGAACGTTGTCAGGCAAAAGAATAAAATGTGTTTTAAGTTTCAAACACAGCTACAGTATATATGAACTTACATTACCAACGGACTCCTTGTAAGGGAACTGAGTGAAGCTGTAAGTAACAGTCTGGGCCTGAGCACAAGTGATGGCCATCAGTGCCACTAAACCTGCCAACAGTACCATGGCTGCTGCTGCTGCTGTCGCTGCCACCCTCCGTCCAGGGATGATGCCCCGACCATTCCTGTGAGAGAAAAAAAATCAGTTCTTTTACGAATCTAACACACACCACCATCACTGTCACCCACTACCACCATTGCCACACACCACCATCACTGCCACACACCACCATCACTGCCACACACCACCATCACTGCCACACACCACCATCACTGTCACCCACCACCATCACTGCCACACACCACCATCACACACCACCATCACTGCCACACACCACCATCACTGCCACACACCACCATCACTGTCACCCACCACCACCATCAGTCACACACCACCACCACCAGTCACACACCACCACCACCAGTCACACCACCACCACCAGTCACACACACCGTCAGTCAGTCACACCACCACCATCAGTCACACACCACCACCATCAGTCACACACCACCACCATCAGTCACACATCACCACAGTCACACACCACCACCGTCAGTCACACACCACCACACACCACCACCATCAGTCACACACCACCACCGTCCAGTCACACCTCACCACCACCGTCAGTCACACATCACCACAGTCACACACCACCACCGTCAGTCACACACCACCACCGCCAGTCACACACCACCACCATCAGTCACACACCACCACCATCAGTCACACATCACCACAGTCACACACCACCACCGTCAGTCACACACCACCACCACCAGTCACACACCACCACCATCAGTCACACACCACCACCGTCAGTCACACATCACCACAGTCACACACCACCACCGTCAGTCACACACCACCACCGCCAGTCACACACCACCACCACCAGTCACACACCACCACCATCAGTCACACACCACCACCATCAGTCACACACCACCACCATCAGTCACACACCACCACCATCAGTCACACACCACCACAGTCACACACCACCACCGTCAGTCACACACCACCACCGTCAGTCACACACCACCATCAGTCATCACCACAGTCACACACCACCACCGTCAGTCACCTCACCACCACCGTCAGTCACACACACCACAGGTCAGTCACACACCACCACCGTCAGTCACACACCACCATCAGTCACACACCACCACCAGTCACACACCACCACCGTCAGTCACACACCACCACCAGTCACACACCACCACCGTCAGTCACACACACCACCACACATCAGTCACACACCACCACTCAGTCACACACCACACACACCACCACCAGTCACACACCACCACCACCACCACCATCAGTCACACACCACCAGTCACACGCCACCACCACCAGTCACACACCACCACCGTCAGTCACACACTACCACCAGGTATATTTATTATGCACTTTTTATCCAGAATCTGCGAGCTTAACTAAAAAAAACCCGCGCCCATCAGAACCGCAATAAACATCATTTAAATCTTATTTTTAATATCACTTTCCTGTCAAATGAATAAGGGTTGATTTCTCGCCGGTATATAACATGCAGTTAGAGTACCTGTTTTAGAGGCATCTATACTAATTCAACCTCTCTATGTGCCTCATCTTAAGAAACAGATGTCATAGCATCATGAGACTCAGTTGTCACCATGAGTTATCGCTCCGTAAGTGGAGAGAAGCGAGGTTTTTGTACCTGGTGTGGTGTGGCTGGCTGGAGGTATGATGCGCCATCTTGGTGTGTGTACATCAGCAGCTGAGGGAGTGTGGGCTGCGGGGTTGCCAATGGGATGTGAAATTTCTACATCATTAAACAAACAGGAAACATCCGAGACCCATAACTACCAAGATTATAGAATATCCTCAACTCTTTGCTTAAAATATTGATTTACATGTGGTGATAAGTGATATGAGTTACTGTTTGTTGATTATAAGTATATGCAGCAAGATATGTTCAGGTCAAGATATTAACCCTTTAGAAGGCAAAATATCCCTTATAAGTATTTTATTCTGGCGGCTAATGCCAGACAATTTTAATCAGCTAAAGGGTTAATGAACAATACCTTTTTTGAAACCATAAACCACACCTGATATAGCGCTTGTTATTTGTGTTTATATTTTGTGGTGTGACTTACAGTAATTTACATAGCGGTATATATTTCACAATACTAATTGGATGAAATATATGCCGAAGTAGATATTTCGCAGTAGTAGAAATTTCACACACCCGGCCTACCAACCCTCGACGGTCCAGCACGGAGGGGAAGAGCTTTGTGCAATTAAAACTATCGCTTGAATAAATAACTTCTACCTGCGGGTTTTTCGTGAAAGAAGGAAGGAGGGTGATTAAAATAACGGGCTAGTGTACTCACTTTCCGGACTGATGTTATTGTTAAGTCTGTAAACCGCACTTAATGGATTTTTTCATTACAACATAAGAAGGTTAAGTTTATAAAGTGAAAAATAAAAAGGCATACCAGAGGTTAATAACCGATTTATCAACGTTTAAACAATACAATAAAAGTTTACTTATTCAGGTAATATACTGTACGACATCTTTTACCTGTGACAACAATGCGTTGATCAGCTGTAGGGATGGCAGCTGCACAACAATTATTGTAGTCATACGAAAATATGGACATTTATCACGATGTATGATACAAACTACTATCGTACACAAATGTCACGCTAATGCCATGATCCTGCTGGTTTTCACTTCTGAGCATTTACCTGTATAGCTGGAAATGCATGATTCTGGGAGCTAGTTCGGATATTCACTGACACACTATTTCAACTTATATATGAGACTGAAAGCTAAGAGGAACTCAATGACAACTTTTACTTTTACTTTTATATCCTCTTAGCCACTGATTGGCTCGTTAGCCGCTTGAGCGATCGGTCGAGGAAAGACGAAGGTGCCTTGCGTTCGACTGTCTGGTCAAGTAAGATGACTAGTGGCGAAGAGGATAATATTAGTTCTAGTGTACGTACAGTACAGTACGTTCTCATCAAAATAGTGATTTTTTCTTTGTTAGGAAGAATTTTATAATTCTTCATATTCTGAAATTACCTGTAAAATTCTGTTTATAACGTAGATTTCAAGTGCCACTTAAGATTTATGAAAAAGTGGTATACCAGGTAGTACGACAATTTTAGTGTAGGTGTAATAATTTGTGTAGTTTAGTACGATAGTTTGGGCGTGAGGCAGAGAGGCCCGGTGAGCCCCCTGCCAGACGCTCCCCTTCCCGCCAGAAACTGTTTTGTTTATGCTGCTGAACTAAGGTGCTGGATAACATAAATACCCACATCATGACTTTCTCGGCAAGAATACGACTTAAAATGAATGGAATGAGAGATGCTTCACTATTTTCATGGTTAGGAAAACCAATAGAAGCATCAAGAAAGGAAAGAATTAATAGAGACAAGACGTTTTACAGGTGGGTGCGGCTGAGGGTCTTGACGTACACTTTATTTAGTAAAATCATTATATAAGTTTATAGTTGGCGTTATATATATAGTTCTTGTAAAGCTTTGGGTCAATATTTGGTAGTTGCTAACACTTACTTATATATTGAGTATTATATGGGGAGGTTGGAAATTTATACTTTAAGAGTATTTAACCTATATGACCCCTCCACTTACTTAAAATATTAGTTGTTAATTGGGCAGGGAAAATGTGGGGTTGAAATACAAACTTTTGACAACCTTACTATTGATGACTGACCTGCCAACGAGTTTTTTGTTTTGGAGTTTGATTTCTTACTCTTATTTTCATTAGTACTGATACAATAATTTCTGGTGCAAATGCTTTGTTTGGTAGATATTTAGGCTCCTAAGGTGCTTATTACTTTGTCTTCTGGGCGGTAATGTGGCGGTTTTATGTTAAGGTTGGGTTGGGTTAAAACAAAGGTAAATTTATAGAAAAGCACCGTTCTGTCTTTGGGTATATTTTTTTCTTTCGTTTTTTGATCAGTTTCGAACGAATTTGACATTCATTTCCGCCGGAAATCATTCGTTTTTGAGATAACCTCCCACCCAACAAGGGAAGATGTTGGGAAACTGGGAGTTATTTGTTGGGTAACTCACAGAAACAGGTAATTTCCTAATGGAGAACAAGGCAAAAATCGTTCAAACCTCATAAAAAACCATTGGAAAAAACATATTTCTAATGCTGAAAGAAATATAACCTAACTTAACCTACCCCTTTTTGTGTAAAAAACAAAAACAAACCTAACCTAAACAGGGGGGCTCTGTCTCCCTGGACCCCCATTTGTTCATGCTCCCACATTTTACCTTAGTCTGAAGAAGAACCAGGTCAGATGTGTTGTTCTTCATGCAGTGTACACTGATTATTACACTTTGGACAAGTAACGTTGTTTGGTAATACACCGTGTTTTCTAAAAAATTAAATGGCCTCACTATTTTTCTAATGAAACTCGGCAAGTGACGTAAAATAATCTCTATCACAATGTCGACACAGCTCTTAAACCTGTTCAGCCTTATCTTGTACTGAAAATTCAAATTTCCGCTCCCGACGTACCCACGCATTGTTCATTGGTTAAGACAAAAAACTCTTGCCTTTGCCCAATAATAAATCTCCTCTCGCTATAGCCAATAAGAAACTATCACACCATCCCCTGCACATACGCTGTAGACGCTTAAGAAGTGAACATGGAGGTGAGGGGGGTCAGAGCTTCTCCACCAGATGTAAACAACAGCTGGCAACACTTTTGTCTGACCAAATATAATAATATTGGAAAATTAATATCTCGGTTATCCTTAATTTTCGGCGGAAATATCATAGAAGAAAAATATCTTAGAAATGTCTAAACATTACGAAATACGTATTAATAACAGCGAGAGAAAGACCGGTGCTTTACTATAAATTTACCCCCCAAAAAATTACACAAACTACGAGTGTCCTCTATAAAACACCATGAAATGATCGTTTACTTACTGTACATGCTGTAGTTTCAGGTACTGTACTGTGTAAGGCATATGATTGCTGTACTGTATCTTAACTTCACCAAAATAGTTAGGACTTTGATGAAGTTTTAATTTGTACATTGTGCCATCATAGATGATCAAGGCACGTTAGTTACTGTGGATTATATACCAGTTTACTATAGTTTGTTGTAAGTGTTAATAAAATCTCTAACTTTCAGTGGGTTTCGACTTGGTAGACTGTCCATTTACGTCAGTGACTGTGTTTATATTCGCAATGCTGACTCCCCAGATCCTGATAGTCCAGATGGCTGTGATATTGCAAGGATCGTCAGGTGCTATGATAATGGTGAATATTATCCAAAAGTAATCACAGTTTTCTTTGACAAATTTTGCACTTAACTAATAATCATTTAATAATTTATTTTCTTTGAATATTCCAAATGTTTTATTAAAAGGCAGATGTGGACTTTTTAGTGTAATAAATATCTTTGTGGAATCTTTCAAAGGTGATCAGTGCATTAGAAGATATTGCTGGTGCTGTACTGTACAAGTAGTGTGATGGTGAATGACTATTATCACTGAATGTGAATACACTGTACAGTACTTTAGTTTTAAAATTGGAATAATTAAATTTTAATGACTGTATAACCTTTGTATTGTAGGTGAGAAAAGGGACAGTAAGCGTGTGATTGTTCAGTGGTACTCACGGCTACAAGACATTAGCTTTGCCCACCTTAAACAAATCCCAAGGGGTAAGTGTAATTTATACCATTCTGAGATGCGGCAACTATGTGTTTGTACTGTATGTATGTCATACTACAGTATGTCAAACTGAGTGGTGTTACATATGTAACTCTCCTCTTATATATGATTGCTTATATTTCTTGTTGGGTTTGTCAAATATAACATCATTGCTTCCTATCTGTTGGACTTCAGAAGCCTTGTAGGTGAGTGTGAAGGCTGTTCCACTGCCATACTAATTTGTTAGTTAAGAAATCCTCCTCAATCCTGTTTCAGGTGGTGGGGACCGTCTTCATATGTACTTAGAGCTGTCCTGAGATATCAAAACATGATTGATGAGGATTGTATACTGTACTTATTAACATGTTAGTATGGTGTTGCATCCCTCACAACTTTATCTACGGGGCAGGGACCTCACTATTCTCCAACAGATAACAGATAGGATGCAATGATGTTATATTTGGCAGTCTGAATGGAAAACATAACCAAACAGGAAATTAAAGCATTCATAGGCAAGAGGAGGATTACATAATCAACACTTTAGTCTGTCCACTATTAAGAGGTTGTCTCTTCTCATTCAGCTAGATACAGGTACATTACTACGATGTATGCAAACACATACCTGCTCAGAAAATGTTCCAGCCACTGTACTGTACCACTTAAAATACAGCTGACTGTACCTCTGGGTTTTGCTTACCAAAATCACAATTAAACATTCTTGATTAATGAAATTTCTGTTTTTGTCTCAAGAAAAAAAGTAATAAATTTTAGTTTCCTTGTAGGAAGAAACTACTGTACTGTCTGAATTGGTATATTAATTATTGGATTCATTCTTGAGAAGAACACACATACTGTAATGATGTTCAGTATTAGTCAAGGACCAGTATGTTAAGTATTATGGCAGGCTGGTCAGTAAACTTTCTAAGATTGTGTAGTATATACTATAATGATTTACCTATAAACTGGTGTAACTGAAAAATTATCAGTTTTAATAGATAAGTTGTCAGGTATTTATTTAATTTACATCTGAAATAAAACTGAAATAGTTTGTATACTTGTCCTCTCACCCTATGATTTCTATTTAGTGTGTAAAATGCAATAGATCTGTTAGTGTTCATATCTTTATATTTAATTTGTGATTTTGGTCATTGAATTGCAGATGTGCCTGCTCTTGTACATGGTTTAGAAGTTGTGAAAGAAGAGAGGGCATTTGAAACAGATGTAGATATACAAAGTATTCTCAGTACATGTTCTGTAAGTATTAATTTTTGTACAGTATTAGAAAAATCTGGAATGTTTAGATAAGGAATCACCACAGTGGGTTTAGCTACCACCCCTTTGAGCAGCTAGTTAAATTTCCTGCCAAGCTCAGAATAGTGAGTTTTAGAGGTGTTTAAAATTGTTCTTACATATCAAGTTGTGCAAGAGCACCATTAATAATAAGTGAATATAATGCAGTATTAAGTGTCAGCTTTAAGCTGTACAATTTCACAGTAAAGAGAGGTTGTGTGATACAAGTGTTGCCTTGGGTTGATGGCAGAGAATTTGTTCGAGGACCTAAGTATTACTGTATAGATAGGCTTTAGTTATCCATAGAAGCCATAAATCCTCTCAATTTCTTTAAAGAGAGAACAGTTAAAACAATATACAAGTGATATCTCTGTTAGCTGGAATAATTGGTGCAGAGCTCTTCCAGGATGAGAAATTTCTCTCAAGCCCAGAAAATTGTCACACCCCCTGGAATTTTTCTAAGTACAGTTTGTATTGTACCGGGAAAAGTTTTTTGAAATTTTTCGGAAATCACACATTATTTCATCCTCAGAATTTGCCCCCAGACCCGGAAAAAAATGGAGATATTTTCCTAAATTTTCTCAGAAAATGAGGTTAATTATCAACCTTGGAAACTCGCTCACAGACTCGGAATTGAAAGAATTTTTCTGGAAAAATTCTGAGCCAATTTCAGTTCCAGGTATTGGACAGTTCCGGCTAACAGAGACATTACAATAACTCAAACAATTTTTAGGCCCACATGGCCAGGTGTGCAGTGTAACACTGCTCAAAGTGTTATCAAGTGGCCTACCAACATAATAGTCTTGTCATCTAAATCAATGATTTTTATGTCTGTTAAATTTTGCAGAATTTGTTATACAAGTAATATCAATCAGTAATTGTCTCTAATTACACTGGTACAGTGTATGGAGTGCGATGGTTGAGTAGTATAACACTCGCCTCCTGTCCATGGGTAGGTGGTTCGATTCCTGGGCATTCCCAGTACACCCAGCTGTAAATGGGTACCAAAGTTTACAACTGCCCCTAACAGATTTATGCAAGGTATCAGATGTACTGTATTGTCTTGTTATCAAGGAGTAAATATGTGACTGATTATGTAGTGTTGTCAGCACAAGCCATCCTTCCAGTACTGTATGAATCATTGGTTGCTGCCTCTGGTGAACTTTTATGTCTGATGTACCTGATGTTAATGTGGGTAATGTGATTAACTATAACATGTAGTGATCAGATAGTTTGACCAAATGGACTATTTCATGATCAAATAGCACTTTCCTCAGATTGTTCTAATACAGTAATAGATATATTGACGGGTTACATTCAATTTCATATGTGCATTGGGCATTTTTTAATGACACTTTCCAAATACAGTACAGTATACTGTATATACTAATACATATACATGTTTGTGTTGTCATTTAATACTGTATTGTATCTTAATATTTTGGTCTTCCCTTATATCAGTGCACTGTTAACAATCACTGTTCTCTTTACTTAATTGGATTATAATACAGTATGTATAGTAAGTGTTCCTGTAGATTATGGTTAGGTTATCTTTTATAGTATAAGTTTTTGCTCAGAAGCATTCAAGTTTCTGGTGGGCTTCCTGGTAGGGACAATCACAGCTAATGAACACTTCTATTAATGGTTATATGTGTGTGCATTATTTTTCTTTGTCTCTTGTTGACAGGTACAAGAAGTAACCTGTACTGTTGATCCCAAATTTGTCCAAAAGCCATTACATTGCTCAGATCCATTTTATGTGTGCCGGTTCAGTTATGGTGGCAAGACACCCCGTCTTCATCCTCTAAAGGACTTTGGAAATTCACAGCCGAGTGCCAAGAGGTGTGTTTGTATAAGTGTTATGTTATATAAAGTTTTACATTTTTGGAAGACTGTCTCTATATTGTAAATTGTGGTTAGTGGTGACAGACAGTGTCTATATGCTCATAAAAAGTTTTTCAAAGTGATGTGTAACCCAGGGTGACTGATCAGATTTGCTTCAGTTCTAATAGTACAGTACAGTACAGTACAGTACTTAGCCTAAACTAACCCAACAGTTATGTTGTCTTATTATGACTTGGGGGTCCATTTTACTTAAAGCCTTACCCAGGGCTGAATACTGTATACTATATGATACTTGTTGGCACTCTGAACTGGATAATTTGTGCACAATAGTTAAAGAATTCACTTTCCAACCTTACATGTAATAGTGTTACATGTCTGAAAAAGAGAGGTCAGAAACATATTTTAAACTTAAATATTTTGCATTACTGTATATAATTTTTTTTTAGGATAAAGTTTACCTTTGTTGAATGCTACTTATTGTGTTTGTTGAATCTGTTATTTTAATTTGGAGCTTACAGTAATCAAGCAGCTCAGCCTCACCAATCACTTTTGTATCTATGTGTCATTTCATCTCTAACATCCACCTAACCTCAGCATTTTAGTTGTCTGACTGCAAAGAAACAAAGAACTGTAGTCACTACCCTGTGGTAGGAGATGTTTTTGTTGTCTATGTGAGTACATACATTTAGCCAGAGTTTGTAAACTTTTGAGCATGGTTGTATCTACCCCACATTTTTTCTCTTCTGTACTTTTAGGTAGAGTTGGTTTTGTATGATGTTACACCATATTCTGTAACTTTACCGGCAATTTTATTTTTGTAACTTCCAGACACACTGCACGTCGTTCTCTTGCAAATGACCTAACCAATATAACAACTGCTGCAACACCAGGTAGCAACCATTGCATCACTCCGAGCACAAGAGACGGCAAAGAAAATACCGCCAAAACACCAAACAATAACAAGAAACATGTGGAGCGTGATGAATCCCCAGAAATTCCGCTTCTAGGTATATTTTTTCTCTTGTTTGTTTATAGTTGAGACTTTTTCTATACTTGGCTGAGTGGGGGAACTGGTGCAGCAGTCCTCACAAATAACTAATACTGTATAGAGTCATTCATCTTGGTTCTTGTTCAGCAAAACAAAGTACAGTGGTCCCTCGATTAACGAACGGTTCAATTAACAAAATTTTGGTTAATGAATTAGCTCCCATAAGGATTTTCAATTCCATTAACGAACAAAACTTCAATTAACGAAAGCCTTACGAGAAACACGCTTTGTTGTGCGCATCATCTGATCGGCTAGTCCTCCAATACAGTAATTGGTTCTATGTTTACATTCATTTCCAGTGGAGTAAATATCAAGAAAGTTGTGCTCTTGAATATTTTTGCATTTTTTATATTAAAATTATTGGTCATTCTGAAATTTTAGTTCACATATTGATAATACACAGTGCAGAAATTATTATGAAACATGAAGAAGGCATTAGAACCATTGCACTCTGTAAAGAATATGGCATGTCATCATCGACTGTGAATGGGTACCTATCTTTACAACTGGAGAAAATGAAAGCAGTCATGTGCCTTATATCTGTTTATACAAAAAATTAATAAAATAAAAGATTGGTCTACATTGTAGCTCTAAGCTCTTCATTTTGCTGGTTAAATTTATTCATCGACAAATAGTGGCAATGTAACCAGTGAGGTCCCTTTTTTTTTTTAGGTATTTTTGTATAAGTTACATTTTTTGCAGTGGGAAGAAATATGCCAGAAGCAAATAATAGGTAAATCTAGCAATGCACCTCAATATGTCATTGCTCAAAGATCCAATAAGTAAACCCCATCTTACGTTATCATGGTATCCTTGTTTGTACACCCTCTGGCAGAAAGTGGTGCAGAGTTTTTGGGCAGTTTAGTTGTTAGATTAGGGTCTCATCATTTTGTTCTTGGACACATTTTGTTTTTGAGGTAGAACATAGATTTTCACTTCATGATTTATAGTATGTATATGAGACATTGCATATATTAGTGATGGCCTGAACACTTTGCAAGAATCCATATTCTGCAGTGACAAGAATCTACAGTGTCTGTAGAGAAGGATAAACAATATCCCAAGGTGCCTGGCCATCATCAATATGAGGAAAATTAGATTTACAGTATTTGATGGAGTGTATGTTGGACCAAGTCTTGGTGTTGGCTGGATGGACACGTCACAACCACACCTACCTTCCTTCTCCAACACTCACCCTGTATACACTCCTTCAAATACCTACAGCACTTCTAAGTTTCCTGATGCTGTAGTGATGATATTGCTCACTCTCTTCTACAGACTCAAGAGTTATTTATTACCACAGAATTTCAATATACATGTCAAAATAATCATTAACTTCTGGAATGCCTCACCTGTAAGATGTTAAAGATTGTTTGATTGAAGTACTGTGTTGGTTAATATCTTTTGAGTTTATTTTTAAGGTAGAGTTTCTTTTATTATTTATAACATCTTTGAAATAGAGTAAGGTAGGTGATGTAGTAAGAAATTTAGTACTGTATAAGAACACAGCTCCTCACCCGTGGAGCTAGGAGTGCAGTGGCTAGTCGGTTATCGTACAAGCACAACCCCTCAGTCTCCAGGAACAACAGTGTGTTTGGTGCACCCCAACCAGTGGCCCCTTGTGGATGGAGGCGATAAAGAGTAAAAATATGATTGAAGGCTTTTGAGTGGATAGTATTGGAGTATGTGCTTTTAATGAAAATGGAATGGATGGGTTCACAAAGAAGATTTGATAGATGGTAGACTAGACAGTAGGAAATGGGGAGACATATATGCTGGGAGGAAATTGTGGAAAATGGGAGAGAGAAGATGGGTGGTGTATATGATGTATTTATGCTACAAAAGGATTTATATAATTATAATAGTGTTTTACAGTTACAGGTATCAGTGATAATTGCAGTGTATTACTGTACGTATCCATTATTGTATTGTTTTTTCAACAGAACCAAGTGGAAAATTTGAGCTTCTGAAACCCACCATATCAATAAAGCTAAAAAAGATAAATGTCTTAAAGTCAACATCTCCTAGCGGTGTGCGTCTCCCACACACTTTAAAACGGCAAGCTGTGGATACAGATGACCACACACCAAAGAAAAGACCCCGAACCAGCTTTAATGAAAAAGACAGTCCAATGCGGGATACATTGTCCAAAATAATAAGCAATGAGAATATGACCAGTGTAGAGAGACACACTGGCTTTGGACGAAAACTGAAAATTGTGTGCTATCGAAAATTTAATGATGGGGAAGTTGATAGAAATGGATGTGTAACTCCTTTGTCACCAAAGTTCCGTGAAAAATCTTCACCCTCAAAACCTCGAAGTGTTGTATCATCAAGTGTTTATAAATCATCCAAGGAAAAAATTGATATCGTGAAAAAGATTGGCAAAGTTCGTGCTCTTAAAGACGATGAAATTACAGATTTATTGGGTAGTGATAGTGAGGACATGGATAGTAGTGAAAGTGAAGAGGAAGGGGAAAACCTTGAATCAGACGAAGAAGATAAAAAAATAAAAACTCCTTTTAATATCAGTCAGGTTGGTAACCAAAAGAGAAGCCCCAAAAAATTTGAATCATGCCAGAATTTAAGGAAAGACGACTCTTTATCAGACACTTCAAAAAAATGTGTCCCTAAAAATGAGAAAGATCTTCCATTGCCATTCTTTACAACTCCAAAGAAAGATAGACATGTCAGTTCAAAATCTAAAAGTTCTATGAAAAAGAAGCACCAATGCAGTGATTGTGTGGAGTCATTTCTCACCCTCACTGAGTTACGAGAACATGAAGAGGAACATGAATTCCAGCCAGTTGCAGTGACTCCTAGCAGGTAATTTTATCAATACTGTATATTGTAGATTCATTCTTTTTCTTTTTTCGTCCACCATCTCTTACATTTCTCACTTTTATTGACATTCATAGTGTTTTTTCTATCTCTCTCTTTATAATTATACACATTCCTTATACGTACTGTACTTTATATTTTTTGCTTATATATTTGCGTGTTCTTCAATTTCTTTTTCTTCCTTGTCTCTACTGTTCTTTTTGTTTTTCTTTTCTTCCTTCTGTAGCTCTCTCTCCTTCTGTAGCTCTCTCTCCTTTCTTCCTCTTATTACTTCTGCCTACTAAAGTGTTTTAATAGTGTACAGAAATATACAGTAACCAACAGTTATTGGTAGTGTTATATGTACTGGTAGCTAACAGAAGTAATGCACTCCTTGATATCAATAGGGCCCACTCTCTCATAATATATTGTATTAGTACTATATTAATTATCAGATTGTCTTATTTCTCTGGTAGCTAGATAAGGAAAATTCTCTATCTATTTCATACCATAATACTTTTGTTAGAGGAAATTTACAGTCCTAGAGTAAGGTGCAACCATCAGGGATGTCAGTAAGGTTGGTGTTCACATTGATAGTTTAATAATATTTTGTCTAATGGCCTGCTTTAGCATTTTCCGTATGAAGATTAGCTATTTCATTTCTCCACCATCTAGCTTTATTGTAAAGTTCAAGTTTTCTGGGAATGTAACCCTCTTGTAAATTGAGGTCTGCCTGTACCAGCAACCCTTTACCACCCACCCTTTACTCATTGACCTCAAATTAGTGTGATTTCTTGTAGCAGTTGTTCTTTGAAGCCAAGTTTTTTAGTCATTCCAGGCATTCACCACACAAATCTCACCAGAGCAACTGTTTGCCATCTTAATCCCTCCCCCCCCCTTTTTTTTTCAATTTCTTGATGAAAGTCAGAGGGGAATAACACATCACACTGACACTTCCCCCACTTTGCTTTTTTCCTCAAAAGCTACTGAAAGTGTTAAGCTCATTTGTGATACTTCAGGGAAAGATGATTAGTTTATTCAGAGTGAGCTAATAAATCAACCCTGGCTAACATAATAGGGGGTTGTCTGAGGGCATGGAACTCTACAATAAGTCACTTATATTTCGAAAGCCACCTGATTAAGGCTCCATTAGAAAATGAGATTTCAAAGTAAATCCTTCATCTTTCTAAATAAAATCTAATAAATTTTTTTCTTCCAAAACTTTAGTTCTCCAAGAAAATACTTAATTACAAAGGCTACTGAATCTGGTACTGTAGTAGTATAATGGTTATTTTCTCTTCAGGAAATCCAATAAGAAGCATTTATCAAGGACACCATCCAGTGTAAAGAAGACTCCACGACGTGAATCTGTAACTCCTGGAATGCCAGTACGAGAAGAGCCTGTGAAACATCCACAGACACCACTGGAGAAGGCTCGAGCTCGCCTTCATGTTTCTGCCGTCCCTGATTCACTGCCATGTCGCGAGGATGAATTCCAAGATATATATTCCTTTGTTGAAGGCAAACTCATGGACAACACTGGAGGATGCATGTAAATACAATAATTAGGAGAATGAAGAACTCTTGCATTTCTAGGATAGAACTTGACAATGAATTACATCATAGAAATTTGATATTCTACAATTAATTGTCTTTGGTTTTGACAGAGAATATTTACTTGTGTTTACTTAAGTAGGTTTTGCTCTCTGCTCATAAAGTGGTAAACTTATATTCGGATGAAAGTCCTCTTGCCGGATTTGTTTGGAATTATCTTCAGTATACAGTATTAGTGATTAGATTAGAAGATCTGCTCTCCATCTTCAAGAATGTAATGTTGGTATTGTTCATAAGGAAAATTACTATTCCCTTCCAGTGAAGCCTGGTTGGAACTTTAGTTTATCCTCTTCATCTGTGTCTTCATTTTGCATGGCTGTTTTGTCCACTTGTAAAGAGAATTTGTGTATTAAGTTATGTACCGCTTTCATTTGCATTTGGCACGAGTGTTCAGAGTCATAGGACACCAGGGCACAGTAAGCAAATATTGTATCAGATTAAGAATGGCAGTTTAGTGGTTATATTTCTCCCTTGGAATTTAACAGATAAGTGTAGGTGCACCAGTAGGATACGTGGAGTGGTGTGGAGTACCTTCTGCAATTTAGAGTGTGCAGTCATGGAGGTCACATTTAAGTACTTGTTTTAGATTAATGCCTTCGAAATATTTTTGTCCCTATTAGAGTGTCTCCTGTTTGTCTATTCTGTATCAAAATCTTACTGATTGGAGAGCTTGGATGCTGTTGATTATCTTCCACTGGGATGCCTCTGATTAAAAAGTTGTGTGTTTTTAGGTACATCAGCGGTGTCCCTGGCACAGGAAAGACTGCAACAGTCAGGGAGGTGGTGAAACTTCTTCGTGACTGTAGTAATGAAGGAGTTTTGCCTTCATTTACATTCCTAGAGGTTAATGCTATGAGATTGACAGAGCCTCATCAGCTTTGGGTCCAGGTAAGATATTCTGTTAATTTGGTATAAAAATGATAAAACTCGACAATGGCCTTTTGAATGTATATTTACTTGAGTTACTGTTACCCTTTTTCATAGTTTATTATCAGAGGTGAAGCCATGGTTGGTGGATAAGACAACAGGTGGGCAATGTTCGAATGTGGGTAGGGCAAGAGGTGGGCAGTGAGGGATGATGGGTAAGGCAGAAGGTGGGCAGTCAGTTGTGGTAGTTAGTCCTTTAAAGTCACCATCAGATCACAGAATGCTCACCCCACAAGATTCACCACTACAGTAATTCTATTTCCTTTTTACTTAGTGTTACAAACTTAAGAGTGGGGAGAAGTTGGAGGTTGTGGTTTATATACACCCTCAGAATGGAACTTACTATGATACAGTATGATATCTCCATCTGCTTGTCTTCTTCTATTTGGTCTTATTTCATGTGTCTTTATGACTTAACAATATTTTTGGGGGACACTGATAAATATTTAAAACTGCAGTTCTATCCTTTCACATAATTAAACCTACTACCTATTACCTCATCATTGCTTCTGTGTAAGTCCTGTAATGTCTTACATACAGGGTACTTAAAAGATATACTAAGGTAACAGAAAGTATTATATCCAATATTAGGGGACAGTGTTTCAAAAAGAACAAATCACACACACACACACACACTGTAATTATTAGTAGACAGGAAAGAAGAGGTGAGCTTCATGTAATAGCCTGGCAGTTGAGCAAAGATTAAACCCTGCTTAGAGAACATAAGGTATATTTTTATATTCTTAATCATATGTATAAGGTGGCTCTGTATAGTTGACATGTTTGGTGATATATATACAGCATGTCCGGATAATTCACAGGTTTTTATTTCACGGTCCTCTATTATTCGTGGATGACACCCTGGATGTACCCAAGAATGTCTGCGGGTAGTTTTAAAGTTGCTGGCATTTTTTTTCGCGGCCGGTACGGTGAGCGTGCGATCTTTGTGGCGTCCCGGGAAGCTGACCCACGCGCGCTCCGCCTCAGTCCGGGATAAACACTTATCCGTCTCGCTCGTGTGCTACTCTGCTCTCGTAACAACTGTGCTGCTCGTGCTTGTGATGTTTCCGATACTCCCTCAACCACCTTCATCCAGCTGTGGGAAGGTGGCCAAACAAGTGAAGAGAGAAAGGTCATGTATTTCTCCCATACGTATGCCTGGCAACGGGAGAGGGTGAAAGGAGTGACTGCCAGTTAGCTCGTCATCTACAGTTGTAACTCCTCGCTCCCTGCCATATTTTACTGGATTTACTGTTATTAATAGTGTTTACTGATAGAATAGTGCTTAACAGTGATTTATCATGTCATTGTAGCTAGGTTAGCTCATCGTTGTAACCACCAGGCTACTGGGCTAAACTGTGAAGTGTTTTGGTTTTTTGAACTCATATTTTTGAGTAGATATACGTAACCTTCATTTACATGCACACCATCCTACATACATATTGTGAAAAAGTATACAGCATTACACCACAATTACCGACATCCTTTATGTTGGGTTGGCTAGATGGCTACGAAAGAAATTCTGTAAGTTTGATCTACGTATCAACCCAGCTGGTGCTGGCGCCGTATGGCAACTCGATCAACTAAACTTTAATATCAAAGCACGGAGTTGACTTGAGGGTAGACTTGCATTTTTTCTACATTACATTTTGTAGTCATGTTTCTTATTATTTGTGAGAGGATTTCCCCATTATTATTTATTTGTAGCATTTTAATAATAATATTAAACGGCTGAAAGAGCATGGCAGCCAGAAGGCTGAAAATATACAGTTACATAATTGTGGAATGGCTCACTTGATTGACAAATAACATAAGTGATACAAATATGATATATAATAACTAAGTGGGGAGAAGGTTATACTACAGGGCATTTCAACATAGTTTCAGTGCAAAAAGGTAAGATTGGCTGGTTGATTACGAGTTGTTGATAATTTTTACAATGGTTGGGACTGGGCTGTTTTTATAGCGTGTGTGTGTGTGTGTGTGTGTGCATGTCTGCACACACACACACACATATTTACAATATTGGTAAAAGAAATAATAGTCCTAGGAGCCAACATATAAAGGGAATATACATTTCTTCGCACACAAGTAAAAATGTAACCCCCGTCAGCAAATGTTATTCGTGGATTTGGCTATTCTTGGCCATTTTGAGAACCTAACTCCTGCGAATTTGAAGGACATGCTGTATAATCCAGGTGGATATCATGTTGTCATTTTTATGATTTAATCACCCTCTCAAAATACAGCAAATGGCTTTTATTTAAAATATTTTCTTCCTTTCACTATTTATGCAGGTATGGAAAGGTTTAACGGGAATTAAAGCAACAGCAGAACATGCCTCCAATTTACTTGAAAAGAGATTCTCTACTCCAGCCCCAAGAAGGGAACCCACACTTCTGCTGGTGGATGAGTTGGATCTCTTGTGGACTCGCAAACAGGTGCAGTGTGAATCACTTGATGTCATGCTTTGTTAGCATTATACTGTATATAAAAGATGATAATGGATACAAATTAGAAAATTTTGGACATAATATAGACTGAATGTATTGAAAATATCTATCTTGATTGGCTTGTTAGAGCCTATATTACAAAACAGTACTTGTTACATAAATAAGAATTTCAGCTATTTATTGGTTATGAAGCTAGGAAATAAAAATTACCATTCCCAATTGGATTTGCTAAGCACATGGTATGCTTGAATACTAAATAAATTAATAGTGGGGGGTTTTATGAGTGAAACTTGAAGATAAAAAGTCATTTTAATTATTATAAATGATTTTTACCTTTTGATTATAATATATGAAATTAATTGATTATAATAATACCATCCCTGCTTCCTCCCTAGTAGTCCTTCACTGCATCCTTCCAGTACAGTAAACCCGGTCTCTCACCATCCATCTTAGAATTATCTTTTCTTTTTACCTGCCTCACCTCCCATTCTGTCAGTATGAACATATCATCCTAGCAAGGTTGTATATATTGTTTTTAAAATGGGTTTATGAAATATACTTCATTGTTACCCTTTAGTTTTAACTTTCAGGATGTGATGTACAATTTGTTTGATTGGCCATGCCGTCCTGGTAGTAAGCTGATTGTTGTAACTATTGCTAATACCATGGACCTTCCTGAACGCCTCATGATGAATCGGGTATCTTCCAGGCTTGGACTAACAAGAATGACATTCCAGCCTTACACCTACAAACAACTGCAGGTGTGAGCTTTTATTTTATTCTTTATGTATTCTAACTGCTTGTCCTGTTCTTAAGATTAGATAGCACTAATAAGTGTAAATGACAGACTTAAAGATACTTTGGAGTGATTGTGATCAAGAAACCATTATATGAAGAATTTTTATTGTATATTCCAATTAATGTTATAGTACTTGTAAATAAAAATGTGTGCTTTTTTTTTTCATATAATTTATTTTACAGGAAATTGTAATGTCTCGCTTGCTTGGCATTGATGCATTTGATCCAGATGCTGTGCAGTTGGTTTCACGTAAAGTTGCAGCTTTATCAGGAGATGCTAGGCGAGCACTTGACATCTGCCGTCGAGCCACAGAAATTGCAGAGACGAAGAAACTGCCAGCCAGTCCTTCCAAATCTCCATTAAAGAGGGCAGCTCTGGTTGGAATGTTGCATGTTGACCAAGCAATAAAGGAAATGTTCACATCTCCTAAGATAACAGCCATAAGGTATGATAATTTATAACATTATACAGTACAAGGATTGAGCAATTCTGTATAGCCAGCAAGTCAAGGGTCGAATCCCAAGGTTCCTGGGCCTCATCTTTTGTGATTTGGATTAAAATGATTAAATCTGATGAGACTATTTTTCTTACTAAAATTCAATGGGAGACATGTGACATGAAGGTACCTAAAAAGAGGAAAACACTGAAAAGTTTTTTCTGCCAAGCACAAACACCCATGCTGAATAAAATCTGATGTTAACCAAAGAGTAAAAGTGGGGTCCCTATAGTGGATGGGTTAGGATCTGCTACAGAATGACTTCACAAGGACCAACAATTTAAATTCAGTCACATACTCATCCTGTGAGGACCTTCTTTAACATGGCTCCGACATTAAGGATGCTCCTGTTTGTTTACTCAAACTTTGCAACTGAGGCCTAGGGTCAGTTTGTAGCAAGGCAGCTGATTGGCTGGTGAAGAGACACACATGAATCACTACAAGTTATTATCCCTTAAGATAGCAGAATATAAATACGACAGATCAAATACTAAAGATCTTTTATAACTCTTCGTATGCCCATCTGCAAGCCAATCACCTGCCTTGTTACAAAGTGACCCTAGGCCTCAGTTGCAAAGTTCGATTGAACAGACTGTAGGTGGTTTTTAGATTTAAAACACTAAGAGATAAGGTGGTGATTGTTGTCATAAAGTTATTGGTGCTAAATTTATATTGTGTGGAAGATGTGATTATATTGCCTATTATGAGTGTTTAATTTGACAACCCAAGGTGCCAGCAAGCTAGCTAGCAAGGTAATATAACCAGATCCTCCACATTATCATGGTTGGTATATTGTTTCACCTTGGTCAACATGGTGGCACTCAAAAGTCATGAGACTTTCAGAACAACACATCCTAGTTGAATTTTCTGGATGGCAATTTTGATGAGTCTTTCCTCCAGAGAGTACCTAGTTAGCTGCTTCTATACACAGTATAGTAGTAGTTACTAGGAAATCACCTTGTTTCTTTTTGACCACTCTAGAACTGGCTCTAGTAAAACTGCTGCCGTTGAGGGTGCAGACCAAGTGTAGCACCCTGAAAATTTTTGGTTCCCCCCCTCCCTCCCCTTCTCTAGCTGGTTTTAGTTTACAGAGATGCATGTACCTAGCATAATCTTATAAGGGTGAATTAATCGTCAACTCCTTAGTCAAGCAATTCAACATCCCTCCCTCCTCCGTTTTGGGGTACAGTATTTGTAAAACCTTGTGATGTTATTTTGCAGCCAACATCAAACAAAAGCAGATTGGAGCGTGCATGTTGATGCTCGGCAGCGAATCTCTTAACATTTCTCCCTTTTAGGGCAACATCATGCACAATGCCTCCTTCAGAAATCTGGTATAGTCAAGAATAAGGTATTTTTTTTAGAAGTACAATACTGTATTAAATCTTTAAGTTTCAGGACAAAAGTTGGGGCTCTGGTACCTGAAATTAACCCTCAAGGTCAGATGGCTATACAGAGTTCCTTGATCCAGGCTCGATTATAAAATGCGAGATTTTTATGGTATTACCTTTCATGTTTATTTCCGTAACACATGTGAAAGAAAGATGAAAACAGGAATTTATTTATAAGTTGCAGAATAACTTAATGAATGAGGCACAGGTATACTTAATTTGTTTGTAATATAATGATGCAATTAGTTCTGTTTCATTATTTGAAAGTCACTCAATTTTATGGTTTGCAGAAGCTGCAGTATGATGGAGCAGTTTGTGCTGCGTGCCGTCGTGTCAGAGTTCGTGCGCACTGGTCTGGAGGAAGCTGTCTTTGGGCGTGTGTTGGAGCAATTCATATCACTGTGTAGATTTGAAGGTATGTTTTAATGGAGAAAACATCTATTATAGTCTATGGTGAACCTTTAATACCTCATGATAAGGTGAATCAACGAGAATTTAAAACAATGATAAGTGCACACCTTAAGTAAGGACTACCTGTGTGTGTATTATATGTGTATGTATATAATGCCTTTTTATTTAGAACATATTTTATCTATAAAGTACAAAAAATTTTGATGGTGACTCAGTAAGCAGGGTGGGTGCATCTGGAGCTTCCCCAGCCTCTCATCCCGGAGTGTGTTAACACGAGAGATATGTTCCTGAAAATTCTCGTGCTGCACAAAATCGAGCTAAACAAGTCCCAAAAAGGCTATTGAAAACCAAGCAAAGGGTGAGAGATGTGTGTTGGAAGGAATGAAAAATCATACAAGAGCAGGGTACAGAACAGCAGACCAAAAATATACACGAAATTTTTTTACAGCATACTGTATAAGATGTACTTTTTGTAAAAAAAAAAAAAAAAAATAATAATAATTATCTGCCCATTCTCTACTGTTTTCATCTTCCCTTTGCACCATCTCTCACTGTTGTGTTTACAGAAGTTTTCTTTCTAAGAGTGTTTCTGATTTTTATGTAAGCAAACTCATTTGTGAAAAAAGAAGTTAATTTTACATTAATTTTTCAGGGATTGAGCCATCTTATGCATCTGAGGTGGTGAAGATTGTCAACTGTCTTACGTCACAACGCTTGATCCTGACAGAACATTCTCGCAATGACCTCAACCTACGCCTACGGTTGAATATATCCACAGATGATGTTAACTATGCCTTGCAAAGCACGCCAGCAAATTGAAAATATAGAATATAGACAAAAGATAGTGAATCAATAATTTATAATAAATAGTTTCACAAAATACTTTGTATTTTATCTGGTTTCTTTTATAATTTATTTTTGAATACAAATACTTTTTATTGTTTACAAGATTAAACCACAGAACTTAACTGTCATAGGTCAGTATCATTGTTGTACCCAGAATAGATTACCAGATTCATTTACCTCTTTAAGAGATGAAAGAAGTGACAGACAGAACTGATCAATATTTGCTTAGGTGACACACACAGAGAAAGAATATGAAGTTAAAGATAGGTTCAAAAAATGAGTAAATGAGAAGTGGATGGTAGTAGAGAGACAATTACCAAGAAGATGAGATCAAGGATGCACTAGAATCAAGAGAGATGACATTGAAGAAGCACTGGTAGGAGAGAATCATGACATCAAGGAGTTGCAGGCATAGAAGTACTACCCATAGGTGATGCTAGGTTGTTGAAATCATTCCCGGAAGTGCTCTGTACCAATTGTTCCGGCTAACTGAGATATCACTGTGTATTTGAGTTTAATACGGTATATTTGTAACATGATTGAAACAGCTAGTTGCACAATGTTTCTAAACTCATAGAATTTTCTAATATTTATAATGTTGGTTGTCTATATTAATGTTTATGTTTTCTAGAAATTACCGTATAATTATTCTTTAATTTTTAGGTGTTTATGTCACTGGTATGACATCACCTTCATTGCCACTAACTATAATGCTGTTGTCATCAGGTCAAGTTATTATTTATATCAGTAGTCTCAAAGCAACCATCAGCCTCCACTCAGTGTTCTTGTTACTCAATTTGTTTTTTGTTCATTGAAGATCAGAAGTTTGTTTTAGAATCCATTTCTTGTATTTATATATTGTGGGATTTATATTAAACATCATAATTTTTTAATGTCTTTATATTGTATTGTAGGGGGTGTGGAAATGACTGGTTTATTTATCTCTGTTGCTCTGCCATCAATGTAGGTGGGGAATCATCCATTTATTTTCAATGCTTTTTTAATTATCTTCTATTTTCTTTATTTATTTAATTTCTCTAATTACTTCTTTCTTTTAATTTCTAAGTGTAATTAGTTCACTGATAAAGCCTATGTTACTGTAGCCTGTCACCACTTAGATTTTAAATCAGAATAAAACATAGCATTTACCCTATGAAGCACTTTGGTAGTAGCATGACACATTAACCTCTTACAAATGTGGTAGCATGGTGAGGCTTAGGCTTGTGGGTTCTATTGTACAGTATTCAGTAGTACCAATACGTGTGGAAGAAAGAAAGGTAACATCAAGTGATAATACTGGCACAATATATATAAAGAGTATTTATTGCAAATGAAGTGGGGATATTAACACATTCACAGAACACACAACACAACCACTCCCTGGGATTCACTCAAGATTTGTTAAAAATTACATTAACACTGGCAAAAATGCGAAGACCATAGCCTTACTTTATACAGTACCTGTAGTTAGAAAAATATGTAAAGTATGTCAATTTAACAGGAGCACTGTTCAGTAGAATTTACTACAGCTAATTGGTAATATTATACAGCACTTCAAATTATTATCATCAATTGTACAAATACTTTATAGTTCTCAAAATCACTCATAAACTCATCACAAGACTGTTAGCAGGTATTTGTGTAATGTACTTATTAGTAAACAATACTAGGGATACAGGTGTTGATACTAGTCGTAATTTCCGGGGAACGAGGAGGCCATGGAATAGGACCACCACGCCCGATCCAATGAGTAGGGAAGTTTTCATTGAGGAAATCGTGCAACTTTTAAGCCCCAGTGTGGTGGTGCCCAATCTTGCTGAAAGAACAAATGGTGCTGCACAGTGCATGCCCAGTACTTGCCAACAGTGCGTAACAGGAATGTGACTGTTATAGGATACGTCTATTGAACTGCAATTTTATACTGTTTTTGTCTAGCTTTTTTGTTAATTAACTGTGTGTTACTTGTGCAGGTTCATCTTATTTTGTTATTATGATGCAGAATGACTTCAGACTTTTGAGCAGTTCTCTTTTCAGTTTATGTATAGTCATGGTTTATCACTCACAGATAGAGATGACCTGATCTTCTGTCTGTCTTCCCAATTCTCTTACAATTTTTGCTAGCTTAATCCTCTTCAACCTGCAGATAGAGTTAGATAAGGGTTTAATCCGTAGATATAGGTGTGAAATTCTTGAGTCTTGACATCTTGTACCATTCACGGCTGAAGGTATAGAGTTTTCCAAAGGTGATGTTGGGGTACACAACCTCCCCGCCAGTGAGGTACCCGGTCCAGAAGCCGTAGCTTCCCACTGTAATGATACTGTGGTTGCACGACGCTAAGGTGGCCATATCCGCTTGCCGGGTGGTGCCTGAGGGAGACGCAGGAGGAGGACATTGGTGAGAGCCATGGTTTGGAGGGAGGGAGGAAGAAGGGGTTGGAGAGAATAAGAGTGGTGTAGAAGGATGAGAGACAGAGGTTGGAGAAGGGGAGAAGGTGGTGTAGAGGGATGCAAGGTGAAATTATAATGGATGAGAGAAAGAGAGAAGAGGATATGGTTGATAGGAAGACATGTCGAGAGAGTTTATGACTGAGGGAGAGATGGAGGGTCGAGGATGAGGTAAAGAAAGATTGTGAGGGAGATTTCTATGTCAGGAGTCTCTCATTATCTTACCTAAAGAGAAGATAATGTCGGGGTAATGACTGAACTTCTCTGTGATAAATTTGCGGTCATCTGAAGCCACAATGAAGACTACCCGTGGGTACTTGTGACGGTAGTACTGTAGCGCCCTCCTAAAGTACACTTCTCCCGGCACCTTACCCTCATACTTCTGTAACACCAAGAGAGTGGGACCATGAACATACAGTACTTCAAATGAACCTTAAACATACCTAAGTTGAATTAACTCTTTAACAGTAGAATAGTGAATGCAATTTGTGAATTATTCCAGATTCATCAAGACATTTTGTTTTTATTTTTATCAAGATGCAATGTGCTGATTGATATAAAGGAGAAAACCAATTTAGGTGCATAGTTTAGGCAATGACTCACTTTTTCTAATCAGAAGCTAGAACACTTACCGTAGCATTTCACTTTTATATGAGACTGTTGGTACTCTTTACCTTTAGTATAACATGGTTTGGTAACATAACTGTCAAATAAAGAATGTTACAGTTTACAAGACGGAGGTGAAAAAGTAATACACATCATCTTTCTCCGATGCTCCAAAAAGTATCTTTACGATTTTGTGTGAGATAATATGACAACGGCTAAAGGATTTTTGACAACCCTTCTGAGACACCAGGAGTCAAAATGTTCATTTTGAAATTCATCGGGTCCCTCCTTAAATATATTTTTTGAAGCGATTTATAGAGGGCCAAGAAGATCTCTCTCTCACCTTAATAAATTCTACGTAATCAGTGCGTCGTACGTGCACCCCGACCAGCACAGGGGGAGTGGGGTCCTTGTCTTGTTCCTTCATCACAATACCTCTCAAGAAGTTCTCAGCCTGTGGGCATACAACATAACATGAGGGTCTTAATAACACCTTCATAAAAAATATAAAACAAGCAACTATATTTTTATACAGTCAACCCTCGCTTTACGCGGTCCCACTTTACGCGTTTCCACGTTTACGTGGTACCCTGCCGAACACGGAATGCTCACTTTCCGCGGTGTGTGTGTACCCTTTCACGCGGAGAGCGGCGCGAGCAGGGTGCGCACAAGGCCACCCAGTCATCAAAACATTACCGAGTTCTTCACCTGCCACCCACCACAGCCGGCCCAAGTCAGTGATAGTGATAATGATAGTGAGGATATGGACTTTTATGGACTTTGAGGGGTTTGACAAAGAGGCCCTGCAAGCCTCTGTGGTGGATAGTGATACAATTGATACAAGTGATACAGGTGAGGGCCAATAATCTGCCCTCTGCCTCGGAACCAACCCCCCATCCCCGTGTGCCCAGCCATCTTTTCTACTAATGTAAGTGTTAAAAAACCTAATATTATTGATATTTCTCATAATTATTAATTGTGTCTGAAAAAGTGGAGTTTGGGGGTCGGCCCGGTCTCTATTTCAATTAATCCCATATGTTATGTTGTTCACTTTACGCGTTTCTCACTTTACGCGGGCCGCCGTGGGTTCAATTGACCGCGTAAAGTGAGGGTTCACTGTACAGTATATCATTAATAGAAAATAGCCGTGGGATAGCCCTGACTGACATCAAGGAAAATATGAATGCCATCATATAATAGAATTAAAAAACTTCTTTAAATTGAGATAACTGTATACAGTACAGTAATATATTAACCTAAAAGAATCTCATGAAGATAAGGAATCCTAGCCAAATGGGGGAGAGCCCACTCGGGCACAGGTCATCGACCTACAACGGGGCCTAGGGTGCGAAAAATAAGAGTGAAAAGAAATTAAAAATACAGTGAAAAAGACCATATTAATCTACACCACGAAGATGCCGTGGTAAATTTATTTATAGGTTAGCATTAGCTTGGTTAATCATTTGGTAAAATAAGTAAATATACTTAATCTTTATGAGATCCTTCTAAATTCAGAGCAGATAAGTCAAATATAAACTGACAATATCTTTCCATTTGTTTAATCTGAAGTACAAACCAACACAGTTGTCACTCAAATAACAAGGCGGTGAATCCATCACTCCGGATCTCATATTGAGCTTCAAGGATCATCTAAGATCATGGTCAGACCTTGATTATTTTGCGTATGTCTGACAGGTGGTGAAGATGAATGATCTTTTGTAGATTTGCTGAGTTCTTGAGTGTGTGTGTGTATGTGTACTTGTACATCGACGAGCTGAAGATTGAATACACTAAAATTAAGGCGGAGGAACTGGGAAACATTCAGAAAGGATTACCGGTACGTGCAAGGATTAGTATTTGCATGTATGTTTATGATATGTGATTTGAACTTTTGATGAAGTGAAGGTAAATGGTGAATTCTTACCTTAGGTAAAGACATTTGGGACACCCTGGGCTACACACACTACACACCTCTGGTACTACGGCATTGTTTCATAACTACTGTGTGCCTCCTCACCATACTGTCCATTAGTACTAGTAACAGACTTTCACCATACAATGTCACATGTATTTTTACCTCAATGATTCAACCCCAAATATACACATCATCATCAGTTATGTCTATCCAAACATGTACAGTACCTGTTTTATATTTACTTCATCTCTGACTTGTTACTTGTGTCAGGTTCTGTTACAGAATTAATGTACAGTGCAGTATACTACTATAAAAAATCACCAGACAGAGAGGTCTATCTTGAATGTGCTGCTTCAATTACTGTCAGGTGTTATATTTACATTTATTCACGCGTATTATTTTTTTTACTTTGTATTATCCTCTTCACTACTTGTCAGCTTACTTGCCAGTTGCTCTGTTACACACTGCTGGCAAGTACAGTACTGGGCATATACAAGCTCTTGAATGTGCAGTAGCTAAAACAAGTGTCTGTGCAGGTGGGGGGTCGATATGCTCCAAAATTTTACGTGTGACTAGTGACAGCCCCCATATACCAAAATTTATCGTCCATGGTCTCGTATTGTTTCCCACAAAGTATGCACAGATAGGTGTTTTACCTACTGTACCTGAACATGTGCTAGTGTTAGGCAAGTTTCGACTCAAATGAAGGAGCTTGCACTTGATGCCATCACAACATTCTCTGGCAAATTATTTCAAGTCACAAGTCTTTACCTCTTCCTTGATGTGAGGCGCGAATTTGAACTCTTTCACGACCTCCTGTCTGTAGGTGTCAAAGAGCTGAGTCTCAAATGGCCAGTCTGCAAGAAGAAATATTTTTCAACAAAAACCTTTCGTACCAAGAATAACACCAACAACAGGGAAAACACAGACAGGAAAAACATCTAGAACCAAGTGAATGAACGCGAGGGTGAAGAGAGCGCTCAAGAAGTGTGAGGTGTTAGTTGAGAGTTTGAGATGAAAACGTGTGGGGTTTGGTAGAGCTCTGCTCTGTCTGTTGAGGCCGTCATCAGCCTATTCTCATATATGATTGAAAGTAATATAGATTATAACACTTTAATTACTCCTCACTCATTTATATTCTTTTACTTATTCTCTCTCTCACTCTCTTTCTCTTCATGTTGTATACCTTATTTATTATACATACAATAATACTCTAAAGCCCCCTGGTAGATAAAGTAAATTGAATTAATCAGTTACTACAGTAAATACATTATATAAATAACACTATAGCACCAGTGTCTAATTAATTTGCTTTTATAGATACTATACCCACAGTCTCAATAGCTGCTGTCCTGCTACTTAAAAACAAACTTTGCTATAGAAATAGTCAGTACAATTGAATGTTATCTCTGTCATGTATCTACCACTGCCAAGATACAAACTTCACTAATACTTGCTGTTGCAATACCTGTCAGGAGGAAGAGTCGAGGACCCAGCAGACCGGCTGCGGCCATCTCGCTCTTGGCGTAGTTCCATATACTGAGACTCCGTAGCGGCACCCAGTCCTGCCGCGAGAACTTCCCTGTCAAGAATTTAAGAACTGAGTTTTCCCTGACATGGGCAAGAGGAGTGGGAAGTTGTTCTATACTAAAAGGACGAAGGATACCACACCAACTTGGTAAGGTGCTACAATGTCCGATGCCACTCTACATTTACGTTTGTTGAAAAAATATTATACTGTACACAGAATTAGGACACGTCTCAAGTTTTACAACTCTTCTACACCATGGAGCAAAATTGTGATGAACCTCTCTTGCTGTTGGTATGTTAAAACAATATTCCCTTATAGAACTGGGTAATCTTATTCTTGCTATCATACTGTAAATGGGGAGATGCTGGTAAAAAAAAGAAAAGGACTTAGTTCCTATACTTTTGTGAGCCATAACTCACCAGGCACAAGTGGCATGGTAAGGTTGGGGAAGATCTTGCCCAAGTAGCGCTTCATGTCAGGGCTGAGGCGGACGGTGGCATTGTAGGCGTGTCCCAGAGCGAGCAAGGTTGCGTACTGTCCCATCACGTTACCTAGACGACCCATGGGCTGAGCTGAGAGTATGGGCAGCTGTAGTCCTCGCCAGTTTAATCCAGGGTATGTCTCCCACACCCGGGGCACCACTGCCGTTACTGCCTCCGTCCTCGAGGGCTTTGGGGTTGAGGTATCCACGCCTGACTGTATTATGAACTGTCAGACTTATGGGAGCAATGTGAAATGGTACTGAGTCTTGACTGCTTTTATAATTGGAATAAATTATTATTAATATTTTCTGTTATCACAATGATGCTGAGTTTTGATACCAGGGGATACAGGGACAATTAGTGGAGGCAGCTGAGGATGAAACAACAAGAGTAAAGCACCTTCATCATTTTGAGAAAGGAAACAACAACAGTAGTACAGAAAAATACACACACACACACACACACACACACACACACACACACACACACACACACATTTCTCCTGACTACCAAAAGGTGAGCACATACGTTGCTCTGTTCTGGCAGCTGCTGAGGCCAAAAATGTTGGCCCTGTTTTGAACTCTCTCCCTTCAACCCTTCCTCTCCACCTGGATATATCGGTGAATTCCCACAAGATACAGATAACAAAAAATTATAATTTCGTTTTGGAAAGGAGTGGAAATAGTTTTGAACAGTGATGAACAGTGCTTAACACCAGAGAAACAGTGCCAAACAGTAACAACCTAGGTGTCGTGGCCAAACCACACCCACCAGTGAGGTCCTTTAATATCTCGCGAGAGATGAGAACTAACGCCAGTGCTCATGAGAACCAAAAACACCTGACCATGTGACGAATGCTAAGCCAGTCTACACTGTCACTACGCCATTTGACAGCAATCGAAGTACTTTGACATCACATGGTGTTCTCATCATGACACCACAAATGAATGAGTTACTGGATATGAGGCGCTCCGCATTACAAGGGGGTGAAGCGCCAAATTTAAAAAGCGGATTAAACACGTTTGAAGTTTTTCGAAGATCAAACAACCATAACTTTGCTGTTTTCTAATTTAGAAGGTTCTTTTTTTTTGCAGCTCAACCCCTCTCCTAGTGAACAGTGAAAACTGGAAGTTATTACTGTGAATAGTTATTATTTTATCGCGAGTGGAATGAGAATAACTACCCATCATGTATGAATGTTTGATCTTCAAACCAACAATAATCGCATTTTTCTGCTAAATTGTCTTATTATTGTTGACTAAAACTGTAAAACAAGTTAATGATCACCAAAACAACACTCATCTTACTCCCACCTCCCCCATAAACCCTCCCAAACCCCACCCCCAAAATGAAATACAGTAATAATAAAAAACTCATTTGCCTCTCAATATTTATTTTTCCCTCCCTATTATTAGCCAAAGATAAATAATATTGTTCAGTATAATAGTGTGTAATAATAAGGAAACACCACTACACTCATCCCCCCACCATTAACCTCTCCCCTCCCTCCCCCAATGTAATTAACATACGAATACAAAGGCGAAGAAAGTTTGCATAATCTTGGATAATGCTGCCAGACTAGATGCATTACACCATGCTGCGCACACACACACACACACAACCTACCTGACAGGGAAGGACCTTAGTCAGACTCCTCTTCCCCAGGGCCCCGACATTAGGTTGGTTCCTCGTAGCTGGCAGACCAAACCTCCAGTCCTTCAGGAATACTAAAGAAAAGAGATGCATTTATTACCCTGGGAGAAGAGTGTGAGAGCAGCAGCTGTACTCACACAACAGCTGTACTCACATGACAGCTGTACTCACGCAATAGCTGTACCCACACAACAGCAGTACTCACGCAACAGCTGTACTCACACAACAGCAGTACTCACAATAGTTGTACTCACACAACAGCAGTACTCACAACAGCAGTACTCACAACAGCTGTACTCACAACAGCAGTACTCACACAACAGCTGTACTTACACAACAGCAGTACTCACAACAGCAGTACTCACACAACAGCTGTACTCAACAGCAGTACTCGCAACAGCTGTACTTACACAACAACAGTACTCACAACAGCAGTACTCAAACAACAGCTGTACTCACAACAGCACTCACACAACAACAGTACTCACAGCAGCAGTACTCACACAACAGTACAGTACTCACAGCAGCAGTACAGTACTCACAACAGCAGTACTCAAACAACAGCCGTACTCACACAACAGCAGTACTCACAACAGCAGTACTCACACAGCAGCAGTACTCACACAACAGCAGTACTCACACAGCAGTAGTACTCACACAACAGCAGTACTCACACAACAGCAGTACTCACACAGCAGTAGTACTCACACAACAGCAGTACCCACACAACAGCAGTACCCACACAGCAGCAGTACTCACACAGCAGCAGTACTCACAACAGCAGTACTCACACAGCAGTAGTACTCACACAGTAGTGCCATCCAGGTGAACGTCATCCCCAGGAGCAGAACCTGATGACCTCGGATCATCTTTACGTCACCCACGACTAAATAACCAGGTCGGGAGGGGTCATTCGCGAGTGTCGGTAGCCGTGGTGGTAAAGGGGAGACGGGTTGAGTCTTGGTGTGGGAATAAGACGTCACATCCTGGGTCTTCTCTTACTGCCAGCACTGGTATGTATCATCTGTGGAGTGCATGCTCTTAGTAAAGGTTTGTTTTAGTGAGTATCAATATAAATAACTGAAATCAGATAACTTCTGATATAGATTATATTGAAAGTGGGTCACAATGGCCTGACTACCCGTTAAGGACAGTGTGTATAACAGCACAGTGTATTAAACCTTAGGTAAACGAGGAGGCAGCTAGGTACCCATTTACAGCTGGGTGGACTCAGTGCCCCAGGATTGATCCAACGACCCTTAGGACAGGAGGCAGTAAGTGCAGACATGATTTCACACACACACACACCAATGGAGGGTCCTCGCGAGATCATACAGTCTCCTGGAGAGACGTTGTGTAAGGTTTAAGTTACGTTCGAGTGTAGGTGATTAAATACTGATCAATGACACAGCCTCCCCCATCCTCTCTCGTTGCTTAACTCATTATCGCAACCAGGCAACTTTCATGAACCCCTTCACTACGGGGACGTCGCTTTTATTACTTTATTTGGTTAATTGCAGACGATTTTATTCAGCAGAGAGAGGGAGCCACGTGCCCAAGTGGTTAAAACTCCCTCAAATGTCACACTAAGTTTTGGGTTCCAGTCAAGATGATATACGATAGTTCAACTTAAGACAATATTATAATTATGTAACAGATTAACGTTAATGAACACAGTGCATAAACTAGGTCAGACATCGCCAGAGTCATTATACCGTAAGACCTGAAGACTACGTGTTTCTTATACTTTATGTGCTATTCTCGGTGAATGGTTGTACGTACATGTGTATGATTGTTTTTACTTAATAGCGTGAGATAGTCGACGAGTGTAGTGAACAGTGTTGGGTGAGAAATACTGAAGTTATTTCCTCTGTGATAAGCGATCTATCTAACAGGTTAAATTAGCGGCCGATCGACAGGTTCTTCCCAATACACAGAACAGTTTGTGAAGTAAACACGAGGCGAACGACACCTTACACCCTACTTCATTTTGCAAAAGACAGTAATACTTCTAAAACCTTTAAATGAACAAAAAATTCACTTGTTTTAGGGAAGTCATATTTAGAAAAACCACTAGTTTCACAGCAATAAGTTAAATCCTGACTGGAGATAAACCAGGTTTACGTACCTTATAATATACGTAATCCCATAACTCTTGTTGATTATACTTGTGTGAATGACACTAATGACGACGACTACAGGTATAAGCAATGTCCAACGGGATTCGCTGTCACAGGGAGACTGACTGGTTACGAAGGGGGGGAGCCAACTCTAGCGATGGTGACGGGCGTACTGTCTGTGGGCGGGGAAAGTGTGAGACGCTGGTGACGGTTGAGTTGAGTGGTACATTATGAGCGTGTGTGATAGGTGGGGCTGTGTTGGTAATGTTTGTTGAGGAAAGAGTTTGAGTGAAAGTAGAGATTATTGTGATAGCGATAATTCTTATTTCTTATTTTTTTTATGGAAAACCCACACTGGTATGTATACGGAGACGGTCCTGCGGATAATCATAAACTGTCCCTAAATTTTTTTTATAAATAATTCAACACATATTCTCTCTCTCTCTCTGTCTCTCTTACTCGTCTCTTCTTCCGCGTGAAAGTAAACTAATACCAAGATATTATCCCACACTCCTTTGCCATCAACAATTCCTGCAAGTCATCACCGAATCATCTCATCAGCAATAGATTTCAGCCCCACAAAATGATCCATATTACTTTTTCGCGATTATAATTTGATCTTCTTTATTGATTTTTTTATGACCTTTGACTCCTGGAAGTAAACATAGGAACACACACAATGATCTCCTACCTTCCCCACCTTCTCCCACCTCCCTCCTCCCTTCTCTCCACTTCCCCTTCCCCCACCTCCCTTCTCTCCATCCCCCCTTCTCTCCCCTTCTCCCTCCCATTCCCCCCCTTCCCTCTCCCCCTTCTCCCTCCCACCCTTCTCCCCCACCCTTCTCCCTCCCACCCTTCTCCCCCACCCTTCTCACCCCCACCCTTCTCCCCCTCCCTTTCTCCCTCCCACCTTCTCCCTCCCCCTTTCACCCCTCTATAAAAATATAAGACACACCATCTATCTATAATCTCAACCACGAGGCTTACAACACCGATTTATGTAATACGAGAAACCAAAACATCACGGTGACATAGGTACCAAGAGACCCACTCGTCCACGACAAGTTACCGAGTACAGAGCCTCTGTCACAACTCCACGATCATGGCACCTGCTTTAGCAAGATCTCAACGCAGTGTTTCGTAAAGAGTGGCGCTCTATAGACTCACCGGACATCCTCACTACACTTCAATTATGCACTACTCACCATACACATAATGGTTACACTATTACACCCGACCAAAGTTTCTACACTACACATCACCATGCGAGTCACCATGCTTTATTATACACGAGTCACTGTATTTCACTATGCAAATCACCACATTTCACCAAATTTCAACAATTTGTAAACTCTTCTTAACCAAACTATTCTGAACGCCATCATCCAACACCTGACAAGAGTACAGTTTCGTCAACGCAGCGTAACTTTGTGAGCTAAAGATAATAGCGAGTGTGTTGTGTGTGGCTTTCTCTTAAGATCTTCTAATAAATTTCACGATTAAGCTCCAAAACTCAGGTACAGAGAATCACAGTCATACTATTGGCGTGGGCGAAACACTGGCTCAAGAACAGGTATACACAGAATAGTGTCAGAGTGGGAAGGGATTCACAATGGAGTACCACGAGGATCTGTTCTGGTCGCAGTAGGGATGATTTCTTTCATCTTTTCCACTAATTTCCCACAACATTCTTGTTTGAGAGATCTATTCTTGTAATCTTCACTTTTTATGTGTGTCAATGATGTAAACTGCTTATAAAGTTCAACAAACTCTCTCCAAAATTCATGGGAGTCCCGTGCGCTAGCCATGGCTACTGCTACTTGACTGAGCATGTTTGATCATACATGCCACAACTATCCAACATGTTTGACAAACGTCATGTTGGACGAGAAAATATCAAACTTGTTTAATCTTCTTCAAACATGTTGGTCATACCTTCAAACTTGCCCACACACTCAAATTGTATGATCAAACACCATGTTTGACAAACATACCTGTAGCCTACTGTATTTGATAGTGTGTGGATGCCTTAAGACACCTTTCTTCTATGGTATTTCCTTCAAAAAGTTATATTTTTCGAGTACAGTATTTTAATAGATAAAATTACCAACTCTTACTTGTTTAACATGGACAGGGCTTTGAAGTAGAGGGAAAATGTGGTGTAAAATACTAAAAATAACTCCAAGCAAACCTTTGAAAACCTGACCTAACGTTTCCTAACTTGTAAAAATGTTAAGAATTAGAATAAAGGGGAGTGCCAGGTTCTTCCAATATGTTTTCTCTATAAGGACTTTTGGCAACTTTTAGCAATAATGGAGTATGTGACATTTGCTAATTTTTGTGTCTTGACAAACATTTGTTCTGTGTGGGTTTTGTAGTAATTTATTTTGTGTTCAATTATGACAGCTATCCCCTCGGTATTGTTGGGCTGACCTTTCATAATATGTATCCCCCTGTATAATGATATTGCTTTTGTCTTTATTTATTTCCAGTTCACATCTACTGATGTGTGTGAGAGTTTTGATATAATGAGCTGCATTTTCTACTGAATGTGATAGAAGGAGTCCTTCATCTGCATAAAATAATGCATAGATCTTAAATGTGTTACAGGTATTACTGAATCCTGCCTCTTTCTCCACAAGTTGTCTCATTACATTTATTATATAAGTTATTAATTTAAACAGTGTTGCCTTGCCTGATCCTACTTGTTATGTAGAACTTCTTTTCAGCTTGGCTACTGATTCTCCTATTGCTCTCCCTGCACATCGTGACGGGAGTAGAAGGAAGAGAGGTCTTCTAAATTTCTTAGGTTACATTCGTAAATCATTCTATGGAGTAGCCACAGAAGATGACTTACCCCAGTTACAGAAACAGATTAATGTACTAAAGCAACAGGCCGACCAGAATTCGGCATTTTTGTCCAGCCAATCTAATCTGTTAGCTAATCATGGTAGGAAGCTAGATGAAATCATTACAGTCTTCTTTCTGTTTCTGTCACACCCGATCAAATTATGTTGTATCTGCCATTCGTGGATAAACATGAGTTCCGGAAATTTGACATTACACCCTTCCCTAGTATAGAGAATGGTCAAGCTATAATTATAATTAACGTTTCCATATCTATCCCACTGTCTAGAGATAGATCTCTCATTGCGACTCCACCTCTGTCAGCATATGCTACACGCCAGTAGGAGTCAAGTCATCTTATTTGTTATCCTACACGAATTAATATAGCTGGGTCTTATTCAAACTGTGAGATGGACTTAGTCAATAACACGACAAATTTGGTGTCAGGTACTTTTGTTAACAGACACTTTGACAGTGTACTTTTAGAATAGAGTGTACTGTGTATTTGTATTTCCCACAGGAGCTGCCCGTTGTAGTGGTCTGCCTTGATGAATCGCCTAGAAGTTTCACTGTGGGACGAGGACGTTATAAGTTACCACGGCAATGTTCACTGTCGTCAAGTCTGCACACCATATGGGGAACTACACGCCATGGCGCATCGTCCATCCTCAGGAAACCTATCGCCTCTCACCCATTGGACTTTCAGAAAATACATCGAAGTGAAGTGATCACAAACATTACAGTGTTGAAGGACAAATCAGTGGATACCGATAGTGATGATGATGCAGCCTTGTGGCACCCACTGACATTTGTGACAGATGATACTCATCCCACAGTGACTTCAGCCTTTGTGGTGTTTGCTGTGATTACCACTATAATAATTATATTTGCTGTAGTCTTCTATGTAAGGAAGCAACTTTGTAAGCCAGCTTTAGGTAAATCTGTTATACAGGCGGCTGTCCCTAATATTATTCATTACGCAGTCTAACACAGTACATAGTGATAATCATTTGAGATAATCACCAAGGTAGTCATTTAACAATTCCCATGTGTTAGGACTCTTTCTTTTATTTTAGTCACCCGAGGACGGTTGACACGACGTGGCCGAGCAATCTGTAACCAATATAATTTAGAGTAAGTAACTTACAGCCATGGATGTATGATTATGAATATTCATTATTCAATGACCTGTAGAGGGTAAAGGTTGTTCATAGGTTATAGCCGTATGAAACATCCGGCGGATGTTTTGTCTGGTCTGAGTGTTGCAGTATGATGCAACTCTTACAGTAGTAAGTATTTCTGTCAAAACTGAATTGATTGCTCATTTGTGGTAATTGGATAATTTGCTTCACACTTGCCACACATCAAATATGATTAGATAGTTAGTTAAGTAATATATAGATAATGGCACCGCCAGTTAAGAGTGATTCAGGGGTCAAACGGATCATTCACCAGCCGGTTGTTTATACATGTTATGTAAACACCGCTGACTATAGTTTTGCTTGATTTTCCACGGAGTTGACTACTTCCTCCTTCGAGAACCTTCTAGAAGCTTGACTCATAGATTGCTCTGGTGGCGAGTGCAGGAATTACTCTCTACGGGCGTGTCATAGCCAAGCCCTTATGTCAGTCTGGAACTGGACCCCTTTGAGTAAAGATCTACTCCTGGGCTACTTCAATACGGGCACACCTAACACAGAGCCTACCTCAGTTTCTAATGCGACCCACGTGAACGCTCCCAGTACTAGATCACGGGGCCAGTCTCATTAACTGTATAGTATTTAGACTTGTAAACATCACACTGTACATATACACCAGTTTTGACTCTGATTATCCCCCCTTTTGTGGAAGAAGTGACCGCTCTGTTGGACCATAATTATCGACGGTCTCAGGGATCCTACTGATATCAACGGGACTGTAAATAACTACAAGCAAATTAATACTTAGTGAGACTGTATACTGACAAGTCTCACTCCTCACAGACCTACAAGCCACAGGCCTACACATCCCATGGTAACCTCAATTACTTCCTTTAATGTGATTGGTGGACTAAAATGTATATTCACCAAATTACAGCCAATGAGAAGAGAACAGTCAGTCAGCACAACACTCCAACTTATGTTTTCCCGGTGGATATTATTCTCCATTCCACTTTTAAGGAAGCGATAATACTGGAAATGTTATGATGGGCGTTGTAGTCCCATGTACCAGCGTTCTAAATAGCACAAAAACAACTGCCACCAGGGACCCGACCAGGTGCGACAGGAAACCTCAGAGAAGCGGCTGGGGTCCCTGGGGCCTTCCCAGGCACGGCAGGGGCTCCTGGGATCC